CAATGACAATTATCATGTTGCAGCCATCTTGATTTTTTTTTTCTCATTCAAATCAACAAAATCAAAACGAGGCTGGAAAGAAAATAGTCTGCTTCCTTTTTACAAAAAAAAAGAACATCATTCAGTATTGTTATTTGATAGGCTACATGACTGAAATTTTGAACACTTTCAATATACAAAGCGTTCAACAACGACTGAAACCAGGCGAATAGACGTTTTAAAGTGAATTTCATTCATTAGACCTTTATTATGCTCCATACGTAGCCAACAGGGGTGGGGGGTCAAGGGACGTATTTACCCCCCCCCCCCAATATTTTGTAAAGACTGCCCTTTTCCATTCAAATGCCCTTTTTCCACAAGCTCTTAACCCCCCCCCCCCAAATAATTTGTACAAAGTGCCTTTTTATCGCAAATAAGCCAATTCTTGAGCGAATTTCCAGGATTCTCCAGCAGAATAAACTTGGGGAATTCTCGTTCTACCTTTCGGCGACGCAGGGGAATTGCCCTTCCTATTTCTCCATTTAAAAAAATGACGCAATAAGAAATGATGCGGCGAATTGGGGTCCTTCCAACCAGGCAAGTCGAATTCCAAGGGATGTCGAAATATGTTTGACCGAGTTTAACCAAACTTCCGATTGACGTCAGAACTGAAGAAGGAAACAGCCTCGTGTGGCAGAGGAACAAGTCTAGTCTTTGTCAAGTTTCTCTCCAGCTTCATTCAAACAGAGGGCGTTGCCATTTCCGTAAAAGCCGAAATAAACAATAACTTTCAGTGGAAGTTTTTTTTACCATGAGAAAGTTTAATTATAGCACCTGTTTTATTTTTGGTAGCCACAAAGACACAGAATGAGACGGGATTGTACCTACTTTTTGCTCCATGAGACTTTTTAAAAGAACTTTCCCATTTACCCAGGGACCGATCAGCATGGAACCCTGGACCTGACGTCACATTGACGTAGGTGCGCCTCGCGAACAATATCCGGCACGCGGAAGCTCCATTCCTTGCTTGAGTACTAGTATAGCCAACAAAGGGAAGGTTGACTATTATTAGAACATCCGACAGTCAGACTTGAGAAAGTTTGGAAAATAGAAAAGGACTTTCCTCGTTCATTTGCTGTCCGCTTTTGTTCCTTGTTGCCTAACCTGGGGATTTTTCAAAACTTAAAGTAGAAGCGGGCGACTTGAGGGTATAGCTGGGGGCGTTTCATTGCGACAAAGGGGAGGGGTTACATTCTAAAAACACCTGGGTCAAAATTGAGTCCATATCTGCACAGTCCTTTTCCGAGTCATAAATTGCCCTTTTCTGGTTAGAATGAAACTTTCCCAGGTCAAAAACGACATGTTTCTGGCTCAATTTGACCCAGAAAAAAACGTCATTTTCCCCCGAAAAGAACTGTGCAGATATAGACTCATATCGGGGCCAATCTGACCCAGGGGTTTTTAGAGTGTACGAACTTGGCTTGTGAAAATGAATGGACGGCAAAACCGTGTCCATTTTTTCCCGAAAATGTTCTCTTTTCCCCCACGCTAAATTCACATCACAATCCACAATTTACATGATATATATTTATGCACAGTTCCATAACTTGCCACATTCAGCTGTACGTGCGCCGCATTCACCTGTACGAATGTGAAGCATTATGAAGGCCGTCAATGAAAATAATGATCTTCTGTGCAAAACCAATGAACCTCGTAACTTTACTCACATACTGGTTGATGTACGTATATTGCCAGTTTTACTCATGTGCAAGTCCCAGTAAACAGACATGTCATGAAATGGTTAGACATGGACGATGACAAAATATGCTCAGTGCAGTGATGCCTCGTTAATGTGCGATTCCATCCATGGAAAAGATGATTCCATCATAAAATTGGAGGGTGCGGGACTTTTAGAGTGAATACACTTGAACATGGAAAAACCCATGGAGAATTAAGTCTAATATATTTCTCTGTACTAGGAGCCGGTATAACCCATGAAGTATAGGGAGAATAAAAGGACACTACATACTACATGTACATAGGGCAACAGCTTTACCACCCTGTATGGACTGTAATCTGGGGGGAAAACAACGCCTTATGACCGTTGGGTCGTTTTTCTGATGCCCGATTTCATTCCCGCTTTTCTGTAAAGGTCGGAGAAGTATGTTTGCATCCAACATTTTTTATACAATGAACCGAGCAATCAACAAACAGTATTGAAAATGTGAAGGTAGTCGTCCCTCGAGCCCCTTTGCAACCCTGGATCCGCCACGTATGGTTATATACCTCTGACCAAACGAAGCGCTTTTTATTTGCTTAATCCATGCATGCCTGCAATAACTGTTATCAAGTGTGTGGGGTTGGCCAGACTTTGACCCTCGATTAACCCTAAAAGGGCTGGGTCATTTTGACCATCTCTCAGCCGGGGGGGGGGGGGGAGATTCCGCAATTCTTGATCCGTGTATACACGACTTTCTCTGGACACAATTTCCTAAACATTACCTCACTCTCTTGCATGGGCGTCGCCCGGATTTTTTTCCAGGAGGAGGGGGCAAAGCAAATATTTTTTCCCAAAATTCCTTAACTTTTCCATTATATTCTCAATTTATCATTTTTCAGAGCGTGAGCAGGGGAGCATTTGCCCTACCCCCCCCCCCCATCAAATTAACAGCAATATGGTTTCGCACCTCTTTTTCCTCCCCCCCCCCCCCCTTTTTCGTTTTCCGGAGAAAAGTGCCCCTTGCCCCCTCCCTCGAGATACCTATGCTCACTTATTTTTTTCTCAAGGACTCTCATTTCTTGTTCGACCTCCGAGTTTGCTTCTACTGACTAAAAATATTTCAAAGAAAACCCGAGATAATGTCTGGTACATCCGCCTCGCCCCTTCTTCAACAGGTAAGCCGCGCGCATCAATGCATTGAGGTCACGATGGAATTGCCGGGCACCTCCCAGCCAACGGGCATGGGACTTTAATTCTGTGGCTGATTTTGTGTTCTACATAATACTTTGTTCTTTAGGAAGATCTGAACCACGACACGACCATAGGTACTATACTTTACTTTACTTTATTCCACCTCATGGTACAATGCAAAAATATACGTAGGATTCTTAAAATAAATTACGTATGTTAAAACAAATAAGATACTAGTATTAATACCAAGAGATGCAGGGACCCACAAAAAGCAAGCTTGTCGAGTGCGAGTCCCCTGAACAACAAAAACAATAACACAATTAACAAGGTACATAATAACAACAAACATAGACAATACAAATACACATAGACAATACGAGAATGTAAATGACACGGGACAATGAGTGTGAATTATTGGAAAGAAGCATGATAAAATCAAAATGAATTTGACAATACTTGTTAATTAATTTAGTATTTTTATGCTCCGTTCCTATCTCATTTATTTCTATACTCTATTGCTCCTTATTCACTGTTCTCATTAACGTTATTTATTCATTGACTCATTGTTCGTTTTGTAATTTTCGGTAATTTTCAGCAATATTAAAATAAATATTATGTATGAATGAATGACTGATTGAATGAATGAATGAATAATATAAAGCTTTTTGATTTAAGTTAACAGCGCTGTATGAGTATCCATTAATTGATAAGAAGAATAAAAACGGTGCAGTAAAGGCATTAAATTGTGGTCGTCTGCGTTGTAATAATGAACAAGGTCGCATTTCAACTTACACACCCTAACATACGAAATGAATACATCCGCGATCCAATATTTTGTCAACAGTTACGCTGCTGGTATAACTGCATATTGAGTGACGTAAACAGGCGTTTTCTTGTTTTGCTGGAGTTTGAATAAGTACGGTCTTTTCGAGACCTTCCCAGCCCAGTTTTCTCACCGTGCCGGCAAACTGATGCTGTGGTCGGCGGTGCCAGTCGGGCCACGACACGCAACCTGCGGGTACGTCCGCAAGCTCTACTTGCGGGGAATCCCCCGTCGGATGGTAGACGTCACTTGCCTTTGTCCGCTGGTATCGGACCCACCCTTCCCAAGGTTGATAGCAACGACTAATAGATGCAGAGCAGTGTTCCATTGACACCAATGACATCCCCACTGCACAACACCTACCAAAATTACTCACAACTCTCCAAGGTGTTCAAGATATAGCTTGATAATCCCTCTTTTACTTTCTCTTATTTATTTTATTTCGTGGTGGTGGTTGTGGTAGCGTTGGTGGAGGGGGGGGGGTGTTAATCGAGGACTTTCGGTTGATGTTGTCCCTCCAAAGATGATAACACCTAAAGTAGTCCAGAAGCTCATGGCCATTTTGAAAAATTCTCCCTCCACCCCATTGCAAAATATAACATTTTTCGTGTCCTATTCCATCCCCTAATGCTACTGCAAGTTCAAATATCCTGCATATAGCTACAACCCCTCAACTGACATACCGAGAGAATACAAGTATGTGATTTGGCCGTCGTAGGAAATTATAAGCCTATTTGCTGCTAAAATTATTTCGTTAACATAACATAATTTGCACAGTTTTAAGCCTCGGGAAACAAAAAACACACCATGAGGTCACAAATAGGAAGCGCGTTCAGTTTTGGCATCACGCTTATGCTACCCAGAACCCCTAACGGCATATCTGCGAATAACAAATGGTTGGCAAATATTGTAAATTAATTATGTTTTTACCGCTCGATTCCTTTTTGGCACTTATACTGTTCCCAAGGGAGCTATATATTCCACTTTTACGTGACTTCAAGATGCCCGTCCAGATGCCCTTAAAATTCAGTTCGAGAAAATAATTGCTCTCCTATGCTGAAGTGAGACTTGTATGGGTCTGCATGGACAAAGTACGGGAGGTTTGCGGTAACACCGTGTGAATGATATCTCTTTTGAGTTGTGTGGTTCTGAGACGAACCAATTGTTTTAACTCAACGTTTCGGACATCAGGAGACTGCCGGACCCCAATGCTTGTACGGTTATAAACTAACGGATAGACAAACACCTGTGGACAGACAAACAAGCAAACCTGACCAAAACAAAAAATGCGGGCCACCAATAAATAATTTATTGCATAGAACTCTGAGTATAAGTGATTACAGCATAGGTCAGATATTGATCAATTTTAATTAGATATAGTTTTATGCGAAAACTAACCCCTGACAGAGGCGATTTAGAGTCTGAATACCTTAAACTATCTCTTAAAATATAAAAAAAAAAGTATACTTCTTCTTCTTTAAGTATAAATACTGTACTATAATAGTTGCATTTTTACAATTATTGCAGTATTTGCATAATGTTCTACAGATTTATTTGACGTTTAACCGCACAGCAGATTTACATACAACTTTCTTGGTATAAAATAAATATCATTATTAGTATTTTCAAACATGCCCCTTACTTCTCAGCTGCAGGCATTTAACCGCTTCCCCTTTCTATAAATATAGATTTTCTTTGGTACTCCGAGTACATGAATACAATAATACAATTTTGCTTTAACCACCGTGTTTGAAAAATGTAAATATCTAAAACTATTCGTGTAACAACTAAAACTAAGACTATTATCATAACATATCGCTACGTTTGTTTTTGTTTTGGAAAAATATACCTTTTTTAAGTTATGGCCTCTGATAACTTTTGAACTCATATCTTCGTTCAGTGCGGATATGTTGTTTCAAAAATATAATTTTGCTCTCGAATATTCCTGGAATATTCTTATATTCGTGACATTAACATCCTTGATACCATTTATACAACTCTCGGTTAAAGATGCTGGCAAATAATAGGCCCATAAATATCTACCCAAAATAGAAAGTCAAAAACTAAATATATTTAAATACCCGAGTCCCAAAATCGGCATTTCCAAAACAACACCATTAAAATAAATTTCTTCAAATGCTCTACATGCAGGGGATTTGAATTTGCAGAATTCGGTAGTATACCGCGAGTTTTGTATTTTTCCTTTATAAAAACAAACATGATTCATGATTCCATGTTACTATTACTTTGTTAATTTTTTTTCTACAAAATTGGCTCACGATAGACTTCAATTCTTCATTTGCACGGAAATTTGAAGCGTTTATTTGTTTTTACATTCTCTTGTTAAAACCTCTACGCGTTAGTACATCGCATGTATGTACTTAAAATCAAAATACTTAAATACTCTTCAATAAATAGCATAAATATAACTTACGACATATCTCTTCACAACTCAGGTCGAATAAATAATTATGGAAAAGGTAAACATCACCGATCACCTGAACAAGTCATTCCTATATTTTATAGTTTTTAAAAATGTTCCTTAAAACGGAACTACTTCACCAAAGCAGCACATGCTGCTGTTTTTCAGTTGCAACATCAACACAAATATAATGTGCTCACATGGAGACAACAAATATCATAAATACTTCTTAAATACTCTAAAAGACGGCACTGTCTCTTTACTTTCTAAAACTATTGCTTGCTTTGGGAAAATGTTAATAGACCTGCAAACAGTAAAATAAGGCACGGTCAGCCATAATTTAAATAAATAATATAAATATGTTATATAAATATAATAATTTAAAAATAGCTCATATAAAATGACTTTCCAATTTATTCTTTATAAATATCTAAGTGTCTGCAATAAATAATGGCATTTCGTTTGTTACTGTCCGAATATTATTACGCATTGCGTGACGTGAAAGACTTTCGAAGCGAGTAACAAAATTAACATGATTGTTACGTTATGGCGCTTTTAAGCCCCGCCCCGTTTAGCCTTATAAGGTCGGCATTAGTTTTAAACGAGTCGGGAGCATGCGCAGCCCACGGTGATGTCCTGCGTGGTCAGGGAGTACATCTCGAAGCCGTTGATGGGCGTGGTCGGGCTCTTACGCATGACTTGCATGGCGTACCTGATGGGTTGACAGACCAGGTCCGGGGATTGCTGACCGGTGTAGGCGTCGAGGCAGCCGTCGCACAGGCAGCGGGCTTCCTGGATGGCCGCTGGGATCCGGTCCCGGTCGTAGTTGGTGAGGTACTCGAAGGGGCAGGTGGAGCGAAGGCTGAGGGGATCGCTGGAGGTGACTGTACTCGGGCAGGCTGATTGTTGGGGGTTGGAGCCGTCCTGAAATGGGGTATCCAGCATCGGATGCAGGGCCAGGGTTGTGGTCTGCGGGTAGAGATATGCCGTGGCGATGGGCGACAAGCAAGTACCGCTCATACCGGCGACACTCTTCGCTTGACCCAGGCCGGCAAACAGGGCGGCGACGGTCATGAAGACAGCGAGGACGGACTTTGAGAAGTTTATCTATAAGATAAAAAGGAGAGCACAATTAATATTGAAATCAACCTGTGATCCCCATAAAACATAATGACGTAGGCCTACTGCCAGCCTGGAAAATTACTGCAGCGTATAACAATGCGGCTGTTTACTGTGGGAAAACTACTAGTGAATTGCCTACCAACATTTTGCAAGGGACATGTACGAATTTGGAGGTCGACGGAATTGGACATTTTTATTTCATGAGCTCGTTGGTATGGAATCGGAATGGAATTATGCTTAAAAATATAGCATGGAAATTTTGTGTTTTGGCACAATGATGTGGGGGTTTTCATGGTTTTCATACATTATTGTACGGCGAAAATAAACTTCAAAAACAGTGCGGTTTACACAGTATGCGCGTAGTAAAAAAAAAACATTCTGAAAAAGGGAAATTCCCCATCGATTCCCCATCTAGTTTTTCTTTTCAAAAGGTGGTTTACAGGTCCCCTGGAAAACCTTGGGCTACCTTTTGTCGTCATTGTGCGCTTGTTTCGTTGAATGGGCAATTTAGATAACAACAGCATAATACTGAGCACCCACACACAAAATACACGGGCTATGCATTGACGCGAACACACACACGCATGTAAACCAGAACACACAACTGCCATTGCGCGAAATCCAACATGGCGGGTCAGTCCATTCATTCTATCCGTGTATTTTTTGTTCAAGGGTGCATGGTCACGGTGTGGCAAAAAAAAAGCGAATTTCCATGAAATCTTCCGCGCACTTAAACCCGGCTCTTTCATTTACGATTATTAAATTGCAAAACGCCGTCAACCATTCACCAAAATAGAAAAGAATATTTTGAGAATAATGTCAGGTATTATTTAAGCCGCTTCTAAAAAAAACTTTCTTTTAAGTGTGTCTGGTTTTTGGCAGACTTGATGGTGAATTTCTACGAAAACCTGTTTCTATAAATGCTTAAGTATATGACTAAGCACTGACGTTGGCAAAATTTGACGCAAATTAAGGATAAAATATCTGCAATTACTGTCAGTTTTCTTTAGAAAGTTCCTTAGGCTTAAGTTCACTGTGTGGGCGAAATACAAAAAGGAAAAGAGAAAGAAAACGACCCACGCATTAGAGATAATATATTTTATTTTTGAATAAAGTCAGATTATCAAATTACAACGAAACTGCAATTTGAACTACCTTCAAATTATACCCTCAGTCCTAAGCCTCAGATGAAAAATAGTTTAGGGTTAATGCGAGTTGGCAAATCATTCGGTGTATTCCAACTTCAAAATCATTGGTGTTGATTTTTCTTAAAATATTTATTATTATTCTTCTTAATGTTTTTTTTTTCTTTACTAAATCCTTGGTATTCGAGTCTTTGTTTCTGTTGGTAAACCCAGATCTTAACACAAAGAGAAGGTCATTTCTAAATATAAATAGGACTTGTCATGCAGTTGTATAAACTTCAGAAAAACATCACACGGAAGGCCATATTACGCAATATCAAGAATTAACACCAACCCGTGACGATAGCGTAGCTGCGAGCGAAACTCAGCCGTACACCACGGCGCACATAATCGCCCCAAACACGGTAAGGCAGGCCAGAAAAGCGGAAGAGGAAACGCAAAAATCACTCCTTTACTTCCCTTTATCCGCGCGCACGTGGTATAACTATATGAAACCGACCATTGTCTGACCAATTCTAGTACTCCCCAACCTATACAATGGTTTATTGGTATATTTCGTAACTCCAACGGGAAAAGCTTTCGTATGTAGTAAATTAAAGGTGACACATGCTTTAAAAAATAACAAAACTGTGAACTGAGCGGTTTTGTGTTTTGTTTGCGTTTCTAGAAGAGTTCGAAAATAATGATCATGATTGTTGCAAGGTAATTCATGCATGACATACTAAGGCTGTTTTTTTTATAAGTCTGAGTCCATTGATGAATATTTACAAACTCTAGTTTCGCTTTTTTGCTGGGAAATTTCCTGAGTGATTACCAATAAAGATTGGTATGCCTCAGCTTCAGTGTCAGTTTTTGAACTTTTTTAGTAGTTTTTTTTCAACGTTAATGGAGAATGCATGCGGTACAAACAAGCACATCTCCAAAGATTCTCTTTTTAGTTCATGAAAATGCACTGTATGAAACTTGGAAGCACTGTGGATTGTACATTTCAATATTGAGGCCACAAGTTTAAAACAGTTTAAGACCAAAACTTCGAAATTCATCAGGCAATATATGCCATTACTGATTGCTTTTCTAGGCTAAGTAGATTCCACTGAACACGTTCTATTCCTCGTAAGAATTTTCAAACTGAGGACCGAAGTACAACAATTTTGCATATATTTAAAACATAATTTGTTTGAGCAATTACACGCGTGCCAATTTCTACGGTTAGTCGTATACCAAGCCCAGACAGACAGCCCAAACATTTTCTTATAAGCGCATTCGATCAAATTGTGTCTATTTTTTACAACTGCCATGCAGTTAGTAATATACGCTCCAGAGCCATCAGTTGTGTGCTATTTTATGCATTTACAACCGACACGAACGGATGAATGGGTAGCAAGTATAGGTTTTGATAAACAGTCTGAATTGTGTGGACCAACCACACACGGTGATATATACTGCATTCCTAATCTTGATCCATTGATCGTATACGTGTGTGTATGTAAATAGCCTTGAAACTTGTATATGTATTCGCTGCCATTTGCAACAGTGACAAAATTGTGTTCAACAAAGTTTTTGCTGTGTGGTGTTTTTAATCACATCTGAACTGCTTCAAAATCCCAAACATGCCCCAAAATTGACAAAGCACATAATACATGATTGTAAAATACAGTACCTGTAAAAGTTCTACAGTAAAGTACCCAACCGTTTTCGCAACTAAGGGTAAAAAAAAACCAGTGACTCAGAGGTTTGGCCAGCACGAAAATGACATTGTACACAAGTGCATGCACCCAACATGTACAGACAGAGTTTTTCACATTGGTGTGAGTGCATTCGCGGACCAAAAACTTAGGCAACTGCAATGTGTATCAAAGTTACACCAATGTGAAGGGAACCGCACAATATTCAGATGCAAGTTAGCAAGAGATACAATGATTTCAGATATTATATAAAATGTTGCTGATGAGAGACTAGTTCTTGAACACCAGAGGCCGGCAGTTAACAGCCAAAGGCCCGCACTGAGTACTCACCTTAGATTCCATGTTAAGTTGGTGGATGTTCAAGTTGACACGAAACAAAGGTAACAGGTTGGCGAAGTGACTGATGGCAAAAACTAAAGTTGGATTGGAACTCCACAATGTTTTGAACTCCAAATGCTTCGAGCCAACTGTGTTCCTGTCTTGGGAGTCGAATGCTTATGATTCATGCTGAGAACTCGTCCCTATTTATACATATCAGAAACAAAAGACCCGGCACGGAGAGAATTTAAAAATAAAACCCCTGGTAATGTTGGAGCAATTCCCGCCGGGCCGGTTTCCGTGTGGATTATGATAATGAAGCTGTTGGGTAGATTTCCACCGACGAACCCCTCGCGAAGCCGTTTTCAACGCACGTGTAATATAGCTCGGAGATCCGCCTCATTGACTTATGGACAGCGCCACCACGCCCTGGTTCCCTTGGCACGCCTCTGATTAAGCGTTGCAAATCACGGGCACCAGATAGGGACGGGGTACCAGCTGCTCAAAACACTCATGTCCGGTTTCTGTTTTGGGGCCGGCTCGCGCGCAAACTGAACTCGCGCAAAGTTCCGGCGCTATAACCACGGCACACGACAAACAAGTTGACGATTTTGTAATTAGATCGGAATGTGCGGTGATTCAGAGCGGGGATTCCCTGTTTTGGCGGGTCCTGTACCACTCCTGCGCTGGAAGAAAAATGCGAAATAGAAAATGACTCACGGAATAATGCTCGCATCTTTTATCTGACTCCTTGGCAACCACTTTTTGTTTATCGAGGTCTGAAACAAACTTCAAGAACTGAAAAACTATACAGAAAATGATTCACGGAATCATGCTCGCTTAATTATTTTATCTGACTCCTTGGCAACCACTTTTTGTTTATCGAGGGCTGAATCAAACTTCAAGAATTGAGAAACTATATATTTCGTTAAAAAAAACCTTCTTAGGTAAAAAAATTGTGAAAAATTGTTGTAACTTTCGGTCCATTTTGATACTTAATTACTATATTTGACGAGTAATAAGACTCCTCAACAAATTTTCACTGAAAGAGACACTTTTTTTGAATGAAAAACCGAGCTTTGCGCCCCTAAAAAAAAAACACGCACACATACTAAGTGCTTTTTTTGTCCGTGTCATTTTCATCAAAGTATAGACTGTAAGCCTTCAACAGTTCACACACATTTTGAAACGATAATAATTTTATTTAGGTACTAAATATGTTCGAATGATAATGCTAGCTTTAGAAAGAAAGAAAGTGCATTTGTTTGGTCACCTTCGCTAATTATTTGCGCCACGGGCCATCAGTGTACTGCAGTCATGACACTTTTATTGTTCGTGCATGAGCAGTGTACCTTTTAGGATTTAATCATTGTGTTCTCCTTTTTCTACACGCATGGCTTTGTTTCCTGAGAAACCCATGCACGACCCCCCCCCCCCCCCTAAATGCCCCTCCCTTAATCAAGGGACAGGCATGACCCCCCCCCCCCCGACTGCCCCTCCCCTGATCGAGGGACAGGCATTGGCATAGCTGGGGGCCAATTTGCAATGCGGGATTTGGGGGACATTATTTTTTAAAGATAGTACGCAATAGTTTTTTGTTTAAAGATAAAAAGGTCCCATTTGACCTTCCCACATTTCGACAGGGGTTACAAGGAGAGGAGTTTAAACCCTCGAGAGGGCGTGCTCCATCTCACTCCTCCTTTGACAGTAACACTACTTGGTACAAGGGAACATACCCCCTGTAATATATCACTAATTCATAATCAATATAAATAAAGAGTGTGTGTACAAAATAACAAACCACCCTCCGCCTATTTGTTTTCATGAGAAGGTCACCTTCCCACACAAACTCCGCCCAACACTTGAGCCCACCTCACATCCTATGCATTTTGACGCTGATAACCGAGCGGGGTTAGTCTTAAATGTCAGGAACACCCCCCCCCCTCCCCCTCCTCCTCCCCCTCCCCTCCCCCAACCTCCCCCGTCCATTCACGATTCTTGTAATTTCAGCGAAAATTATTGTAGTTTATGAGCGAGACGGAGGTAAAGTTTTAGTTTCTCTGTCAAAACTAAATAGTGACCGAAATCGTTGACTTTTTTCTGAATAAAATTGAAACTTCTTTTAATCACATCGCCCACGCTTTGGGTGTATTCTCGAGGTTACACCGAAAGCGTGGGTGCATGAGATTAAAACAAGTTTCGATTTTATTCGCTAAAAGTTTACGATTTGCAACATTTCAAACAATCATTTTGTTAATCGCCGTTTCCCAACTTGTTCCCCCATCTCTGCCCGGGTCCTGGTACATTTTGACATTCCCCGAAACCATAACAAAGCTAATTTTAGAAGATGTGACAAAATCTTTGACGAGATTCCCTCAAAATGTTGTCATTTTGTGATTTTATTTGTAACACAAAGGTTTCGATCTGATTGGGGCTCCACAAATTAGTGCGACGGCTGTTGCATGTTGCTACGATTTTCAGGTGGCGATTTATTGCAGATCATAGCTAGAGATATAAAAACGTTAGAATCCCAATTTTGAGTAAGTTCTAATTTTTCTTTTTCATTGACAGCTTGCTTATACCGGACGAACGTCTTGATGAAAGTGCCGAATACATCTCTCATAAGGTGTTTGTCAATTCGGACCAATTGATGTAAATTTTAAGAATAGGCTAAGAAGAGCTATAACTTAATTAATTATTGGATAAATTATCGTTTATAAATTGTCACTTGGTGACGAAACCTGACGGTTTCTCACAAGTGCTTAGAGACCGTGGCTCTAATGGCTGACAGATAATGTTGAATAATTGTTTTTCATCTGAGAAAGGCAAAACCGAACGATCCAACTGCACTGGGGAACCTACGTACAGAATCAGACAGGGAAGAAATTTCAATCTTGTTAAAAAAGAACGAAGTATAAGGGCCTCTTATTCCTATCCAGTGTATGGTGATAAACTAGAGACGGACGCAGGTTGTGCTGGCATAATGTTTGGAAACAGTCGTCGGTTCATAGCCAGCCAGCTGTGTGACGTCAATAGGGAAAACCCCCGCTGCCCTGATCGTGCTGCCTATCAGGGGTCGACGGGTATGTTTGACAACGGAATAGTGTCCCGCGTCATTCGTGCACACGATCCTGTCTGATTTGCGTTCGTCATCGTTTCCATTTGGTGTCATTATTTTGGACACCAAAATATGCAGTTTTTCTGAAAGGCGGATCTGCCGGGAAATTAGTTTTACCAAGAAGTGATTGAGGCTTGCACAATATAAAAAGCGGAATTAATAATTATTTTTTTGTATTTTCGGTCATCAGACATTGGTTTTGCTTTTTTTTTTGGGGGGGGGGGTTGAAATCTCGAATCGGTCTACTAAAGACAATTTTGTTTTAAAGGCATATTGTATCAATAACAGCACTCAAAATCCAAAGAAGAATATTCAGTACATAACTTGAAGTGGATAACACCTTTCGAGAAAACAGTGGGAAAACCATACCCATCCTTTTCATCAGGAAACACGATCTCGTCTGAAGCACTCTTTATTTCCATCCAAAAAAATCAGTCAGTTGACTGATCGTTGGAAATCACCTACATTTCTTGATTTCTTTTGCTAAAATATCACTTACCTTTATTGTGATCCGTGGACAAGGTTAAAAAACGGTGTTTGTGTTCTAAATTCTGGAAGAGTACATAAGCGATTTAAATGATTCTTTCACTAAGGCCAAAAAAAAAGTCTCCGGTTTCTGGTATGCGCCCGCGTCGCCGTAGCAGCCATGCGCGTCGGCAAAATGAAAAAGTTTTTTTTCAATGAAAGATGATGTCTCAAAACCGCCAAACTCACTGGTTTGACTGGAATCCTGCTCCTTTAACGTGTTTTTAGATGGGGTTATGATCGAGAATAAGCTTTATGTGGCCTCTCTGGACTCCCATATATTTGCACTAAGTGTAGTCGGGCACCATTTGCAGTCATCAGCCGCCATTTGAAGCAAAAAAAGTCAGGTAAAAAAAAATAAGAAAGCCGCGTCGCCGCACCACTTTTTGGACAAGCTCCATACCAGAAACCGGAGACTTTTTTTGGCCTAAAAGAAAGCTCATTAATTGAGCTTTCATATTCTAGATCTGGAAAGCGGTACATGCAGAACTTCTTTTAAAAGAAAATAGGGGGCATCATTTGGGTTTCCTTTTTTTTTTTTTTAACTCACCCTGTATATATGCCTTTAATTAGTCCACGCAAGCACCTGTTGCTCTGGCGCTTAAATATTTACATTTATTACTTTTTGTTTAAATTTATTTTGTTTTAATTCTTGCTATTTTTTGCAATTCAATGCGCGATTGATCATTGTTATGAAGGTCGCTCAATACAAATGAAGACTTATTTCCAAAACGCGATACATCCATTTTAAAACAAAGAGTGAACAGTTTGCACTTTTACAAAACTTCAACGAATACAAACAATAATTAAAACAGCTGCTTCTAAACTTGATTTTTGGCATAATTGTATTCTTAACTTGTGTTTTACTATATAAAACAGCCGTCGAAACTGACTTTCAGCAGCCAGGGGACTAGCGGGATGCTGAAAGGTAACAAAATGGCCTTTATCTCGGCTTGGAAATAAACTCTTCAAATTTTAAATAATATCATCATTATTATCAAATTGGGACAAAATATACACAAATATTATCTCCGAATTAGTTCGGCAATGTTAATTTTGATATTTTTGTTCACGTTTATTTTGCCGATGTTTCTAGAATTTGCATGAAATTGACTAAAATGAGACACTGCATGGGTTAAACAGGTTTTTTTTAGGGGGGACGGGGGCCTTTTCCTTTTCGTCGAAACTTGTCCATTTTCGTTCAGCTTTCGAATTTGTTCTGCGGTTTCATGACGTTTGTGAAATAAGCTGCCACGATGATGTCATTCTAAGTTTCCCTCTTCCCTTCCTTCATCCCCAGATTGTCTGGGTAAAAATCTTCTGAATTTTTGACGAGATTTAGTTTCCAAAAAGAAAAGGGGATTCCCCAACTCGCGAGCACGTGGTTCTGTAAGCCGGTTTGTCTAAAAAAAAAACCCGGGAAATGGTTCCTTGTTTTCCCGCGCGCGGGAACTGAACTGCCTCACTGACAGCAGTTAAACCTTGTATGCACACACACACGACGTAGCAAAACTAGGAAGCGCTTGGTATGCATTCATGACGTTCCTATAAAATCCTTTGTACACACTGTAGCAAAACAAAACGGCCCATTGAGAACATTATTTTTGTGGAAACCAATTATGGTTTCTGTACAAGATTTGCAACAGTTCTTCACGTGACCACCAAAGTCAGGTGATGAGATTGAGAGAAGTCAGAAAGGAGCTATTATAAGAGTTGACAAGTTGTCTGGGAAAGCCCGGAGTTAGGTCGGGGTGGGGGTTGGTTGGGGTGGGGGAGGCTACGTAGAGATTGGGGGCATTTCATGTAGTTTTAAGCCAAATTTGAAAGTGAGGAGCCCAAGGGGACTTTTTGACTTGTATATAGGCCTAAAATATACACTCGGAACAACATGGGGAAGGGGGAAACATGCAGCGCCCCAAAAAGCTAGGAAGTATATTTGAAATATTATCATTTTCATCCCTATGGGGCAACTAAACCCCAAGATATTGCTCATGCGGATTGTGCAAAGCGAGAATCAGACCAGAACACATTTCAGATCTCTCAGCTTTTTTTTTAAAGGCTAAGCCATTTTGCAAGGCAAATAATCATTCTCTATACATGGCAAAGCTCTGTACTTTAGAAGTGCCATCAAAACTGACTGACGAGCATTCGCGGGTTTTCCTTTAGCTAATTCCTTATAATGGCTCATCCAGCTAGCTGTGTTTATAGGCGAAGTAATATTAGTAATCTTAAGAATCCAACAAAATTAGCCTTAAAACACTGACAGAAAAAAAAGTGGCTCTTGATGTCTGAAGATTTTGATCGGTTTGATATTCTTCTTGCATAATCTTCATGGCTCTCTTTTTTATTGTTTGAAATTAACGTTGAGGTTCTATAAAATGTCTACCTTTTTGTGTTTTCTTGGGAGTTTTTAAGGTACAGTTAACTGTTGGATTGGAACTATTTCCTTAGTTCAGAAATGTGATTGTTTTCACAGATTTTTAATTTCTTCTGTGTTTTTTTTTTTAAATATTCATATGCATATTTTTTGTCTTGCTTTTATCTCTTAACATTATCGTGCTTGTTCTTTTATGTTTTTCACCTGTTTAATTTTATGTAAATTTTCATTTGTTTCTGACGTTTTTATCGTCATTTAATAACTTATAAATTATTTGTTTTATGTATTCAGGGTCCTTAAGAATAACAGTTCAACTAACTGAAAAGGCTACCTGTTGAAATAAAACTAGTATATAAATTACTTGCTATAGGAACTGCATGTTGCAAGCATGATAAGATAAAAAAAAATGAATGGGGTTAAAGGGGGGGGTTAAAGGGAATATACATCATTTGCTTTTGCTGTAATTTTCAGAAATGGATGGAATTGGGGGGTTGGAAATATATAGTAAATATAGTTACACTAACTTTTTTGAGGTTTTGGGTTCGAAAATGCTATAAAAACCAAGAAAAACGATAATTTTCCTGTAGTCTGGTTCCCTGACTTCATATAAGAAGAAACAGAGCAGTTTACATACATTGGGGAATTGTAAGGTCAGGGAACCAGTCTAGCTGGCTCGTACCCGTTCATAGGTTTGTAATCGATTGCAAACAAGTGCAATGGTCAATTGGGGCCAGTATTTGAAAAAAAGCCAGTTGTTTCCAACGCTGATCGGCCGATCAGCGTTGGAAATTGATACAAAAATACCACTTTTCTTGAAAATGACAGTATACCAGGTGCCATAATTTTACAGGATGCTTTAGACTGTCATTTACCAACATCCTATTAAGGTATTTCGCAAAAACTTGGTAGTTTTATTTTTCGATGTTTGCAAATGTTGTATATTCCCTTTAAGTTGGCAAAATGAAAGAGGACACACGTTGCAAAAATTATGGCATTGAATAATAACAAAACTGTAGAGTATTATCTCATCTCGCACACACAGATTGGAGTCATCTTTATGACATCATTTATAGAGGATTTGACGAATTGGTAAACAACAAAACTACCTCAAACACGTCACTGTAAAGACGATATTTAATCGGCAGATGAGCGCAAGTAGTTGCCAAATGTGATGCAATTATTATCAGAGAGGGATTTCGAACGAAAGTTCGAGTTAGTCCCGGCAGAAAATTTCCACAGGTGTTTGTTTCTCAGCCGTGTTTTTTTTTAATTGTATATGCGCAGTGCTATAGTGCATTCGTATACAATGATGGATATGGTCGTTGCGGGTTAACAAATGCTTATTATTGCACGGTGAACAGTTCTGGAATGTTGCCTTTTGTCAAAAAGTTTGCGTGTTTGTACTTGACCACCGGAAGAATGAAAGGTATACGCGTGCACACAAAAGCATTTACTGCACAGCGTGTGGTAGGGACCCGTGATGGAAAAGGACATAAATTACATCATCCTTTTGTTGTTAATTACGAAAAAGTACCCCGAAAATTTCGGAACATTGTTGTGCAATGTTTAAAAAAATAAGATTTTTCGGCTACGTTACGCTGTGAGTTTGGAACCATTATTTTATCCTCACTTTTTTTTTATAACGATCTTGCTCCTATAAGATTGGAGGCTTTTGAGATCTTGAGATCTTGCTCCTGATTCATCACCAATATGACAGCGCGCACATTAATTTTACCCATCGTAATTATTCTACTACATGCAAAGCCATGGTCAACAGCATTTCTCACAGCGGCAATATGCATGAGTTTTATCTAAAAATTACTTGGAATTAATATTCTTCATCTTTTCAAATATTTCGATGTGATAACTTTTATTTAACGAGCTTTTACAACAGATACATAAATTCTCATTTTTTTATTGAAAAAACTTAATTGGACACTATGTACATTTTGTAGGAGCATGTCTCAAATTTATAGTCTTAGCTGATTAAGTTTTAAATTAAATTTAAAAATATGTTTCTAACTGTCTATATTCCGGACCTGTGATTATCTCAAGTAATAACCGATGTCTTCTTTTTTTATCCATTGAAACAATAGTGAGTTATGGCAATCCGATTTGTACACGATAACCCCAGTTTTATCCAAATCAAATCCCACGATCTCATTGTTTAAGTGAGGAAACAATAGAATAGGTATTTCTGCGGATTTTCTACAACCAAAAGAGGCAGGCTCATGGGCGTGGCCAGGATTTATTTCTCGGAGGGGAAGGGGCACACATCCCCCCTAAAAAAAATCCCTGTACTTTTCCGGCATATTCTCGATTTATCATTTTTCGAAAGTGGGCAATGACATTTGCCCCTTCCCCAACCCATTAAAATTAACAGCTATATAAAATTCGCGCCTCTTTTTCTTTCTCCCCCCCCCCCTTTTTTTTTCTTGTTGCCTTTCCGGGGAGAGAAAGTGCCCCTTGCCCCCTTTTCCTTTTCAACTCATAATGGGCAGGCTATTGCATCACAAGGGCAGGCTATAGGATTGCATCACTTTGGCTCAAATACTTAGATTACCTAAGATTAATTTGACTGGAAAATATGCGTCATACAGTACGGATGACTACAATTCTGTAATTTCGCTGTCGAGGTGTCTTACTTTTGTGACATAAAATCAGCCGAGTCACGTTTTCGCAGCGTGAAGGTGAGATTTTGAGCCTCAATATACTTTCATTGTCGTTTCCCGTCAGTAACGCCTATTAATTTCAACTTCCTCATGACACAAAGGGAATCAGACCAATCATATACTTGTACTCAATTTTGCATAGTTTGTCTCCTTTCTATTTCGTCTTTGCAACAAAACTGCTGAAAAGAAATAGGCCCCCTGTCTGGCCTTCGGGAAATTTCGGGGACTTTTTTTCACGAGGTGGAAATCCCGCTCTTGTCATTTTCGTTGTAGAGGGCAGTACCACGAATTTACGATGAAAAAAAAAGACTAAATTCACCGGCAATTGTTCACCGCCTTTCCTATTTAGAGGCTGCCTTATACTTTTACAACTGTGTTGGTCAACTACCTAAAGTATTATTTTGAATGTTTTATACACAACGATGTTAATAAAAGACTAACCCATACCGCGACTTGTCGCTGCTTTTATACAGATTATATTTCGCGTAGATTGAGAACTTTATTCGGTGAGAAATAAGTTGTTGATCCCGTTGATAGAGGGCGCTGTACTGCCCGTCCCGAAACACCCGATCACGTGCCCGATGTATTATTTGGTATTTAAGAAGAAATTACTAATTTTTCCAAGTTGGACAAGTTTTGTGAGTCAAGAGCCTGGCCTTTAGTATCATGAGCATGTATAGAGTAGACCTGAGCTGAAAAAAATTGGGCGCAACTAGAGTTTTCTTTTATTTGTTAGGTCCTATAATTGTCTATTTTTCCCAGGCAAGATTATTGTTTGATAATGATATGCCTTATTGTTTCATATCATTTAAACATGTTAAATGACATTAAATTTTTTGTAATGACACCCGTGCCCTCTGTTTCATGTTTTGTCTGCTTTCCAGCTTTTGCCTATATAGGCCTAGTAAGTAGTATCAATAAACATTACTCTGTGGTATCATGAGTGGAGGGGGGGGGGGGTGCCCCCTGGTAGTGATCAACTTAATTTTTTAAATAAGGCAATTTTTCGCTTGAGAGAGTCCTTCTTCCCCCTGGCACATCCCCCCTCCCCCCCCCCCCCCCCCCCCCCACCACCAGCAGTAACCTCTCTGGATCTACCCTTGTTACCGGTGTCAATAATCTGTATCTCACTGAATAATTTCTCTAAGCAGCCATTACCATAGCAACGAGGCTGCAACAAGATGACGACTTTCAGAAGCAAGTTTCCTGATGTCTCCTTTCCCAGCATGTCTGTGGATGAATTTGTCATGGAGCACTTTGATCGCTATGGAGACCGAGTTGCCATGGTATATTGAACCTTTTGATTTCAGGAAATAAATCCTGATGGAAAGATTCCCATATCTGGCCATCACTTGTCATCCTGTGCTTAAACCCTTTGAGACTGGTCTGAAAATTTCTCATTAAAAACCTCAATATTTTACCTGCTATAATATTGACTTTTTAGGGCACATTTTCACTTTCTGATGGCTAGTAGGTCATCGAAGGGAAAAAGTTGTGATGGCCAGATATGGAAATCTTTCCACACTTGCTTGACATTGATGATTTCTAATGCTTGAAAATTGTGCATCGGGACACTTTGCAAGAACGCAGTGGCTATTGTTACGGCAGCCGTAACGCATTTCCCATTTTCTATCGTTACGGTAGACTGCAACCTGGCAACTTTTATAAAAAAACATGACAAGAAAATATAAAATTAGAAGGAAAAAAGTGAATTTGAACTTTATGAAATTCGGACTTTATTTCCCTTTTAAAAAAAATCCTCCAAAGCCTCAGGTTAGAAAAGGAAAAAAATTCGAGTGCAAAACTGAGATCCGAACCCGCAACCTCGCGGTGCAAAATCCTACCCTCTATCGGCTGAGCTGGCGCACTGCTCGATAAAGCGTGTGGAAACAAATAATTATATACCTGCGTGCGTACCAAAAAAATATCGTAGAGGGCGCTAAACAACGAGTGCCGTAACGATAGCCACTTCGTTGCAAGAAAACCTCTTTTTTTGGGAGGGGGGAAACTGCTTTAAATTATTTTACTACCTGACAATGCCATCATGTGATGTAATTTTATATTCCTGATCAGGTTGATGGCATAAAAGGACACGAATACACTTACCGTCAAATTAAACTCCTGGTGAGAAAGGTCCGTTTCGGCCTGGCTTCCATGGGCTTCAAAGCTGGGGACGTGTTTGCAATCTTCAGCCCCAACTGTCCGGAGTTTGGAATCGTCATGTTGGGCGTGCTCAGTGCTGGGGGCATCGTTACGACGATGAATCCCATGTTTACTGTAGGTAAGTCAACAACACTCATCCAGAAATGGCCGCGATCATACACAATCTGTAAATCTGTTTGATATGGGCTAGGCTTTGTCTCGTCCAATTTGCCACATGTCCCCCGCTTTGCAGGCAAGTTGCCCACTTCGCTATAAGATCAGCTAATAATAAGCTAGTAAGACCAGCACATCTGCTCTCACTAACATAGTAGCGGTTCATCTTTTTAAATTTTCTCCCTAGGCTTTCCTAGGGAACCTATCAGTGATCGGGAAATGGTTATCGTCGGTCGCATTCAACTGTGAAGTGCAGTGATCAAGCATCGCTAATTAGATATGCAACTCGGTGATACCCCCCGCGCAACTACTGGTATCAAATAGGGAGCTGTCGTTGTGTTCGACGATATTAATAGTTGTTTACACCAGCGGTCTGATTTTACATAAAACAACCTCAGCCCCATTCCTGCAAAATTCCCAAGACATTAGTTAGAGAAAGTCAAAAACAGTTATGAGTGGTCGCTCTACAACAGTAACTAAAATCACTATCAGTCACTGACGTCTTGGCCCAAACCTAGCTTCACTATTGATGCCTGTTCACTTTGAGGAGCGTAGCCTTTATTCTGTTACAGGAAAGACTTAATATAACCAAAATAAATTGTCTCTTTTTTTTTTCATTTCAGACGAGCTGGTTTATCAACTGAAAAACTCGGAGGCTAAGTATCTCATTACAGTTCCAGCGTTTGCCGATAAGGTGTTCAAGGCGCAGACGAAATTGCCAAGCTTGAAAGTAAGTGAGCAACCTATTTGAACCACTTCGCGCCGGGATTATTTTGACATTGACCAGACCCAGGCGCGGGATTGTTTTTCACAAAACTGGATAACAGACGGGTTCAGGTCATCATCTGCGGGTAGCACACCTTGATATATCGCTGTAAGCGGGTCGCAGACAGATATTTCCGGCCTCGCTCCCTTCGTGTTTATCCGTCATCCTTGCGTGTAAACACGTCATCTGACGGGAACTGGTTAAGAAAACTTTGTACCTCATTCAAAAGTGAAAACAAAGCGAATTTTAGAATGGTCAGTACAACGGAGTTTTGTTTTCATTTTTACAAAAAGGAAGTGTTTGTCTTTGGCGAGCATCCGGGCTGCACCTCCTACCTGTCGCTCATTAACAACAACGGGCAGAGTCTCCCGAGGTCAAAGGTTGACCCTGATGAGGTTGTTGTGCTCCCTTACTCCAGTGGGACCACGGGGCTGCCAAAAGGGGTCATGCTGACCCACAGAAACATGATCAGCAACACGTACCAGCGAAGCAGGTTGGTTGGAACTAAAAGGGTCTTCAGAAACAATGGACATACCCACAGCACGACCCATGGCACGACCCATGGAGGCCAGTGACTGGTCAAAAAAAATATTGCAAAGGAAATACTAGGTGTTGTGGGTAATACCATGGTGCCATGACCGTGTAACACTTCATCTGGGGTCCACTAATGTCCTGAAACCCAACATTCTCCCTGCTAGTTGGTGCGGGGCTTGCGGGCTCCGTTGAACAACAGATGATACTCAGACTACCCCCCCCTGCGTTTCCTTTCTAAATATTCTAATTTTCATTCTTGAACCTAGCGAGCACATCATCAAGATCATTCCGGGAGAATGTTACTTGGCCCTGCTGCCGTTTTTCCACATCTACGGACTGAGCATCTGCCTCTTGCAGTGTCTTTGGCTCGGAGTTAAGATTGTCACCCTCCCAAACTTCCAGCCGGAGACCTTCTTACGTAGCATACAGGACTACAAGGTATAACTGCCAGGAAATCTGTGCAACGCCCTCTTTTGTTTCAGTAACTCCATGGCAGTCAAACACTCAGAAGCACGTGTCTTAACATATTTGTTTTTGTCTGAAAAGAGTTGTCATCAAGTCGGTCACTAGTCAAATCACAAAGGGATTCCTTTGCCATTATGACGGACTTGTGATGTGGCTTGTAATGGACTTCCGATGGACTTGTGATTTGGCTTGTGATCTGGCTTGTGATTTGGCTAGTGATTTGTCTTCTGATGTACTTTTGGTGGACTTATGATGGACTTGTGATTTGTTTTTGGATGGACTTCAGCCAGACTTGTGATTTGACTTGTACTAAACTTGTGATTCCACTTATGACAACATATGATGGGCCAATTTCATAGAGCTGCTTAAGCACAAAATTTGCTTAAGCACAAAAACATCTTGCTTAATAAAATCATGTTTCCAGCCAAAACTCCATGCGATTGTTATACTAAGTAAACAACATCTAAATACCAGTCACAAGCAATGTACATCACATGGAGTTTTAGCCGGTAACCTAATTTTACTAAGCAATGTTTTTTCGTACTTAAGCAAATTTTGTGCTTAAGCAGCTCTATGAGATTGGGCCATGTGTTTGTGATTTGACATGTAATTTGACTTTGGAGGGAGTTGAGATGTCCTCAACTCTGCTTCTAGTCTTCATAAGGGTTTATACTTGTTCTTAACAAAGATGTTCAAATCTCCTCAATGCATTTGTTTTAATTCTTCTCCATAGGTCACCGCACTGATGTTGGTACCTCCCTTAATGCTCTTCCTAGCCAAGTCACCCCTAGTGGATCGGTACGACCTGTCCTCAGTCCAATTCATAATATCCGGCGCGGCTCCACTCGGCCAGGAACTGATAGAATCCATTGCCGCTAGACTAGGAGTGAAATGCATCAGCCAGGGTCAGTGGCAAGAAAATATTACTCAGCAAATTTAATTCCTAGGCAGAAGTCCGCCGAGTACCAGTCCCAAGCAATATAATTTAAATGACTTTTTAACTGGTTACCTGTTTTTGCTCATTTTCTGTGCTGAGCAAATTCCCGTGCTGAACGGTTCTGTCACATTTGCTTCCACTTCCAGGTTATGGCTTAACTGAAACTTCTTGTGCCGCTACCATCACGCCTCAGAATGACATCAACTATGGATCGGTAGGATTGCTTCTGCCTAACACGGAGATGAAGGTACACGTCCACCTTCAACGTCCACGTCAAATTATGAAAATGACTGAGTTTGAAACGGTGAACTGTGTTTTCGGGCTGATATCTTGGCTCATCATCTCCAATAGCCAATTGTCTCTCAAATGTGCTATAAAGAGCCAGTATGAACTCCATGCTAAACCGGTTCACGCCGGGATTATTTTGACATTGACCGAACCCAGGCGCGGGATGGTTTTTCACGAACCTCGATGCCAGACGGGTTCAGGCCGTCATCTGCGGGTAGCACACACTGATATTTCCGGCCTCGCTCGCTGTGTGTTTACCCGTCAACCGTTCCGAGTACCGCAAAACATTTACGGTTAAGTGCCCCCACAACGGTCACTAAAACAGAGTTACCCTTGACCCTTTATTGCATTGTCGCAGTACGACTGGCGTTCACACAAAGAGAACACAGGTTTAAGCACATTCAGAAAGACGAAAGTCGAACAAACTTCACGCCATGTGTGTACTACTCACCAGTGCACGCCCGTGGTGTGGCTGGCCCAAGGATGTCTCATAAGTGGTCACGATCCATCATCTACTGTTCATCTGCTTGCTGTATGCAAAGTCTAAGTCCTGAATTTGTAAACAAATTAGCACTAGCACTGTTAGATTTTTTTCCCAAGACCAAGTTGTTATTTTGGTTCTAGGTTGTTGATGTTACATCAGGGAAGCTACTCGGCCCAGAACAAGACGGGGAGATATGGGTGAAGGGACCTCAGATCATGAAGGGATACCTCAAGAACCCAGAGGCCACGGCACAGTGCATCGACAAAGATGGCTTCTTCCACACAGGTGAGCCACAGTTTTGCCTTGACTTGAGACTGGATGACTGATTATTAACTTGTAAGGACTTGTGAGGACTTGTTAGGATTTGTGAGGACTTGTGAGGACTTTTAGGATTTGTGAGGACTTGTGAGGACTTTTAGGATTTGTAAGGACTTGTGAGGACTTGTTAGGATTTGTGAGGACTTGTGAGGACTTTTAGGATTTGTGAGGACTTGTGAGGACTTGTAGGATTTGTGAGGACTTGTGAGGACTTGTTAGGACTTGTGAGGACTTGAGAGGACTTGTGAGGACTTGTTAGGATTGGTGAGGACTTGTTAGGACTTGTGAGGACTTGTGAGGATTTGGGAGGACTTGTGAGGACTTGGTTTGACTTGTGAGGACTGCTCCTTAAAGTACTATACACTCAAATGACGTTTGCACCTCAGTAATGACTTCTACTTATCATTGTTGGATAAGTGCAGTAGTCATGCAGTGGCATTCTACAGACAAACCTTAATCTACCGTTCTTTTCCTCTTCAGGTGATATCGGTCATATCGACAAGGACGGCTACACGCATATTGTTGATCGACTCAAAGAACTCATCAAGTACAAAGGACATCAAGTAAGGCTCCGTGGCATTCGATCATTATATCTTGATATTTTTTTTGTCATATTGTAGAAATCTTATACTCCCTTAGGCCAAAAAAAAAAAGTTTCTGGTATGGAGCTTGCCCAAAAAGTGGTGCGGCGACGCGGCTTTTTTTTTTTTTTTACCTGACTTTTTGCTTCAAATGTCGGCTGATGACTGCAAATGGTGCCCGACTAAACTTAGTGCAAATATATGGGAGTCCAGAGAGGCCACATAAAGCTTATTCTCGACCATAACCCTATCTAAAAACACGTTAAAATTGTGCAGCAGCAGGATTCCAGCCAAACCAGTGAGTTTGGCGGTTTTGAGACATCATCTTTCATTGAAAAAAACCTTTTTGATTTTGCCGACGCGCATGGCTACGGCGACGCGCGCGCATACCAGAAACCGGAGACTTTTTTTTTTTTGGCCTTAGCAGCTTTGTATAAAGGAACCTCATGGAGGATAGACATTCTTTGGTTGAAGAAATTCTCCAGTGGGTAGTTAAGATTTCAACCATGTGCGAATTCCCCCCGCTAGGTCCCCCCGGCAGAGCTAGAGGCATTACTCCTGACACATCCTGAGGTGTTGGACGCGGCGGTGATCGGCGTGCCTGACCAGGCAGCGGGTGAGCTGCCTAGGGCTTTCGTTGTCCGCAAGACCAGGGGACTGACCACTGAGGTGGTCAAGAAATACGTATCCGGTAAGAGCCTGAAAAACCGTGTCATATAGACTCTCTAATTAGGCGTTCGTTGTCCGCAAGTCCGGGGGACTGACCACTGAGGTGGTCAAGAAATACGTATCCGGTAAGAGCCTGAAAAACCGTGTCATATAGACTCTCTAATTGGGCGTTCGTTGTCCGCAAGACCAGGGGACTGAGCACTGAGATGGGCAAGAAATACGAATCCGGTAAGAGCCTGAAAAACCGTGTCATATAGACTCTCTAATTAGTCGTTTGTTGTCCGCAAGACCAGGGGAATTAAGCGCCTGAAAAACTGTCATATAGACTCTCGGGGAAATTTGAGGGCGCTATAATGCTCATGCGCAGGATGCACTTGATACACGTACTGGTTGGGCAGGCAATTTCGGACTTACTTACGAGTATGTGACCTTACAGACTATCCAAGTTGCCCAGCTTTTGTGATGACTGGGCTGGCTTTCCTCACTGGGACGCCCCAAAGCTGGCTTTGGTATTGCACACAATGCTCTCCCCTTCAGTGACATGTTCAGAGCTATGCAAAAAGCACATGTATGTGCGTTCAGGCATGGAATCAAACAAGTAATGACTACCAGAACCATCACCATAATTTCAAAATTGGTGTATATATAATTATTGGATTTCTCGGTAATTAGGTTTCAATCTTTACCTTTCTCAGACAATGCCGCACCTTACAAGCGGCTTCGCGGTGGCGTCATTTTCCTGGATCAGATTCCCAAGTCGGCAAGCGGCAAGATACTGAGACGTGAGCTGAGAAAGACTCTGAAATCCTCCCTCTGATTCACAGACCTGCAGTAATCCTGTGACGCCCCAGACTAGAACGCAGTCCCAACTTAAGTGTTCCAGTTGGAAGGTTAATAGTTGGGACGGTTCAAGCTGAAGTTGGGACCGATGATCTAGTTGGGCGGAACAATCCCATCAACCCATACAACTCAGGGGTCAATTATATAATATTGGATGGCTTTAAGGTGGATACAAGAATATATTGCACGAGCTGTGAATATTGTCATAGGGAGTGCAGTATATTATTGTATCCTTGGAAAAAAAAGCCATCTTATAGTTGTTTTATTATTTAAATCATGCTGACTTGATTCGCAAGAAATACAATTCAAGACGCTGTCTTCATATCTCTTATTTCGTCAAACTATTTGAAGCTGCCATTGTGATTATTGGCATCAGTGCGCGCATACCTGGACTGCTGTGCGCTGCGTGGGCGTCCGCGTTCGAAGATACCGCGTGCTACGTACGCTCTGTTGACTGGTTGACAGCTGTGAGTTTCTACGCTCTTGATCGAGCGGGAACCAGCGATAATGCCTGGATGAGGACTCGCCGCGGAGAATATCAAAAGTAATATTGCCCGCAATCCGGGTACTTTTACTGACAATATTGCGGTCATCCAGGTACGTTTTATAAAAGCATACAATACGCCAATTTATTTTTACTGCTGGAAGCCCGATATATATAATAATTACAAATAACTGGGGAAGCACATACAGTACTTGCTAAGCAAGGACATGTTACCAGCCAAAATGTCGTGCAGTGTCTATTCCATATGACTGGTACCCTGCTTTCCTGCTTACTACATCAATTTGGGAAGCAATATTTTTTGTTCAGCAGTTCCTTGAAATTGAGCCCAGATCAGATTTTTTTTTTGGTATAAATCTGGTATTATACAACCTGTAAAACACGCCAAAAAAGGAATTTAATTTCCTATTGAAATATTAAGATTTAAATTTTAGTTCTATTTAGCAAGTATTGACTTTCCAACTAAGTTGTATTTTTATAATAACATCAATGTTTTAATTTTTTTTTAAATAATTCATATTTACACACAAAAAATGTATATGAATGAAAGTTTTAAAATGTTCTTCATTTTCTTATGTGAAAATGGTATTCTTCATTTGAATTACATGTAAAACTGCGCAGAATAATGTTGAATTGAGCACAGTAAGGGTTTATGAATTGAAATTTCTAAAAGTTTGAGATATCAATGTGTGCTCATGTATTTCAATGAATCAAATATGAATAACTCTTCGTGATAACGGTTTGCTCATGTATTTCAATGAATCAAATATGAATAATTCTTCGTGATAACGTGATGGTAAAAAGAGGACTTCATTTTCAAAGGCACATCGGTGGTTGCATAAACCTGAAGATTATGATCTTCCATTAATGTTTTTGGAACAAAATATCCAATACTTGAAGATTTGATGCATTCACCAAACGGACACAACATCAAATTTCTGATTCAAACATTCACACTATTGCGCTCATTGCTGTTTATTTATTCTTGTAAATTTTTCAAACGCAAGAATACAATTCAAACATACAACATAAACTTCCAAAAATCTTTTTCCAAATATCTAGCATTCTTTTTAAAGAACCATCCTCTTGTTAAAGCTCATTAAGATATATATATGAAGCTAACTGAAAAGTAAAATCAACCAAAGCTAAAATGAAAGGAATATATTTTTGCTAAATGATCACATCAACCCAATGGCACATGTATTACGTTGTTTTTAAATCACTGAAAAAAAAAACAATAGGGCGGTTTCGGGTGCAGAGTAAAATGTCAAGGACACTTTAAGGTTTTTTATATAAACAAGTATCAAGACGATGAACTTGACCTAAACCAACTTACCAAGTATATAATTACTACCAAAGATTGTTTAGAAGACGTCTTACACATCATTCAATAATGCAAACAAAATTCGCAAGTTCCATATATCAGCAACACTGTGCATGGCACGTATTAACAAAAATATTAAGTGGGGGCATTGTTACATTATGCTTTAGAAACCAAATCAAATCCAGTTATTTAAATTCGGTAAATACTACTTGACTTAAAATCCTGCCAACAAGCATAAACAATTTAAATATATTCAAGCATTCATAATAAAATTTTATTCCGATGCTCAACATAAATAAACACGTGCTATTGTGTGCTACTGGATATAACAAAAAAAAATTATGAATATCAAGCAGCTATTTTCTGACAACTGTTTTTCTCTGCAAAAATCAAATATTTTTAAAAATTCAGCTGCGGTATGTCTTCCCACGAAAAACAATAAATCTGTACTGTTGGGTTTCTTATGGAAGTTTCGGTAGCTACGTTTCTCTGGTCATTTCAATTTGGCCACGTTTAAAACAACGATGCATGTCATTTCCATATTAAAGCACAGTATAATCGCCAAAAAACGTAATGAACAGCACATCATTTTTTATGTACAGCGTTTACCGTTACCAAATTAAACCCCAGCAATTATTCTTCAAAATACCGACAAGCAACAAGATTTTTTCCCCCAAGTCAGATCGAGTCCCTTCTGCCGCTAATTCTCAATATATTTTAACTTCTGAAGAAATACAACTGACCAATTTAAAACCCAGGCTCAGTGGTGTTTTAACTTTCAGATTCACTTTTTAAAGGCAAAAGAAAATTGTTTAGGTAATTGTATAACGTGCGTAATAACTTTTTACAACAGCAAAATGGTAATACACTAGATAGTTATAAGATTAATGCTTTGGTTATAGCTCCAAAAGTGGGAACAAAATTGGTGACAGTGCATCACTAGAGTGAGAACTCACCTGCTCTGTGAGAATAGATACGAAAAGTTTAACACCATAGAAAAGTTAGCATGATGAAAATATCCTGTCTCTCTAACTACCTCTGCTGATTCTGTGAAATAACTCAAAACCTTGTTCAGATATGAAAGTCTTTCCTTTTGTGAGTTAGCATGTTACGCTCACTGAGTAAAATACATGTAATTTTTTACCAGGGTGAGTGAAAAATCATATTGGAATTTGGAGGATTCGGGACTGATAGGATTAAAAGGAATATTCAACATTTGCCAACATCAAAAAAACAAAACTACCAAATTATTGCGAAATAATTTATTGGACTGGTAGTGGATGACATTCTGAAGCATCCTGCAAAATCATGGCACCTGGTGTGCTGACATTTTCAAGAAAAGGTTGGAAAAACCAAGAAAAAACGAAAATGTTCAAGTAGTCTGGTTCCCTGACTCCACAAAAGATAAAATGGATCAATTTATAGATGATGGAAAATTGTAAGGCAAGTGAATCAGTCTAGCTGGCCTGCACCCGTTCATGAACATGTAACCAATAGCAAACAAAATTTGGACTGAAAAATGGTAAATTTGGAGCAGTAGTTGAAAAATAGTTAGGTTTTTCCAACGCTGGTCGGCCGACCACTGTTGGAAATGTTTACAAAAATATCATTTTCTTGAAAATGACTTCACACCAGGTGCCATAATTTTACAAGATGCTTGAGAATGTCATTTACCAACATCCTAGTAAGGTACTTCGTAAAAACTTGGTATTTTTTTTTTTTCAATGTTTGCAAATGTTGTATAATCCCTTTAAACTTATTTATTATCACAGAGCAGGCGACAGGTGTCATAATTTGATCCCAGTTTCAGTCGGAGGGCTTATATCTGTGGTCCCTCATTGGGCAGGGCCAGGTAGGGCTCTGCTCCACCCTGGAGAGAGATGAGCTTGGCTGGCAGGGGGGCGCAGTGAGCCCCGGTCAAGGGTGTAGCGGAGTCACGCAGGGAGGCTTTCTGGTAGCAGGGGGTGGCATTATCAGGAAACAGGCGCTGGAGGAGAGTTCTGAAGGGAGTTATGGAGAAAAGGGGTTAACGGTTAAAATTCGCATTTTAATTCAACAGAAGTTGGTGCACCCTAGGTTCTCACACAAGGCTTTTATTATGATGCAAATGCCCAAGATATTTTTTACTCTGCAGTAAACCAAAGGCACATTCTCTGGGATTTTGAAGGGCAGCATTACCCATGTAAAGAAATAGAGGCAAGGCTCTGTGTTCCTCAATCCTTCAAAATCCATCAAACCTCTAGGATTCTGAAAGAATAAGGATGAACATATACAAAGGTATTTTCTGGTAACATATTGACAAAGGTATCAAACACAAGAAGTCATTAAAATACTAGTTGCAGTGGGAATACTTACACAAGGTTGTCGGGAAGAACATAGTAGCCAACGGGACGCTTGAAGCCGTTGAACTCGGACCCGGCACACATGGTGTAAGCACCCATATCTGTGGGACGAGCGAGAAAGATTGCAAATGAACTAAATATCCATTACAGTAACTGTCTGAAAGCTCTTTCTATGAAGGATAATCATTGGGCAGTATTTTTTTTCCTCTATCTGGTCACAGTAACAAAATGTCTTTACCTTCAAACAGCATCCATTCGCCAACTTGCAGCTCGGGCATCAGACAATGCTCTACAATCCGATCCAGACCGTCGCAGGATGGGCCCCAGATACTGGTGGAGTACTGCAACTCAGTCTTGGATCTTTCCTGATAACAAGAAACAATTTCTTGTCCTTGAGACTTGAGTGGCCAAGCAGGACTAACAATTCCTACGAAGTATTAATTTTTGTTTACAGACTTAAAAATCCAATCTTAGCAAAGCTTTTGTACTCGGAAAGTTCAATGAAATTGGACAAATCCGAGTTCAAAAGTCCAGAAGTGAATGAGTCACAACTTGCCACAAAATATCTGCATATATTAGTAAAATTAAGTGATATGTTAACCGTAACCCCTTGAGTGATTTACTAGGATCCGTCCTCACTCTTGCAAAATCCAACAACATCCAAACAGTTGGACTCTGATTATGGTGGTATGCCTGACCCCATGTAAAGCATAATCAGTTTCACCATAAATATCAGTTGTCAGTAGGCATATCCCCGCTAAAGAGTAACGCCCTAGTATTGTACAATAGACTGATATTCACTGTCAATAGGCTCAGATGGTTTTATTGAGTACAGTATAACTTCATTCAGTCATGGTGACTCAGAGAGGGCAAGTGTAACGTCCTCATCGCCATGGTTACAGACAGAATCAGTCAGCAGATTTCGATTTTTGTAATGGTGGGGGGAGTTTGTTTTGACTTACCTTACAAGCACACTAGTGCAGTACTCATTCCAACAGAATCAAGCAAAACATACAGTTGGATTTTGAAGGGTTGGGGTGGTTAAGGTTCAAATAAAAGCAAACTACACGCTTTTTTTTTTTTTACTGCATGTCCAACCTTTAAGTGAACAATTCTCCTTAAGAGTCATTTGATGGGTTGCGGTGACATTGATTTACGATATGCTTTAACCGTTTACCTGTAGGAGTTTCGGCTCGACCGTAGCGTGGTCATACAGCAGGCAATTGAAGGAACCGTAGACCCCATCGTTGACATAGTACATGAATCCTGGCTCGTCGGACTGGCTGGGGGCGACAGAGTTAGCTACAAGATCTGTCCAAAACAAAAGAATATCCTTAAAATTACCTTAAAACAACCTCAGTTTATCATATCGTATGCAAAAGTACCATCATGACATCACACTGAGCGCTTGTGGTATCAATCCAATTCACGAAGCTATCCCTACAACATTTTCATCTACAAAGACAATCATGCCCACAAAAAAATAGTTGTTTACCACTGACCCTCCTCGTCTTCTGCACTTCACAACCCATCAAGTTTTGCAAAACTACTTTTGCCCGTGAGTTAGCACCCACACAAATTCCTGTGAAGTAATCTTCAGTGGAGTTCGGATCAAATCCCTGCACAGTTCATTTGTGTAATTGAGCTTTTAAGGGCAAGCATTCAGATTGAGTCTCGCTTCACTGCTTTCCACAGTGCCGTTTGTGTGCAGTGACACTCTCTGTGACAAGTTACTTCAACATTTCATATCCCTTCACCTGAAACTGACCTGCAGGATTTTAAAGGGTTTCCCACATTGCTATGATCATTGACTTCCACTACGAGGGTCCAACAAAAATTCCGAGCACCTACCTTTAGACTCGGGTACAGAGAAGGTCTGGATGTCGCGGGCCACCATGCGCTTAGCGGTGATGTTGACACACACGGTGAAGGCAGAGGCTACGTAGAAGCGGCCCGGCTCGGCGATGACGCGCACACCGCTGCTGGTGGGGAAATGCTCCTGGAGGGCCGCGTTGATCACATGGGCGAACTGTCGGCCAATCAAATTCAGTGAAATAGTCAAACTTTGGATATATTGAATCCGATTGTTACATCAAGATAGCTCCTTATTTTCTGCCAGATGGTTTACGTGTAGAAGTGAATGCCATGCATCAATGTCAACATGTGCTTATAGAAAAAGGGAACAGAGGTACGACCTCTCACTGGGAAGCAGATCTTGATGGGTGTTTGTTGACCAAGCCTGGCTAGGCTGCATCCCTAGTGATTAACAGCTAGGATATCGCCCTGTACAACAGGTCAGTCAGACGCAAAGGATTTTGACTAGATGTTCCCACTTTGCTGTTGCCACCTGACATAAGGTACGTTACGAATCAGTGGATAGGTAACACTTCAACTGGCTTTACATTTAAGTACCACTCACTTTCCCTCTCTGCTAGTGTAAATAGCGCCCTCTGTGATACGCGCACGATTTATATTGATCTCTCTCGTGGAGTCTTACCTCCTCAAATGGAATAGCTGCGGATGTCTGGCCAGGGAAACCACCTCCAATGTCCAAGAGATCCATGGTGATTCCGAGACGCTCTCCGTAATCAAAGATGTCTCGGGCGGACTGGATGGCGTCGGCGAATGCAGTGACGTCGCGACAGCCACTGCCAACATGGAAGCTGTTAAACACAACAGAATGTTTTTATTGATCCAATCTGAATTATACAAGTACATCAAGCTTTTAAAATAGTAATGCCGTAGTATTGTACGATCGACTGATATTCACTGTCGTAGGCTCAGATTGTTTTATTGAGTACAGTATAACTTCATTCAGTCATGGTGACTCAGAGAGGGCAAGTGTAACGTCCTCATCGCCGTGGTTACAGACAGTATCAGTTGCCAGATTTTACCAGAGTTTGGGGAGACGGGATATTATTAAATATGACGGGTCTTGGGGATTGAGGCACAATTATTTTACACGAGGCTTGATACCTTTAAAATGTGCCATGGTATCAAGCATAAGCATCATGTTATTGCCCAATTCGGTGTGACCTGACCAAATATGTAAGCAAAAATGATGTGGGTGTCCCTTCTGCTAAGCTAGTTGCTTACCTGATGCCGACGACATCCAGCTGAAGTTCCTTGGCCACCTGCAGCAGGTATGGGGCACGCTTCGGGTGACAACCGTACTTGAGGCCCAGCTGGCACTGCGCGGTCGAGTCGTCCGTTAAGATACGCAGAACAAGGCTGGATTGCAACAAGCAAAAAAATGTAACTTAATTGCAGCTTCAACACATCAAGCACCTAGAAGTAGATGAATGTTTTATCGCCTCCTATTTGTCGCACCTGGACAGCTTAACAACAACAGAGGGCAGCAGACAACTTACCGTGCTTCGGGGAAGACCCTCTTGATCTTGTGCAGCTCCTCCTCATTGTCAAAGGTCATAAGGTCAACGCCCTCCTTGGCTGCATACTTCAGATGGGAGCGTTGCTTACAGGGGTTGGCGAAGATGATGCGGGAAGGGGGCACGCCCAGACTCAGAACCATCTCAATCTCACTCTGTACAGGAGGGGAAAAAACGGATCAAGTGCAAAGTGACGAGTACCAACCAATTACCCTTCACATTTTTGTTTTTAATATTCTTGATCTTCAGAAGGTTCAGGGCCGTGGGGTACCTTCAATGAGAGAGAACGCGAATTGCTGATTTGTAAGTTGTGGAAGTACCAGAGCCGCATTTTCCCCAAAAGTGAACAAATCTTGATAACTGTTAATTTGAAGATTTGTTATTTCTGAATTTTGTTTTGTATTTTCGTCAGGATTTTTCTGGAAGTCTTTGCTGTTGTGGCCAGTTAATAACAGCAAAGATAACCTCCAGACTGCAAGAACTGTAAATATTTTCAGCACATCCTATGATGATGATAGTATCAACTTTGTCTGATTACAGACAAAATCCAAAAAAAATTCTCATGCCTGGTATCATTTGCCTGTTTCCCAGTGACTTTCGTCCATTTTCCAATCTGCATGAATAAACGAGCTAAAGAGAGAAAACGCCCTATTATTTGCATTGTACGATTGACTGATATTCACTGTCATAGGCTCAGATTGTTTTATTGAGTACAGTATAACTTCATTCAGTCATGGTGACTCAGAGAGGGCAAGTGTAACTTCCTCATCGCCGTGCTTACAGACAGAATCAGTCAGCAGATTTTGATTTTTGTAGGGGTGGGGGTTGGGGGAAGATCTGTTTGGACTTACCTTACTAGCACAGTCAAAGCTGGTGTTCAATCCAGCTAGGAGTTTGATCACGTTTCGATCAGGGTTGCACTTCACAGCTGAAAAAAAAAAGTTTCATAATTCTGCTCCTAAAAACAATCAACTATATGCACTTAAACAGGACTGTACAACATCTGATGCAGATTCGACCAACTCAGCCAAAATAACAAAAAAAATAAGAACTATGTCACAAACAAAAGCTGTTGAATGTTATTACAACAATGGTGTCCATTTCAGAGAGAAGAGAAAATCTCGAGGAGAAAGATGTTTGCCTACGACATTTTAGTTCCAAAAAAAAAATTAAAAAAAATTAGGAGTTATTGACACATGGTGCTTTTGTCAACTGTACTCTCATATTGTGGAAACAAGACACTGAAATTAATAAACAGAATAGGGCGTCTTTTACAAAAGGGAAAAAGGACTCACCATAGAATGGGTCAACTCGAGGCAAGGAGCTGATCCACTTCCTATGCTTGGCAACAACATCCCCTAGGTCTCCGATGAAGAAAGCATCATCAGAATCCTGAAATTAGGAACATGAAGTGAGAAAAAAAAGAAGCATCTTGTTTTTAAAACTGTCATCACATGTACATGTTTATTTTGAGATTTATTTCAAATCTAAATGTCTTTGAACTTTTCAAATTAGGTGTCTCCATATACCATATGGGAAACTGCACACACATATTTCTGACTTTGATTCTGGAGGTGCGCCAACCCAATGTAAAAGACTGTCGGTTTAAGGGTACTGTACGCATCCTGAGAGATTCCAACAAAACATGCTGTTGGGGTTTGATAGGTCGAGTTCTGTTAAGGTTAAGCCCAACACCATCACCATTAAAATGCACTATCATCAGACAAGCACGTATGCATTATATGCATTATGCGCAGACCAGACAGATAAGAAGTACCAACTTTTGTAGATAACGATTAGGCGAGTACAAAGTCCGCCCCAGAATGGACCAAGCACTCGGATATCAGTTATTTGTTTCATGTCTTGGTTATGTTTTCATTGTTTTTCTTTCTTTTCCCCTATATCTTGGGCGGAGATAAATCGCTACGCCAGCCTCTGTATATCACTGATATTGGCTTTGGCAAATAACGTTCGGGTAATCATCAACAGGCACGTGGAAGCTGTGAACTGCTGGTAATGCATACTGTCTGGCCAAACTACCACACCCCTTCATTTTATAAAATTTCAATCTCTATAAAAAAACCAAAGAAATAAACACCACCAACCAAACACAACACCTTTCAAAAGCCAGAAAACAAACCGTGACTTCCAAACCATCACTATTTCATTTTCAGGATATTTCTTTTGAAATATGTGAATCACTAAGTTCAATATTTGATGAACAATCACATTTTTAGGTTTTCAGGCATTGTGCAAAGTCTGAAAGGGGACCCTATCGCAAGGTGCAGGAAGGGGCGTGGGGTGGGGTTGAGGTGGGGTGGGGATGGGAAGGGGTAGGAAGGGGGAGGAGACGTACCTCTCTGTCCTGGCAGTTGATCACTTTATCGTTGACGATGTCGCGAATTCGCGTGTCCCGGCCGTACACCTCGACCTGAATATCTTGGACTGCAATTTGCTCCATTGCACTTGTTTGTTGTTAGAAACGTAAAACACGCCCCTCTCCAAGGGGTAAGGTGGTGGGAGGTTTCTATGAAATGCGTAACAGGCTACGAGGAGAAAAAGGAATAAGTGTAGAACATTTCTGCATTTGAAGATTCGACCATGATTGAAAAATTGGTTTTCAAATTTAGCTGCCATATTTAAACATCTAAATTTTGTAAAGGTAAACAGCGGGTTTTAGTCAGTTGTAATTGAAACTTGGAAAATATTGTCCAATTTCCATTAACCCTTACTCCCTAACGTCTCTTGATAGGAACTGGACCAATGCCATCAAAATCAATCCATCAACTGTGCGTCTAATACAAAACTGTAGATGGCATAATGGAATCCACCACTGACGCACTGGTTGACAATCACGGACTTGCTACACATGGCTTTTATCACAATAGCAGTGCAGGAAGCAAGGCAAAACCAATCGAATACCCCTAGCCAAAACTCCATTAGGCCCAAGTCCATCATACTCCATCAATATTTAGTCACACCAGGCCTTCTGGAGAAGGTCCCCGCAAATCCACCGAAATGGGGGGGATTGATTTTGATGGTGTTTGGGTGGTTAGGATTAACTATATGTAATTAATATTAAAAGGTCCAATTATTTTTTCCCAAAGCTTATAAGACAATAAACGGCTGAATAAATGCTTCACTAATTAAAATCTACAATACTTCATCCTTGAAAGCCTCTGCAGCAAAATTAATTTAAAAACTTATTAAAACAAATCGCAACAGACTGCCACGAGTGCTGTTGAAAAACATCTGGTGTAATAAAAATTGATTGACTAAAGGTAAGAGCACAACACGCGCAGGCAAAACTATGTCAGCATTAACTACTGATCAATATATTTTCTTATTCACGAGCAACGGCAACAAACCTCACATGAGGTTAGTTCTAAATTAAAAACTGGACACATCTCAGAGAAATATTTGTAAATTACAATGCTCAAAGATTCCTTAATTAATATATGTAAATGACACTGCTGAATAATTGGAAAGGATTTTTTGACGTTGGCCTTCTCTCCACAGACCACCTTTCAAGTGTGGTTGAGATTAATGACTGAACTTACAGTGAACTAGAACACACCTACACGGACACACAGAAGGAATACGCAATCCCAATATCTCCCTGTCTGGCTTAAAAAAAATGGGGGATAAAAAAGGGAAAGCTAAGATACTTACACTGAGAAGTAAAACCTAAGGATGCCCAGCAAATATCAGCTGGGATCCCACTCGGGCTCCAAGTTGAAGTCCAACTGGTCGCGGTTTTCAGCGCCCAGCGGCTCTACACTCCAATATTTGTTGTTGCAACCCCCCTGTAGACGAGAAGTAAAGAATACAAATGAAGTAAAGACTTTTGAGAAGAAAAAAAACATTCGTCAAATACAATTTTGAGCTGTTGCACAACTTGGATAATCTCATCCAAATTAGATTAGATACTTTGACAATCTATCCAAATCCTGCAAAATGTGAGAATAGGGCAGCTTAAATGTGCGTAGACTTTATTTCTACAGTGTAGATGCGTGTAGACATTTTTTTGTGCAGGGTAGATGCGTGTAGACTTTTTTTTGTGCAGGGTAGATGCATGTAGACTTTTTTTTGTGCAGGGTAGATGCGTGTAGACTTTTTTTGTGCAGGGTAGATGCGTGTAGACTTTTTTTTGTGCAGTGTAGATGCGTGTAGACTTTTTTTGTGCAGGGTAGATGTGTGTAGACTTTTTTTGTGCAGGGTAGATGCGTGTAGACTTTTTTGGTGCAGGTCAGATGCATCTATACTTTGTTTCTACAGGGTAGATGCGTTGAAAATCTATCCAAATACTGCAAAATGTGAGAATAGGGCAGCTTAAATGTGCGTAGACTTTATTTCTACAGTGAAGATGCGCGTAGACCTTTTTTTCTACAGTGTAGATGCGTGTAGACATTTTTTTGTGCAGGGTAGATGCGTGTAGACTTTTTTCGTGCAGGGTAGATGCGTGTAGACTTTTTTGGTGCAGGTCAGATGCATCTATACTTTGTTTCTACAGGGTAGATGCGTGTAGACTTTTTCTGTACAGGCGTGTAGACTTTTTCTGTACAGGGTAGATGCCTGTAGACTTTTTTAACTGTTTGGCGCACGACATAATTCTGTAGAAAGTCTTTTTTCTGTAATTAAAGGCTATCATCACCCTATGCAACGGGTACTACGTATACATGGACATTTGTGCAGCATTTTTTGTCTGATGAGGGCGCTTTATTCTAGTTTTTTTTATGTAGAGTGTATGTAGCTACACACATACCAGTCAAATTTTTGGGGTCCCATATGTTGCCCCAAATGAATAATTTACAACATTTAAGAAGAAAACCATGAAAACATAAATGAATTGTTCTTTAATAATAATAAAACAAAAATATTAAAAACCTATATATTAAAAACCTATGCAGTCGTTTCAAAAAATACAACTCCTTCTGCAAAAAAAAATATGAATAACTAAATAACCTTACTTTTTTTCTTTCCCAATCCAAGTCTCTCAGAGGTCTCATTGCTCTTTTGATTTACCCTAAAATCCCTAAAATGTGCTTTAACCCATGCTTTAATCATCATAACCATGGAGGCAGGAAACATGAACACCTCCCTCCATGGCTGGACTCTCCCCGCCCCATTGCACCATGATTGTGCAAACATGGGCTGGCTATGCCTATGTTAATGCACAAAATAAGCAGCGTGGCTCGCGCTCACAAGTCACACGCTTATCAAAATCAGAATTTACGATCTCGGCCGTTACTGCATTTTCCAATCTCAATTTCTGTCCTAAATGATACATGGCTTCACAAAATAAACATTGCCCCTAATATGTAACATGTCTTGGATCAAGTGGGCGCTTGAACTGAATCTTAGAATTGAGAAATTCTTCGAATATTTTAAAGATTACACGGTCGCCAAGCATGACTTGCTTCCAAACCCAAAATGGAACATTAAAAATGCAACGAGGTTTTTCACGTGTCCACGCATGGTGCGGTTTCCAACGTGAATAAAATATATTAAAAAAAAAGACCGGGTGTGATCGCATATTTTTGTATTTTTCAGCAGTAAGTCAGCACAAAAACTTACCAATATTGAGGGTTCTGACGGACAAAAGGGTGGGCTCCGCCGACGAGGAATTTTGGCGGTTGAAGGTGGCTTTAAAGGATGAAAATCATGAATTCTGCTCGGGAACGCCGGTTCTCTCCGTCCTCTTTTCGAGCTTGCTGTCGTTGGCATACGTCGACGTACGTGTGCGTGCGCACTTACATGCACGTTGTCTACATATCCGCGTCGAATGCAAGGCATTTTTTCTAGCCGCATAACACACCATGACCTAGATTATGCGTAAAAAGATAATTGGAAAAGTAGGTCCAGAGGGGTGGGTGGATTGCAATTTGCTGGTGGGGTTGAAGATCGCTGGGTAGTTTAACTTTGAATAAAGCTTTCAAAATTATGAGGTAAGTATCGGAAAGGATGAAATGAGAGGAAAAATACACTGTCATTTTTGGGGTTTTTGTACAGGTGCATAGCGGTTTCAGCTGAGTGCGGAGGGGGCGGGGCCTAAGAGGCCTGAAAGCAGCAGCAGCTGAAGTTATAGCAGTGTAGGCGTCACATGAGGAAATACTAATTACTTTTTAAAGGTGATAATACGCGCCTAACCAAGGCCTACTTAAGTTTTATTTTTTCCCGGTTCCCCGTCAGGATTCTGCTCACAGAGAGGTAAATCCCATGCACAGAGCACTAGCAGACGATACATGGAGGTATGAACAGCGCCCTCCTGGTCCTGTTACAGCATTAGGCGGCACTCATTGAAATCAGCCTGAGCACAATTTCCGCTATAAATAATGCAAAAACAAATGGTTAAATTTTGCCCAGCAAAGTTTTACGCAACGTTGGTACAAACACGTTTACTTTAAACTTGGGAAAAATTACAGACGGAACAGTTGGGTACTTTTAATCATCCATTAGTTGGGTAAATGTAAAGAACCAATTATTGTTGGTAAGCCATGATTAACCGAAAAACGATCAATAATTTGTGACAAGTTGTTGGTTAGTATTTTCTCAATTATTGGTTACTATAAGAAGAGTCATAATGGTACTATATTGTATAGATTTGCTCAATTTTAGGCCAGTTTTGTTGATACATGATTGGTGTTTACGGAATGCTTAAATCGGGGTACTTTTAAAGCGAGGCTTGTTTTTTTTGTAATATTTTATTACAAACATCATCACCAAACAGCAAACTTTTGAATACTTTTAAACTTAAAACTATGAAGCAAACCCTTTAAAGTTATAAAGGGGAATTGACTACGCTGCATTTTTTTTTTTTTAATAATAATGATCTTTTTAAAATACGATTTTTAAAGAGATGATTCAAATTAAATCTGCAAAGTTTCCCTTGATCAACTGACAATAATACGTTGATGACTTGGGGCTCAATTATTACAGAATTAAATATAACTCGGGTCCAGACAAAATGTTAAAAAAATTATGTTGATCATGGTTTTCAATTACTACATAATCAAATATAACTCAGTACAAGACAATTATATATATATATATATATATGTTGAAGACTTAATTGATATTCAATTATTTCAGAATTAAATCAACAACATGTTCTGATTTCTAAATAATTATGTTGATGACTTGGCGTTTAATTACCGGTATTTTAGAATAAACATAACTCCAGTCCAGACAACATGCTCTAAAACAAATCGTTTTTAATTACTACATAATTAAATACATGTATAACTAAAATCAAGCATGTTCTGAAACTGTTTATTTTTTTTAATGTCAACTAACGATGATTGCATTATATTACAATTCAAACTATTCACAATTATGTTTGATATTGGAATTGGGTCCTTTATTCAATGGTAGATGCTTATCAGGGTAACGTGGGTGTACCCCCCCCCCCATTAATTTTTGGCTTTGAGTCTGTATTTGTCTAATCAAACATATCTTTCAATCATATTATGAGGCAGTTTAACACTCGACATTTGTGAAGGATAATTTTTATATTCATTTGTGGGCCGTTTTTTTTTTAAATATACGATTTTCAAAGAGATGTTTAAAATTAAACCCGCAAGGTCTCCCTTGATGAACTGACAAAGGAAAAAAATCAACTAACGATAATTGCTTTTTGTTGACAATTCAAACGATTTTGTGCACGTGTGAATTAGTGCACATGTGGCCTGTGATTCAAGTCGAGTAGAAAGGTTATAAATATTTATATATTTTCAGACATTTACTTTGCCCATGTGTTGGGTAGGAAATATTCCCAGCTTTTTGAGCAATTTCATTTTCTGAAAAACGTTGGGCAGAAATTATTTCTAATGTTTGAAAAAAATTTTTTTGCAATGATCCGTCTGCTTTATTTACAAACATGCCTCAGTTTTAAATCAAACTACATGTATAGTGTTAATTATCGTCGGATTTCAACAGCGCCCCCATTGAAAGTATGGTACGAGCCCCCCCCCCCCCCCCCCCCCCCCCTGTGGAGGCTAAGTGTCCGGACAAAAGAAATCTACATTTCAGTATTGATTTGCTGATGCCCCCCCCCCCCTGCAAAAAATCCCGGATCTGTGTAAATGGTCCCAATTTCTTCCTCCATGGTCTGAGGCGGGCCACTCTGTAATATTGGGACAGGTGTGCCAGTACATACAGTGATGGCGTACCAACTGGCGCCGTGACGTTTTTTTGGTCCTCTTTTACTTTAGGAATTTAAGTTGAATGTGCCGGCACAGTGACAAAATGAGTAAATTTAGGACAATTTTTCTGCAACAAATTGCATTGCAACCCCGCCCTTCCCAGGCCGCTTAGGATCACGCCACAGTGGCCAGTACAAAAGGTGTGGAACTTTGCTCCAAGAGAACACAAGAGCATGAAAAGAGCACGAGGTATCTATTACAAAACGATTACGTAAGTTGTACGCGGACTTAAAGTTGCATAAGATCCGAGTCGAAGCGTGAATGGCAACACGTGCGCCGGCTCACATACATGTACATGCAGGGCCGTTGGTTGGAACCATAGAGCTAGGACCCATGGAACCGTGAACCTGTTCCTCCTCCATAATAATATGGTCTGTTTATCATTTTGTCTACAATACAAGCTTACATTTTTTTGAAAATGCATTAAAAAATATTTGTATATAGTTATATTATTATTTGAATGAATGTCTGTTTATTTCGAATACTTGACAGAATTAATACATTCATGGAGGAATTCCTTCCTATGCTTGCTAACGTCATCTCTAGCTCTTTGCGCTCAACGTACGCGTGATATTTCATAATGGAGTAAGTTCATTCAACAATAATTGTAAATAGGCCCTATAATAGAAATCTTAACGTCTTGTTGAATTGAATTACTTTCAACTTGTTTAGGTTGGTCTGAAGAATTAATGCATCTCCCTTTTGGGTGACCGGTGATAACGCATGCATTCTCCACTCAGAAAAATCTGAAATAAAATTGCATTTTTTTCCCAATAATAAATCTCCATAACTTATTCAAATATACATGTACAAGCAACAAACTTAGGCGCATAATTTATGAAAAAAATATTTCTTCGGACGGACCACAACTTGTTGTTATCTCTTTTGCATAAACCAAAGCATGGGCGTCGCGAGGGGGGGGGGGGCAAGGGGGGGAATTCCCCCATCCTGGAAAAGCAAAAAACAATGGGGGAAAAAAAAAGAGAAAAAAGAAAAGAATAATAAGAGGCGCGAAGTCATAGTGGTGTAAATTTAATGGGTTGTGGGGGGGGGGGGGCAATCCCCCCTCTAAAACTGATAAATCGAGAATGTGTTGAGAAATACAGGCATTTTTTTGCAAAACATATATGTTTTGCCCCCCTCTAGAAAAAATCCTGGCGACGCCCATGAACCAAAGCAGTGGTTACACAATAATTATCATGTTTCCGTCAGCTACTACTATATTACACACGTATAACCACAATTTCATCAGAATGAAAATAAATTTTGTTCGTAATTTCAGTTCAGAAGTATGGATGATGTCATGCACACGTACGTACGCAAAGAAGCTCACTGAAACCGCGGGTAACTCACGTAGTAAACTGTCAAAGTCTAGTCATGTGCCAACACATGCAGTCACCGCGTGCTTCCCCTACATCCTTCAGACATGCAGCGCATGCATGACAGCAGCCACCTGATTGGTCAAGCCCCCAATTTGCCGCGCTGCCATTGGTCCATCCCATGACCCGCCTCTGCCCGAACTCCACATGGCTGCCTGTTGTTGTTTTCATTATGACTGCACGCACACACACCCTTCGTGATCAGGGAGCTGGCCGAGAAATAAATTACACGACTCGGGAAGACTGCGATGTTTTGTAATTCTCAAAGCTTTTTATGCCGAGAAAAGTCACAGAACAACCGACGAATTGACTCCAGTGGAAGACCTACGATCAGGAATGTCAGCCCTCCCTCCTTCGCCACCCTCTACCCCTCCCGCGAAATTCCCCATGGTAAGATTTCGGACTTTCTGTCAAGAAATTGTCAAGCAATGAAGCATATTGTATTCTAATTTTATGTGAATCATAGTTTGTTTTTCTTGTTTACAATATGTAATGTTTTCATGGTTTTGCACAACATTGTATGCTATACTAGCATGACTGATTGAAAGAACTTGGATCATTTTGAGTCGTGGATATTATTATCTGACTGAGTTTTTTTTATGTCGATGTATCCTTGTTTAATATTGGCTAGGCCTAACATAGGCCTACATTCTTGTGAGGGTTACCCTTGTGAGCAGGTGAGTATATAATAATTTTAGTTTCAAATGACAATGTTTTCAGTGGTTTTTTTCTTTAGTCTTTGGTAAATCTGTTTCTTAACTTTAGCAAACTTCCCAGCCCTGACTAAGCTCTTCTTTTTGCTGACATATGCCTATGAAGTATGATCTATGAAAGTATGATTTGGAAAAAATGTTGCAACCTGCCACTTTTTTTTCATACATCATCTCTATGAAAGTCAGTCATTGCAAAAGTTATGATAAGACATGAATCTGGGACTGAGAAACATTTTTCATTTTGTTAGAAATTACTTACAAAATTTTCTTGACTCTCCATTGAATTTGTACACAACCGCTGAAGTGGCATCAGGTTGCAACATTTTTTCCCAGTTGGGCAAAAAACTGCCAGAAATGGCAATAAAAATGACTTTTTATTAGTTGCAGTAGGATAGTAAAAAGTAGTATTTTATAAAATTGTTTGAGAATATTTGGCAAACACAACTTATATCATGTATATTAGCACTTTATATTCCTATTACTAAAAAAACTCAGTGTTTCCAAACAATAGGCCTACCAAAACATCCCTCTCCCCCAAATAAAAAAAAACACGAAATGCAAAAACAAGAGTTTGTGACAAATTTGTTGAGTTCATCTCTTTCACATTACTTATCAGTTTGACCAGCAAGATGACCTTTTTATTCATTTGTAAATTTATGACGTACGTACCTGGCTGTCGAGTGTATTTATGAATATGAGTGCCATCTAAATGTTTGTAAAGGGGCGTCAACAAAAACCACATGACTTTTCTACACAAAGGTACCTTGATCTGACTGATGCTAGAACCAAAAGTCAACTCCTAACAACATGTTGACAACATGTTGACACTTGTCGTGAATTCAGAAACGACATCAAAAGTATTAGTGAGCACTTAAAAAGTTGTCTCTGCCAGCTGTAATAATTATAGTTGTGGGCAAGATGTTACTGAGAAAAAAAAAATCTTTTTAATTAAAAAAAATATAGGGATGAAAAAAACATGCTGAATGGCACAAGTTTAGCACAACCAGTTTTTGCCATTGTCTCTGGTCACTGAACCTGCTCAGTTTTTCAGTTGCCATCAGCCCAACTAGTTTTTGGAAGCTGCACTGACCTAAATTCCACTCCCAAAGGATAACCACTTCCTACATTATGGATGCTTCGACTTGCACATACTGCAATGGGAGACTTGTGGGGGGGGGGGGGGGGGGGACAAATTTGTGATTCATGATGTATTTTTAGTTAGGAAGTGAAGTGATCTGTTTAGTGTCTGCAACATGTTGATAATGATATGAGCCTTCATACTTGACAAAATGACGTCAATGTTCAAACAGGAAATATGTAAATTTGACCTTTTTCGGGGAACCACACTAATGTTAATCCGCAGCCATTAACCTTTTCCCGTGTCTCTGCACTCCACCCAAAGCATTAGTCAGTTATTAAAGAGAGATTATAATGCCGATTTGCACAGAAATTGAAAATAAAATAATCTTCAAAACAAATGTTTCCACTGCCTCTTTGAAACAGCTGTCTCACTTTTATTCAATTGAGGTATTTTGAAATATTTAATCCCATAATTTGCATATACAACATAGAAATACCAATTAAACTGATATAATAATGAGACAGGAAACGAACTTTCATGCTCGACCAATTACACTCTTTTAAAATGTATATCTTATGCAACGTCATGTCATTGTCAGGTTGTTCCATAGTTAAATCATGGAGCTATGGTTAAATCATGCTTATGAATGATTTCCTCAGTGGAAATTATAAAAGTGCACCCCTGCCCTGAAGCTGTGATGATGATGGAATTTTGTTAATAAACAGATAAATTTTCCATGTGGCAAAGGGCCCCACAGGAAATGCAGGAAAAGGCCTTGACGTCTATACATGGAGAAATAATGGTCTATACATGCGTGCCTAGTACAAAGAATCTAAAAACTTCCCCATGTCAGTAGTAGTACAGTCACGAACCTCATTTAAATATTCAGCAAGCTATGATTCATGCTATGAATGGAATGAGTAATGTCATCCTCAGTCACCCAATGGGCAGACAACAGAGTGCCGGACAGCAGGTCTTCTCATGAATATTCAGTGTTGTGCTGGCCAATGGCGGGAGGCCAGCATTGTGCAATTGATCACTCGCCCGGGGAGTGATCAGGGTGCAATGTGCAAATTGTATTGGCAAGTAATTTACTATCACTCTGGTTTGTTTATTTTTGTGTGTGATGGAAGGATAACAAAGTTTGCTTAACTCTTCAAAGAGTTCATGCTGCAAGATTGTGTAAGATAATTGTGTTCAATATTTCAGGATTTTTTTCTAATGGAAAATTTAATACATGTACAGTATGTCCCACTCCCAGGATTGTTAAAAATCAAGAGGTTCTGTGTATTTCTTTTAGTAGAGATGTTATGCAGTTTGTGATCACAACATTTTGGTTCTCATTATTTTAAAAATCAAGATCGCACTAAGTTAAAAATCAGGATCGAAGCTGTATCATGAAGATGTATCTGTTGGACCATGGATGAATTTTTATTCCTCCATGATTGGACCTTCTACTCAAAACTGTTTTTCAGCCAGTTTTGTTTTTAAAAGAAATTCATCTTTAAATTCTGTCACAGGAAACTCATCACCGCAAGAGGCAACGAACCCAGAGCTCCACCATGGAGCGGTCGGACTACGACGCAGTGCAGACCCTTCTCCTGATGAGACACTGCCCGCCTGCTGCCAAGACGGACACTGCCTCCCTGCCTCCTTCTACTAACAGCGTCCCCCCGGATCATGCTCCCCTCTCCCCAGCTTCTTCTCTTGATGAACCTGCGGAGGTCACCGAGATGGAGTACACATTACCACACAGAAAAACAATTGTAAGTTAAGTAATTAATACTAGTCAAATTAACATTAGAAGAGTGTAGCTAATATTTACTGTTCTATGTTAGAATGACCATTTTCTTTTGTTGAAATTTTATGAAAAACACTCCTAGAAAACAACTTTTGATATTGATAAACTTTTGATATTGATAAACGCTTCAACAGAATTGAATGAGCTAATAAAATGTAATTCTTAAAAGAAAAACAAATCCCTAAGAGAATAAACACTTTTGTGATCCTGTGCAAAGATCACACTGGAGTAGTTAGTTTTGAGGTAAAGTTTGCCTAATTTTGCTTTGCCTAATTTCTGCAGGGCCATATCGAAACGCCTCCTCTGACACCACCACCAGGGCAGGCCCTCACCAGATTCCACATCCCAGTCATGACGGGATTGGCCACCAGAGTGACCCCAGTGTTCCCGACCAGTCACACGGCCCCTTCCTCCATCCCCAACAGCCCGTTTCTGATGACGCACCGCCTGGACAGCTGCAGTGTGGTCAACGCAACGCCCAGCGTCATGTCCAGCCAGGAGAGGCCTAGCATGTGGGTAAAAGATGTCACCCTGGCCCAAACCCCAAACCCTGTCGCCCAATCCCAAACCCCTGTCGCCCAAATCCCAACCTCCGTCACCGGAACCAGTGCGGCGAACAATCGGGTGACTCTGACCCTGCCACCGCCTTGCACACAGAGTGTCGCCCAGCCGGTCAGTCAGTCGGCGAGAATTCTCCCCACGAACACTGTCAGCGCAGTGCCTGGTAACATCTTTAAAATCCCTGTGATGAACCCGGGAAGCGTGTGCCGATTTGTACCTGCTGTTGCCTCAGTTTCAAGTGCAATCTCTTCCATAGCTCCCTCTGTGGTCGCGCCGACACCTGCAGTGTTGAACAGTAACGTCTCGACAGTCGCAGTGTCTACGGTCCCAGCACCTTCAAAAGTGGACAGTCCCAAGCCCGTGCCAAGCTCTACCCAGTACAAACTCATTGTGATGGCCGTGCCAGCAGACATGATGCAGGCCGTCGGTACCGTGTCCAGGGGTGACCAGATTGTGACTGCCGGGACCAAGTACTGCCCTCTTGCCCCCGCACCGGTGTCAAACACAAACTCTGTTAATGCCAACAAGGCCAGCATGCAGCCTGCAGTAATGGAATTCTTGAGGCGGCGGAACCATGTGTGTACGCACGAGAACTGTGGGAAGACATACTTCAAGAGCTCACACTTGAAAGCACACCTCAGGACGCATACAGGTGAGATCCAGTTTCACTATTTCTTCATTTCAGTTTGATATTTGCATCTGTTACCTTTGGTCTACTTCAATTTCCACACCAGCTCAGGTTCACAAAATTTAAAAGATCAGCATGAAAACTCGTAGTATTAAGTTTATTGCATGATCCTTTCCCACTTGTTGGATGAGATTCAAAATTTTGTTAGCATTACGACAGGCGTTTGAATTTTTTTTTAAAATCAGTTAAAAACCTAAGCTTTAATTTTGTGCTTATCTGAATATTGTATTCTTTGTTGTTGCCCACAGGTGAGAAACCATTCGTCTGCTCGTGGGAAAACTGCGACAAGCGCTTTGCGCGCTCGGACGAGCTCTCCCGCCACAAGCGCACCCACACCGGGGAGAAGAAGTTCACCTGCCCGATGTGCGATCGCCGCTTCATGCGCAGCGATCACCTGACCAAGCACGCCCGGCGACACATGTCGGCCAAGAAGATCCCCAACTGGCAGCTTGAGGTGACCAAGTTGACGGACATGGCGTCGAATGAGAAACAGACTGGTGTGGTACAGGGCGTCATCCTGAACGCTGTGCAGTAAAGCCAGCTGAACATCAGCGGTTTTGAGACCTGGCAAGCAGAATGTTTGAAAAGCTTCTTTTTCTTGATATTTATTAAAACACATGTATAACTTTTCAATGCTGTTTTGTATACTTACTGTTTATGTAATATATATGACGTGGTATATCAAAATCCAAGCAGAATTTGGCAGAGCTAAGTATGGAGAAACAGTTGCAAAATGAAAAGGGGGGGGGGATTTTCAGCAAACTAAAGGCTAGTTTCTATGCTTCTGTATGCCCATTTCTTAACTTAGTTAATATTGTCGTCTTATGATGACGCCTTTTCTGGATAACTTTTTATCACTCAAGTCAAACTTTAAAGGCCTATTTCTCATTTTGGTCATTTCAGACAGTCTTTTTTCAAAATTTAATAACTTCGCTTTGGAATATCCAATAAAAAAAAATTGGGTTTTTAAAGAACATGGTCTATGTTTTACTATTATTGCAATAACTCAAAAATGTAATTCTTGCCCGAATGTGCCTGATTTTGTCATACCATGTCACACAAGTTATATGCTGCAAGTTCATTTTTTTTCAAGACTCTACATTACCTTTGTTTTAATATTGTCGTTACAAGTGCAAAACCTGCAGGTTATATAAGTAACATTTACAAGAAGTTGAACTGATTTAGAAGACCACCTGTCAGCATCCTGGACTCGTACATCAAAGAGTTTCTTGAAAGTTTCTCTTTAAATTGTAAGACTGATATTGGGGTCAGTTTCAGGGCACTCCTTCAGATTTTGATGTGTGTAGTACAAATACCTGTACTTTGTGATATGATTCTCGTATATGACGAAAATTCGTCCCACACATTTACTGGCATGTGCATTGATAGAGCAAACTTGTTTACGTCAAATGGGGACAAATTTGTACAAATTGTGTTGATCAGCTCATATCTGCTGAATCATAAAAAGAAAAAAAACATTGAATAGTTGCGAAACACATTTACCGTACAATGTATGCATTACTCAGAAATGTTTTTGTTATCACATTTTTCTTACATATTGACATACATCGAATTTACATTTTTTTTATGGACTTTTTGTACATTCAACAGCTCCTTGTGAGATTTACAACTTGGATGTCAGTAATTTCCTCTTAATTAAATGGGAATTGGAACTTTAATACAAGTCGTTAAATACTTTGTGTATGGGCTCTGGAATAAGAAATGCATGGGCTCTGGAATAAGAAATGCATGTACATTGCTCTTATGTGAAATGCTACAGATACCATTTGGTATATTTGATACTTGTATATCACATCTTTATAACTGGGCATTTTCCAAATGCGAAAATTGATTCTGGTTTTAAGAACAATCTACTGTTTGGTATAAATGGTATTTTCACCATGGATTCACTTCAAGTCAGAGCTGAAATGTGATCAGATCTCACGTACAAAATATGTCTGTGATACGATAGTCAACGCTGGTAGAGTTTTCGGACCTAACGTTGTTAAATATAAAGTGAAATGAATTATTTGGTGGAAGTTTTATCCTTGCAATTTACAACCAGTTGCATTGTGGACCTATTCCAAAGAATTTCAAATAATTACAAGTGTTCTTGATGTACATGTACTTAAAAAATCGAAGGGAAAAAGAGATGAATGAAATAGTTTTGAGACTTAATTTTTTTGAGATCTGGTCACATGTCAAGCACACTAAATTTAAGTAACTTTTTGCAGAAACTCACTCAAGTTGAGAATGGTTTGAAAAAGTGGGCGAAGGACTTCGTCAAGACAAGATTTAGAAATCGTCAATTCTTGTGGCCTTTACTTTGATATAAAATTATTTTGTGTAATGTTTATAATACATGTACAAAAGAAATAAATATCTCAGGGACAAAAATGCGAAAGGCGAGGAAAGTTTAAAAAAGTATATGTTGTGAAGATGAAATATCTTTCATCAGTCGGCAACGTTGCAAAAGGAATCACTTTTGTCAACTTTCAGAACATGGTCCTTCTGTAACTGTGTAATGCCGCAACTTACAAAATTTGTGCATATTATCAAACCGTTTGATAAAGGTAGACAAAACGTTCATTAAGCTATAAGAATGATAAGAAATTAACATCGATAATTGGGGAAAATGAATATTAATAAGATAAAGTTTATGGTAGCACCATGTAACAAATCTTTGTTGTGAGTTAATGAGGTTGTGAAAAGAAAAAAAGAGTTGTTCCGTAAAAGGACCGTGCCAAAGATTGTTATAATTAAAAATAATTGGTTGTTTGAAAGGGAGCCTTTTAAAATCTCCAAAGAGGAATTTTTGAATGAGTATTTAAGTATGCCTTTAAGATGCTGCAGCATATCGAAGCGGACGTGTTTTTCTTCATGAAGAGGAAAAGTGAAAGTGCAATGCATTGTATAGTTTGAAAAGTGTCACATTAAGTTAAAGGATGGTTATTCAACATTTGTGTAAAATGTATATATCCATGTAAAGGGTTTTTGTATAATTTGTAGGTTGATGAGAATGTAGTCATGTTATTTACTATTTTAATCATTTGTACAACTTACAGAGTAAGAAAATTAATTGAAATTGTGGGGAAACAATTGTCAAGTATATATACATGTGCTTGTCAACTTCATGTCACTGTGGATACGATTAAAAAAAATTACATCCACGTTATAACCCGTCTCATTCCTTTTAATTTGTCTCTGCCGTAAAATAATATTTTTTATTTACCTTTTTGGCTGGTCCTTAGTGTCCCCGTTGCACCTATCTGTCACTTTTGAGTCGGGCAGTACTATCGTATAGCACTACTCTGTGATGCTAATGAATTGGCTTATTTCGGACAATTGTGCAGACCAGATGCATGAAAAGACTTCCAAGTTCCAGTGAATTGCCTTTATCAATTGGATAATATAATTTACGCACTCTTGGGGCCAGCTTTACTATGATCGCCAAGTTTTGTATTCCCAATTTTGAAATTTAATTTACATGGCACTATATTGGTTGCTGCTACTGCTACACAATCCGAATTATGTTTCAACTTTTTATGTGCAGTGATTAATTTTTTGTTCTGTTTTTGGATTAATTGTAAGGGGATAGCGCGAACGCAGTCCCCACTATCAGAAATTGTACTCCCGAGTTCCAAACATTAGATGGAATCGCATCAGTCAGCCCATCGTAGTGCAATGATAAGGCCTCGCAATGGGAGAACCGCCTGCTTGATCACGGTATCTCCTGAGCCAGGTAAGTATGAAATTTGATATGTTTAACATATGAAGTATATCAAGGAGTGCAACATGCTATCACAGCTTGCGCTCGCAGGCTTGGAAAGCTCAGTTTATCTGGTATATTGCGCATGTGTAGTAGTATTTCATATGCAAATACAATGCATAATAATGTGTGCACGCCTACCGGTACGGTACGGTACCGCCCGCCGTAAGAGTGCACAGATTTGCATCTACGTGCTATAGCATGCATGAGAGACTGTAAATCAAATCGAATTAAAATAAAATGACATAAAACTAAGTGGATTTACGTGTACATCGAAAAAGAGAAAAAAGCGCAAGATTTTAAGATCACTTAGCACACAAGAGGAAAGATGATAATTTACATTCTGATAAAAATATCGGGGATTTTCAGCGTCCCGCGCCGCCAAAATGTACTCGGCGGCCCGAACACGGAACACATGTTTTATTCCTCCATGGTAAAACTACTGATGTTTTTTTCTCTACCGACTGATATCCATCAATAACTTTTCAAAATTGATGTATAATCAAATCAAAGCAAATACGTGAAATGGTCTGATGAGGCCAACCCCCCGCCCCCCCCCCCCCCCCAAAAAAAACCAAGAGGTCAAAAAATAAATTAACACCCAACGAAATAAATTTAAAAAGAAGTGCTATGCTGACACTTATTTTAATAATTTTGCCTGTAAACCAAATTAACTAATACTGAAAATTCTTTTTTATGTGATTGTGTTAGCTTTAAAAGTCATAAAAGAAATATCCAATCAGATGAAGAGATTTATTTCCATCGTGCCTTATCCTGATATAAACCCATCTCTGATTGGTTTGAATTCTCGCGCCGCATATGCCGCCATTTTGGAAACGAATTCAACGTGGTGAACAGTGAAGATGTCGGACACCGAAAACAACGAAGTTGAGCAGGACGTTGGGGTAATTTTGCTGAATTGATAACAAGGATTTCTCACTAAAGCACAGTGGCTTTATTATTACCGAATCTGTGATTGGTTGTAATTTAAGGTTGTAAGTAAACATGGTAAAGGCAAACTCCACAAACTTTTGCGTTGAAAACTTGAACAATCCAACTCGCCCCAATTAATACTGCGTTAATTTCGCCAAGTTCGCCCCCAAATTTACCCACACCCACAAGTTTGCAATGGTGTTTTTGGAAAAAATGTTGCAACCTGACGCGGAAAAAAATAATGCAACCTGACGCCACTTTTTTCTTCATCATCATCTCATTGGTCATTCAATGATTCATCATGTTCATTGTGTTCATTGAAAAAAATGATAGACATACTAGGTCTAAATCTGGGACTGACGAGTGACATGGCCATGATGGCTGAGAAATATTTCCACCTTTTCGACATTCGCAATGCATCATTAGCTTGAGTAACTCCAGCTGACATGCTCCATTTTCATTCACATGTAATGCTGGAGGCATAACCTGTTCGTTAGAATGTGGTAGCAAGAGACCCTAAAAATGGCTCTCAAAAATTGTTCATTTTCACCTCTAAATATCCCACCCCAGAGTTCATTTACATACCTCATACATTCAGCAGTCATTTACAAAGCCTAATGATCGACATGAAACAGTCAAACAGACCACAAAAAAATGTGAAAAATCTTGACGATTTCCGTGGCTTGTCCGTAAAAAAACGCTAGTTCCAACGGCTGTCGTCCATTTTGTTTCGCTAATTATGTAAATGTATGCATCACGTGATGAAATCGAAAAAAATCTGCGCGGGCGATGTACGTGTGGGTACCACACTGGTACCACACCGCTTTTAGGCGCCGCAAGTGAGTTCAATTTTCGTCTGGTGCCTTGTCGCGGAAAGCAAGACAACGAGAATGCCGAAAAAAAAATTGCCGTAAAAAAATATCTACCTAAAAATAACCTACCCTATTTCCAAATGCCATGTAATCACAAGCAGAACTGTTTTTTGTTGGCTTAGTTGCATGTTATTATATGAATGTTTGTTTTTTGTTTCATGTACCAATTCTGATTTGTTATAAATACCTAAAACAGTTTACCAACATCGTGCAGCATGCACCACGCATGGGCCAATCTCTATTATGAAGAGTTGGTTACGACAACTCGGGAGCGGCACATACCATAACAAAGCTTGAGGGGTATTTAAAAAAAAACATGAAGTGAAATGGGTAAACAAAGTCGTAGGAAATTTATATAATGTTTGACTTGTTTGGAATTTTTGACCGAAAAGGTATTCATGATTGGGAATAAATATGTGCTGGGCGGGTATTACACAAGTCTGTTTAAGACTGGCTGTAGCCTGGTCGGCAATACCAGTAGTGTTCCTGTCTTCGGCTCGGACTATTATCAGCTTCCATTCCCTTAGGTCTTAAACGGACTTGTTTAAAACCAGCCAAGCACAAATTTATGCCCTAAATTAACCTAACCCCCTAGTACTTCCTCAGGACTACCCTGTCCAACCGGACTTTCCTGCTCAATCCACTGTGCCTCATTTTCATTTGTCTGCTGAATCCAACGGAGTCCAACATGGCGTTATAATGCAGTTCAGTTGCCTGCTGAATCCAACATTTTGCATGAGGATTGTACACAAGGGGTTTACTGCTCAATCCAACAGGCTCCATCGGATATATGACATTGGATCCTGTTGGATTCAGCAGGGTTAAAGCAAACTCATACCTACCTGTCGACCGTTGTAGGTTGGTTGACTCGTGTTTTAGCGGACCCTTTTTGAAATGCAGCATTCATCATTGCAATATTTTTAGGGAGACATGGAAGAAGAGAATCCAGTGGAGGAAGACAAACCACAGGACGAAGACCGGACAGACGCCGACCAGTCGATAGAATCAACAAGCTCCCCAGCATCATCGTCGACCAAGTCCCCGGCCAAGAGCACCTCCAGTCCCAAGAAAACACCCCAGAAGCGGAAAGCTGACCAGAACGGGGAGGGGGAGACGAAAGATGAGGAAGAGAGCGATGATGAAGACGAGTCTAGCGATGAAGAACTCGGTAGGTCAAGTCTGGTGTGTCACAAACATGAAGCTGTCTTTCCATATGCATATTTTCTTCAGGCATGCAACTTTTCCTCGGATCAGCTGATTTCCTCCTTTTTTAACTTCCCATGTGTGCCATTGAAAATAAAAACAACACTGTACAAAGTCTGGGAAAAATTTGAATTTCCTCTTTTTTGTGTGATTTCCCAGTTGTATGCCTGTTTCTTTCATAGTTAAGCCTACAGATTAAAATAAATACTTTGAACATTTTACACTCCAAGCTTGAGGTCTCAACCTGCATTACTTTTATTCACTGTTTACATAAATGAGTCCAGTAGATTTGGGATTTGAAGTAAAAGACTTGACAAGAATATTTTATACTTTTAATACCCTTCCAAAAAGACGAAGCATTCAACATTTAGCACTCCTATGCAAACACACATTCTGTGCCAAGTAGTCCTTTCAGTCAAAATCAATCGAGAGACTGTTTTCAACAGTTAAGAATTCCCAGCCTACATAAAGCACGATTGACTGGCTGTGACTGTTTATGTAACTCGATTACTCGATACAGCTTTGCCGTGAGTGTGGGTAATTGCTAAGCCAGCTGTGCCCACAACTTGCCTGCTTTGTCTGTTCATGGTCTGTTGACTGAGTTTGACTAGTCACAGTGCTTGCTTGACATTATGAGCTGACTGCTGGTGACTAGCGTGTGTTTTAGTATGGCAGGGGAAGTGGATGGAAATTTTGACTGTCTGTGACTTTTTAAATAGCAGGAGGGTTAAAGAGAATTGCATAGAAATGGATGTGTCTTGGGCTTTTTAGTGAGAGTTCTTGCTGTTGAAAAATCTGGGATTTTTGTGTCTGGAATCCACTATGCACTCTTCCCAATGCTTCTTGTCTTTTCCGTTCAGTGGGTTTGTTGGATGGTCCCGTCCAGCTGATGACTGGCAAGAGAGAGAGGAAGAAGACGGAACGGTTGACCTTTGACACCAAGAAGGAGGCCGTGGACACCAAGTTTGAAGTGGAGGAAGGCAGGGGGACGAGGCTTGGGGATATTCCAAACGGTGAGTAGAGGCAAAGATGCTTATGGTAAAGAATTCCGTATTAATTGATTTTTTGTTTCTAATGGTCCAACATTGTATTGTCATCTTAATTCGGCATGTACCGCCACGATGATTTTTAATAAACCTGTTTATCTATATATTACTAAACTCTACTCCGATATGGTGAACGTAAAAAAAAAAAATTCAAAATAAATTGTTTCCAAAAAGCTCGCCCTAGTGGTACTGCCAGTGAAATTTCTAGGGAAATGCAAGTATAAAAACAACGTACCCTGTATCCTCACGAAGGGATCTTCGGATGAATTAAATGACTCTTTCATTCACTTTTGTCCTTGTTTTTCGTTGTCAGTTGAGTACTACATATCCAGGACCAACTCTGAAAACTTCCGGGCAATCTACCGGTTCCTCTTAGGCAGAACGGGAAAGGTAGGTCACAAACACTTTGGCGATATCGTAAAAATCTAACCCCTTCATTTCAGATTTTCGGCAATAGCAAACATAAACAGTGTTTGACTTTAGCGGTAGCCCGCTAGCCAAATGCTAGTCAAAACATCGGCGGGCTAGTTAACCTATTCCATAGTCCTGAATCCTCCAATTTTAATATCATTTTGCACACCCCCTAGGGAGTTAGGGTTAGGTGGCCTGGCTGGCGAGTAAAACATTATTGGGCTACAGCAAAGATGAAAGGACAGGAAGAAATATATTATTAAATTCAGAAAGCAAACCTGTATCAATTTGAGTTTAATTTTATGAACTGTTAAGGGTTAAACTTTTAGATCTGTTTTTTAAACACACCAGATTGCCTCAGGATACACGTTTTACATGTATGCACATTGTTGCTTATGAGACATTCTATGAAAGAGAAACATGCGGGCTAGTGAAAATGCCTGGGGCGAGTTAAGAGTCTGTTACAGTAGCCCGGCTGGCTAGTGAAAATATAAGTTAAGGTCGAACCCTGAACATAAATCCCACTTATGATTTTTTTTTCTTTTGTTACAGGCTCACGAAATCAAGAAAAATATTCGTAAATTCTCTGGGTTCAACTTTGACAAAGACTCGCCGGAGTATACGAAGAAGGAAGCCACATTAGTCAGGTAATTTTTTTTTAAATTAAATGTTGAAATTTAAATTTCGTGAAATCGCTGCGTCACTGCAACAAGGTTTTATCTCCTAAAATTGCATGAATGCAAAGCGCGAGTTTTAGAATGTCAAACTGTCATATCTTGCTTAAAGTATTCCCGATGTACACGCAAAGTCAACGGACGTCGAGATACGACCTTGTTGCACTGACGCAACGAAATACAAGTTCAATAGTCTTGTTCCTTAACCAGTTCGCATCAGAGTTCGCGTCCCATATAGTGTTTATGAAATTGCATTGAGCGATTTACTCTCTTTGTATCAATCAGGTAGGGCGGGGCTAAGGTCTTCAACAGACACTTCCCGATTACATGTTCCTATTAACACTAAAACCACAGGTGACAAAGCATTCTCGATTGCTGGCCCCAGGGAGTGGAACAAGATCCCTCAACACATCCGACTTGCATCATCAGTCATCACATTCAAGAAATTCCTCAAAACACATCTGTTTCTTTAACTCGATTCGCCTCTTCTTTTACCTCATATTATCCGCTGTTTTTCTTGAGTTATTCTGAAGTTAGTTGTATTTTTGTACAGCGCTTTGATCATTGTTAAAAGCGCTTTATAAATGCTCTATTTATTATTATTATTTATTCATAAATACCTCAGACAGTTTAGCTATTCCTATTGGTCGAGAGCCCGTCACGTGGCCGGTCTTAAACGGATGATAAAGACATGGCTAGCTGGTCTTAAACACTTTTTCAGTGTCAAATAAAATGTGGACTCCTAAAAATCCAGTGCCTCTTACCGTTTTATTGGTTGAACGTTCACAATCCGTAGGCATGCGCAACACTACCAGCGAGTCAGAATCTTATAGTTCTAAATTCAAAATGCAACGCCCCAGGTGCGTTCTGCGCAACATCGCGCAGAACATGCTACGCGCGCGTCAATCTCCATAAAAGGGTTGTTTACATCTTACTCACCAGCTGAACACTCCATTATTTTGCTAGAGGGATGTTTAAAAAAGCATGAAGTGAACTTGTTGAACAAAATCGGGATATTTTGAACAAATTATTTGATATTTTTTTACCGAAAAGGTATTTATGAATGGAATAAATATGTGCTCGGTCGGTATTTATCACTCTGTTTAAGACCGCTTAGAGTCTGGGTGCTGATAATTACCCTCGCCTCCGGCTCGGGTAATTATCAGCACCCAGACTCTAAGCGGTCTTAAACAGAGTGATAAAAACCTCTCGAGCACACATTTTTTCCCTTAATATAAGGTCTATTGAAAAAAATATATTAATTTCTTGTTTCCTTTTTTTTTCTTTTTTTTTTGGCAGATACACGATGGAGGGACTGAAGGAGGTCTGCATGTGGCTAGACCTGGACAAGTCGGGAAACAAGGAAAAGATCCTGGAGAGAATCATGGATTTCTGCTTAAAACCCGAGCCCTCGGGAAGACCACATCCTCAGAAAAGTAAGTTAGAATTCCCTCCATTGAAACACCATTGTTTCAATGGTAAACCAGAAGGAAACAAGCTACCACCAATTCCTTTCAACGACTACGGTCAGTTGCAAGGTTGACAAGTTGCCTTGGTTGGAGCAGGTTGTCCTCGTCCCCTAGGAGGCCTAGAGATGTTGCAGATGAAAAGCCTGTGAAAAAAATATGCTCTTTATGTTTCACCGCATGGCAGAAAAAGTGCAGGATGACCGACCACAAAATATGAAGAACTTATTTGCAAAATTTACATCCATTTTTTTTTCAAAAATAAGTTTCAACCTGCAATAGTTAGTGTTTGACAAGGGCTTTTAGGTTAACCACTCAAATTTGTTCCAAAAGGGTTTTCATTCCACAGTAAAATCCGACTGGAAATTGCATTTGCCATGCAAAAGGATATAAATCCTAGGTACATTTTCCATTTTTCTCTGAATTCTTTGAATGGCTCATAAGCCCTTTTGCAAATAAGCTCTTCATATGTTGTTGTTGTTGTTGGTCGCCCTGCACTTTTCTGCCGCGTGATGAAACATAACGAGTGTATCTCTTCACAGGCTTTTCATCTGCAACAATTTAAAACCTTTAATACTGCAAATTGTAAAGGAGATTGCTCTACCAATTTGTCTGGATTTTATTAGTGCTGTAGTCAAGGCACTTATGATTACTCACAAGTTCATTTTTGCGTTTTTCTTAAGAAAGGTTGTTTTTTTTTTCACAGAGAGGAAGCCCAAAGTCGTGAAGAAGAAAGGAAAGAAGAGGAAAAGAAAGGAGGATGGCTCCGGCGACGCCAAGAAAGCCAAGAAGGCCAAGAAGTCGAAGAAATCATCGGAAGATGTTGACGCAGACGAAGAAAATGAAGAAGATGTTGAAGAGGAGGAAGAAGAGGAGGAGGAGGAGGGGGCGGAGTCAGCTGAGGGGGAGGATGGAGACGACGAAGATGAGACACAGGTGGGTTGGGGTGTTCACGTTCCACGGAGGTTTGCAAAACCAGCAACATCTCTAGCTTTGGCACCTGCAATCTGATTTTTTTCTGAAGCCAAAGCTGATGACGTAGCCATGGTTTGGGAACACCCCCTAACTTACTAAACATTTTAACCTTCTGTTCCAAATTGTCACAGGGTCAGATGTTGGAAGGTTGTATCAACAATCACTGTATCAAACAGTGCCCATTGACCAATTGGATCAAGCGTTTTTGGTCAGGTGACCCTGATAGTGGGCGGGGCCTAAGGGAAAATCGGGAGCAGTTCATTGTGAAGGTGGAAGTTGAGGAGCGGCTTGTGGAGAAAAAAAAGTAATCCACTTATAAATAACTGATTTCTCATGGATTTTTTCTCCATTCATTGTTTTATGTAGGAACCCAAGAAGAAGAAGGCCAAATTAGACAAGCCGTCACCTCAGAAGAAAGTGGAAAAGAAGAAACAGGAGAAGAAAAAACAGGCTCCCAAATCACCCAAGAAGTCTCCGAAAAAGACCCCAGCTAAAAAGACCACCCCCAAGAAGACAACACCCAAGAAAGCCTCGCCCAAAAAGAAGGCATCAATACAGATCACACCCAAGTCAAAGAGCAAGGCAAAACCGCTGAGTAAGGTTTTAAAATTCAGGAGATTTTTACAACATCCCGTTATTCATTAAAATCTGCAGCGATAGTCTGCCCAACAGTACAAAGTCAAAACCAAACTCCAATTGGCTTCACAACTCTTGCCGATAAAGTTTGAAACTTTTTCCTTTTTGTACCAGGGGTCCAGCACAGGAAATTGACTGACATATGATTTGTCCAAGAAACAAATATGCCATTAGGTTCCTGCAAAGAATTTACACAACTTTGTTCTTTTCTCTTTTTAGCGATAGAAGACTCCGACGATAGTTCCGATGACGAACCACTGATGAGGAAAGCTGAACCATCGGTGAGTCAGAAAAGACAAACATTTGATTTCAGTTCTTTTGACGTAAATTTGTATTGAGCTGATGCATTTAGCGTGACAGGAATTCAATGACCAGTAACTTTCCTTTTGTCTTTCTTACCCCTTCAGGAGGACCAGATCGAGCAAACCATCAAGACGTTCCTGGAGAAGGCCGACCTGGAGTTAGTCACCATGAAGATGGTCTGTAGGAAGGTCTACGAGACTTACCCAGACTTCAACTTGGCTCACAAGAAAGACTTCATCAAAGCCACCGTCCGATCGGTAAGTGCCAGGATGCAGCATATCTATGCGTGAACAAGCGAGGGCACTTTTTACCACTTTTGGCAGTCCAGTGAACAGGGCACACTGCGTGCGTATACTCTTTGTTGCGCATAAGTTGCGCGTAAGTACGCACGACTTACCTTATTTAGAATGTGCACAAAGCCATAACGTCTTCGCGTAAGCCTCAGGCGTCGTCGGCAGTCAGTTCAGGAATGTCTCCCAGTGGTCTCCCCCAACTCTCCCTCTCTTACCGTTGAGGGGGTACTTGTGCACGGTGCCCATAGGGAGGTTTTGCATGCGGAAGGATGCGCATATGCATATATTTAACCGTCCATCACGGTTATTTGGCCATTATGGTGTTTTCTTTGCAGATTAGACGGCTGATTTGCATCAGTTTCATCAATCCCAGGCACTTTTGGGGTTTAAGGGACCTTTTGATATTGTCTTCATTTTTGATACCATTCTTTTCTTTCTTTTCAGATAATTTCATGATAGGAGATCAAACTGCTTCCCCGACAGATGACATTCTTCATCCTTTCAAACCCAGTTGCAGCTACAACGGTCTTGCATGAACACGTTTTGCCAAAATCAGGAAATTTATAATTCGCCAAACTATCAAACGCAACTTTCTAAATTGCCAAAAAAAGCTTCACATTCCGGGAACAAAAGGAAAAGATAATTAAATGAAAGCTAGAAAAATGGTGGTGTTTTGGGGGCAGTTAAACACAAGTCTTTTCTCCATGACAGTACTTTCATGTTGAAATTGCGATGCGCCAGTAAAAAGAATAATTTTTGCGAGTTTTTCAATCTTGTTACGGGAATAAGAAATTGCGATTCGTTGTTGAATTCCACTCCAAGTTTCAAAGGCTTTTTGTAAAATAATCCTGCCTTAAATACTCCCCCTGTGAATCACTCCCTAATGTACATACACCACACAGGCCTATACCTTCCTCTGTTTTAATGTAGCTATGTAGTTTGTGAATTTGTTTATAATGTACATGTATATAGGACACTGTTAAATACACTCAAATCCATCTTTTTATTAGGCGTTCAGGATTTTACAAGCTCGCATAATTATTGTAGATGTTTCACTATTTTTTTTTCAAGTAAAAGGATGTTTCATCTTCAATACATCACAAGAGAACATTTCTTTTAACCGAAAGTTTGTTTCCATTTCCCTTGATATTTTTAATAAAGACCGGGTTTCCTATTTTTTCTTCTGAATTTTGATTTGGTTCATGATAAAACAGTATTGTGTTCCTCAATGTAAACAAAAAATGATGCTGAGGAGACATGAGTGTAGTCTGAAATAATTTAACAGTCATTCGAGGAATTGTTTTTAAATTCAAATGATTGCTATCTTTTATACATGTACATACTCGAAAAAAAAGGAACCTTTTAGTTTGATTTGTTTTTGTTTTTTAACTGGATTTATTTTTTCCAGGAAGGCATCAAGTCATGCGCATGTACATGTACTTAAATCGGGGAGATAAAGACCTAGTTTTACAAATTGTGCATGTGATTAAAAAGCTGTTTAATTTTGGGAGATGTGTGGATATTTTTATTTCAGAAACTCATACTTGTATTTTGTTCAGTGTTATGTAGGCATCACTTGTCGGTTTGGCAAAGTAAGCATTAACGTTCAGTTGTATGCTATGATTTAACTTCCAAAGCTTGAAGTATGCTCGGTACATTTTGTGTAAGGCCCGATTGATCTCCTTTTGAAATTGCATATTATTAGTAAATAAATGTGTTTTTATTTTATAAAATGGTGTTCTGTTACACGATTACAATATAGACCGTTTGCACTTCGGCCATGTTTGAGGTCTGTGCTTTTGTTCAACAGTGACACATAAGCAGACCTCTGATGCATGCATTGTTAATTAACATAAAACACACTGCTAAGATGGCGTCTGAATGCAATCAGTCTATAATGTTTATAAGCAAGGCTAAGGAAGTAGGCAGAACAAGTTTTGTTAAGAATCAAAAATAATTTCTGTCCTGGTGAATGTTTGGGGATTTTTTTTGGGGGGGGGCATAGTTTGAATTGTACAGTTTTGTAAATGAACAGAATACGGACATTTATTCTTGTCATTCACCTAATTCCTCCAGTTTTGCTGTCGTATTAACCAATTCCAAATTTTTGTTTGCGTTAGGTTTTTGTATTTTGTGTCTGTTTGAGTGGAATAATCTTGACAAAATAATACCATGAAGTAATTTACTGTATGAAAAGTTTTTGATTCTATTTTTTGTTGTCCCCGAGTAAATTAAATAACTTCTTAAAGACTGATTTCATGTTTCTTCAAGGCACTTTCAGGCTTCATATTTTCATATACTTGTATTTACTTTTGTATGGTTTTCACAATTGGATGCAAGATTAAGACCATTTCGTCTTATCAGTTTTAAAAGGGAAAAGAGTTAATCTAGTGAGTGAACATGAGCTAGAGCAGTAATAATTTGAATATTCCACTAAATGGCAAAATGGGAGTAAAATTATATCGATCTTGTTATGGGTTTGTATAATCCTAAAAAATATCCTTTTTTCATTAAAATTAAAATCAGTACTTTTACATTGTATTCGTTATGTTTCACTTTTTATTGATATGGATACGGCAAGGGTTAAATAACCACGGTACTAAGATGACAAAGAACTGATAAATGTCGACGCATTTTTTTTTTATTGGGGCGCCCTCACTTTTGAACCACAAAACCTTATCGGATCTTCTAACTGTGGCACTGGCTCTCGTGCAACGTACGTGTTGTTAAGCGAACATACACGATCCGAACAATTAACTGCACAAACGGATCGCAAAATTATACAGCTAGCTGTGTATGTCGTATGCGGATGTACATAAAAGGACCTGAGATTTTGACACGAATTTTCTTTCCCTGTTAGTGTTTTCAAACTAGTCTGATAAAGCCGGGAATTTGTACTATAAAGGTGAGCATTTATTGAACATTTTCTTTTTAATGAGGAAGGTTATTCTCCCGAGGAATTTTGTGAAAAAGAAATTGCCCAGTTTCCGGACGTCATGGCCGACCTTGGACGAGAATGCATGATGATGGTGAAAAGATGAACAAATATTTGACAAAGATTTGAGGGAAAGAATGTTGCATCCTGACGTCACTTTTTTTTAATCATAGATAGGGGGCCTATTGTCTCAATGAAATTGAAGGACTGTCAGTCATTGCAAAAATGTTGAAATTTTATGAACTGATGTGATGAAAAGACATGAATCTGGACAACTTGGCACAGACTTTATTTTTGCATGGGAGGGTTAATAAAAATAAGTGACAATTTAGATACTTTTTCTTCCCAGAATTTAGGAAAAAACTGTTGGAGACTGCAGATTAAGCGAGTATCATCAGCATACAACACCAGCTTGTGACATCATGGCTGACCGCAAAGACGGTGAAGACGATAAGATCTATGGTGGATGCGAGGGACCAGACGCCCTCTATGTCAAGCTGGTGTCGTCCGACGGCCACGAGTTCTACGTGAAACGAGACCTCGCCCTGACGTCTGGAACGATAAAGGCCATGCTGAGCGGACCAGGTTGGTGGTTGTGATGCTCATATTAAACCTAAACTCCAGAGAACTATTGCACAAAAAGTGCTCTACTTAGGCCAAAATTAAAAATATTCTGCTTCCGGTTACCCTACCTACCCTATTTTGACAGCCCCTACCCTAATTTTTTTTGGGGGGGGGGGGGGGGAGAAATGAGGTGAAAAAAAAAAGAAAACCATCAATTACTACCTTTTACCCTTGATTACACGCAGACACCTCCATATATGATTGTACAGCAACAAAAAAATTCCAACAAAAATTTTTCCCGACTTGGCCTATTTTCAAATGCCATGTAATTGGAAGTAGAAGTATTTTTTATCTTTTTTTTGGCCTTATCATTGATTTTGCAAAATTTTGTCTTGGTTTTATCAATGATTTCTACCCAGATTCTTATTCTTTGGTCTTTCCAGGTACATTTGCGGAGCATGAAGCCAATGAAGTCTGCTTCAGGGAAATCCCGTAAGTTCCTAATCCTTTGCAAATTTATAAAATAAGAATGCTCAGAAACTTTACTTCTGTAGCTCATACGACTTAAGTGGAGCGCCGTGGCCTGTGGAGCGCGTGGCCTCGTGGTCTGGAGCATTGAATTCGTGGTCAGCGGGTAATTCTGCAGGTTGTGGGTTCGAGTCCAGCCTGGGGTTATGGTGCATGTGCCCTTGGGCTAGGCACTTTGTCACTCATTGCTTCTCTCCACCCAGGAGTAAATGGGTACCTGTGAGGGCAGAGGTGGTTGATTTAATCTTTGCACCGAAATGGCAGCATCAAGCTGTATACTCTCCAGGGAGCTGAGATGGTGTACAGTTGACTCTCGTTAGTACAAACTCTGTTAATACAACATTCCGGTTATAACAAACATAAAGCCTTGGTCCCGACTGTGCATTTATATGCACAATGAATGGGACTGATGTTCCTCTTAATACAAAATTCTGATATAACAAACAGTTTAGCTAAGTCTGAACGAGTTTGTTATAACGAGACTCGACTGTATTTGGAATGTTTCATTTGCCCAATGAGCAGGGTAATAATGATGTAACATCTTGAGCACCAATAATGGTTGATACGTACACTTTATTATACACATTATTATTATTGTTGTTATCCCTTTTTTTGTAGCTCACACGTGCTCTGCAAAGTCTGCATGTACTTCACTTACAAAGTGCGCTACACGAACAGCTCCACGGAGATTCCCGAGTTTCCCATTGCGCCGGAAATTGCCCTGGAGCTCCTCATGGCAGCCAACTTCCTGGACTGCTGATGGGAAGAGCTTCCCGAAGTTGGCTGCCGTTTTCCTCCCATAATATAGGAAAACATTAAGCCCATTATTCTGCTTATGTCCATTGCTCCCCCAATTTATTTCCCACAGTACAAACTTTATGGTAATTTTAAGACCTTGAATGTTTTGCGGATTTCTTGTTTTTGGAATTACAAGTCCGTGAGTCAGTAGTCACTCTTGAGGATACATTTGTATTGTGGAGTAGCATCTCGCCCTCTTGGAACCAGACCAAGATGTCTGCCACACAGTTGAGGTCTTCTGCTTATTGTTGCACTCATACATGCCCAGTGTCAGCAATGTATTTAGTCTAAAAGAATTGTAGCCTGTAAAGATATAATATTGCTGTTGCTTTGTTAGTTTATTGATTTAAAATATGTAATTTAAAATGGGGCAACTAAAAAACAGGTCATGCATGTATTTCTGGGACATTCTGCCGTTCTTTATTACTGCAGAAGGCAAGCAAAATGTTTGTGTGTGACGACTTGAATTAAAACAATACTTTAATTAACTAGCTAGCATGCTTAATTAAAAACTACCTGTATCCTGAGGGTTAAATAAGTTAAGGCATGAAGAATTGTAACCATTTCTTACTTTATATTCTGTCAAAGCATGTCACGTTTTGCAGATTTTTTTCCCCTCCATTTATCAATTTGTATCTATGTATAGCTTATTTTGATGTTGAACAGTTATTCTAGTGTGTAGCTTAACTTGTTTTTTAATTTGATTTGACACATTTATGGGGTATTTTGAAACATTAACCTTAATATCTTAAAGACATTTTTCTCCTTCCGAATCCATCTGCTCGTCAAGTTTCGAATGTGAAATTCGTTTACGCATGCTAAATGCACTAGTTTGAATCTTACAGCAAATCTCACGCATCGAGGTGTCCGAGTTTGATGTGCACTTTTTTGATGTGCACTTTTATAAAGTGTATGTGGTGGGCAGCTGTGTTAAGCAGGCACAACTAGAAGTATACATGTGTGTAGCATTTTAAAGAGTAAACTAAACGCACAAAAAGTTGCATAAGCATCTGATGTAGCTTCATGCAACTTTTTTGCTTTAGTTTGTCATTAAAAGTGCTACATACGAATAATTCTGTGCTTTTTGGCAGTTTTTTTCCCATCTTGCATTTAGTTAATAAACAAACATTAAGATAGCAAAATATTCCTGCTTTTTATTTTAATCTCCAAGTTACAAAAGATAGTTTTTGCTTTAAACATCACATTTCTCTGTATGTATGCCTTAATACACCAGATTTTTTTTTAAAGCGAGTTTGATTTTCTTGATATGCAATAAAATGTGTACAAAAAGTGCAATTTGTGTTTAGAAATCATGTTAGTATACTTGTTAGCCCCCCCCCCCCGAGTTTTCAATATCTCTAACTATCCTCAGAATGGAAACTCAAGCTGGATAAAGTTTCAACCCCTGAAAAGATAAAATCTTAATCCATGTTGATGATTGCATTGTGTTTTGTTTTATTTTATCGACAGACTTTTGTTCCTTTTTAACCTTAAGTCAAAACCTTCTTACAAACATTGAATCTTTCAACAAAATAAATACTATGTGTCGGCTTTTTATATTTATAAACGATTTATAGATAAACGAACGTTAAGTTTACATAGCAAAGAAAACTTAAGTGGAAATGATAGTCCTATGGCTTCGGACTAAAGTTCAAGTCTAGCAAACTGAACAACAGACATCTTATGTGGAATAAACACACTCATGCTTTTGGCCCATGCTTGTTGCACTAACAGAAATATTAATTCCTATAGGCAAATTTAGTAAATAAAGTAACAATCGTCACTAGAGGGCTCTTTACAATAATAATGTGACCTTCAACTTGTAGGCCTTAGCCTTCATATCTTCAGAGAGGCGGCATTCTTGCTCCAGCTCTTGCCAGTGAGTCTGCTTCTTCGTTGCCTTTGATGTTGGCATGACCAGGCACGTATTTCTGACAGAAGACAAAAATAGAGAGAACTTACAAATCCTGTCAAGCCGTAAGTCCCTGTAATGCCCCCAAATGCCCTGCATGTTTCCCTTAAAGCTATAGTCCATCATTTGCAGCCATCCGAAAAAGTAACTGGCGTATTATTGTTGAAAAACATACTTGGTTGAAAGATAGTAAGTGGACTAAACTCCCTGTGAAATTAATCTTTCTGGCAAGCTATCATTTTGAAGTAATCAACGAAAGAAGGCCTTTCCAACGTTGCGTCTTAAGACGCACCGTAGGAAAATTTAAATTAGTAGTTCGTTTTGTTATTCGGCGCAGTGCGCGCAAGCATTGGCACGACACACAGGCGCGCGCGGTTGCTATAATTCGTCGGATCAGTGCGCGACATCGCGTACAGCTGCAATTCAAAACAATTCAAAACATGATTCAGCAACTTTTGATTTGAAATTGAGATCCTAGAATGCTGTTTTTCTCGGAATATACTGCTGAAGCTGAGCTGAAACTTCATCAGGTTAGTTGTCCAGCATCCTTCATTAGATGTTGAACACTTTTGTTGCTTCAAACGAACAAAATGCACAAATTACAAATGATGGACTATATCTTTAAAATAGCCCAAGCCTGCCCCAGCACTGCTTTGTTTCTGGATTTTATAGGGAATGTAATACAATGTAACACAATGTAACACAATGTAATACAATGTATATACATGTATGTACATGTGATAATGGGTTTAACACCACTCACCCAATCTACATTCACTTCCTGGCAAAGACCGTCTAAGGTTTGAAGTTCCTGTTTGTTCAAGACGTCCTTCTTGCCAGCTGTCTTCCAACCATTGACTTTCCAGCGATGGATCCAGTCATTCATGGCTATCAGCCAAAAAGCAAAACGACAAGTTTCAATAGAGTAAAGTAAGTAGAATAAAGTCCGTCGCGAGCCAATGTGGCCCATCAGGCCAGCGTTTATCTCCGGCTTCAGTAGCATGAAACGACTGAGAATATTTCTTTTTCCCCTGGACGGGATGCTAATCCATCGTAGGTTACTCCCCAGCTAATGCCGATACCCATTTACACTCCTGGGTGGAGAGAGGCAAGTAGGGATGAAGTGGCATGCTCAAGGACACAACATATCACCAGCAGTTGGATTCGAACCCCTGACCGCGAAGCCACGAACCCCAACCACTAGGCCACACTCCGCCTATAGAGCAGGCACATAAAGTCGATAACCTTAAAAGAGCTTTCATTCACAAAAATGGTTTTGTAACTTTTTATATTTAAAGTAGATTAAGTTGCCAGGAAAAATATCTGTAATACTACTCACAATTCATTGTGTACTTGCTGTCGGTGTACAATGTGAGTTCCTTGATATTCCTTGATTTCGCTGTTTCCACAGCACGAATGGCAGCCTGAAAAAATATGAGAAATCATGCTTATTTGCTCAATTTGTGAAAGTCACTTAATAACCACAATAATTTAGAATCTGTGTACCCACTTCTAATAATAATAACAATAATAACGGCAAATTACAACGCGCCGGTATCCGCCATTAATGGCATAATACGATTAGAACAAATGGCAAGAAGAATTGTGAACATGTTCTCATCAGAATTTGAATAAATTTTTCAATCTGTGACTGGTGTTATTATGAGTTAATGTCCCCGATGAAAACTGGACAAAAAATTACCGCGATTTCAGCTCGCTGGTTGGTCTGTCTGCCGTCAAGTCTCTCACTGGTGTTGTATGGGTTATTGTCCCCCCAATACACGCCCACACCGGCCCGGGCACCCCTGCGACCATTGCTTTCACAGGACCCATCGGTGTACACAACTGCTCGACCTGGTCAATATAAAATAATTTCATACTACGTTACTATTTTACATTAAAGTGATTGAGATTTGCCATTTGTATCAAAACTGAATAACTGGTACCTTCTCCAGAAAAAAGGACAATCTAACTAAAATCCACGGCCAAAGGTCAAAATATCATCCTGGAAACTCTTACCACTTCCAGCTGAGTTTCCAGATGATGACGATGGTGATGGTGATGATGATGTCGATGATGATACCGATGAGCTGTAAGATGAAGCAGAGCCAGTTCTGTAATTTCTTGCTTTCTTGTAAGAGTTGCTGTAACTTTCTTCAGCTGGTGGTTCGTGCTTTCTTTTGTTTGAGTAACTCATCGGATGTGTGTACTCGGGTGTAAAAACTGGCGCCGGCTCTGGTGTAAAGGAATAGTCTGAAAAGAGAAAGAAAACATTTGAATAAATATTTGAAATTTTCTGAACAACAAAAAAGACTTCCACACACAAATCTTCAAGCCTGTTTAAAAAAAAGATGGGAAAAGACATACATTTCAAATCTTTTATGGTTAGGAAATATGAATTTTAAGGGTAAAGTAGTTTTTGTGTAAAACTATTCAAATTTGGGTAAATCTGAAATCGTGCCATAATCAATGCTGTGTTTTGGCTTAAATGTTATTTGTACAAATTTATGGTTACAGCATTAAACAAAAACTCTAAAAAGCTGCAATGGAGTCTTTAGACACTGTTCTCTTGTATTCTGCTTTACCCTAGTCCAAGAAAATGTGGGATTCTCAATACTTTGTACGAGAGTCACAAAAGTTTATAGTGAAAATATGCAACACAAGAAAATAGACTGGCATACAAAACAGTCCCAACACCCCTTTAGTACTGCATCAATCAACTGTGTCAAAAGAAATACTGGTATCGGTCTCTATTTGGACACATCTCTCTATAGTCTGCCACCAGACTACTGAAGAGGTCAGTCTTTTCAAACAGTTGGACATGTACCAGTCTAGTCTTAGGCTTCAAATTGAAACCACTTGGCTTCACTCTCAGGTGCAAACTATTGAAGAAAAGTCTCCTTTAGAAATTGAATTGAGACTTCAAACTTGGCTGGTGAAATACCGAGGACCTTGTCTTTGCCTCACGACAATTTTGGAGAATTCTGTCTGCTAAAGAGTGAGTAAAATTGGTCTGAATCTGTTTTGCATGTTTTTCTGCTCTCAAGGTTCCAGTCTGGCTTTACCTGAGCCCAATGAGGCTGCTGCATAGCTCGTTGATGCGGGTGCTCGCTTAGTCTTATAACCATACGATGGATATGAACAGCCCTTGTTATACTGTCTCGCTGGCTGACTGGACTGACTGAAATGAGGGTTGGGATCTCTCTCCGCATTCACAAAGTCCCAGGCTTCTTGTGCCGTGCCGAACTTCTTGTAGCGGGCACCTCCGTAGCCATTGACTTGGGTGCTGCATTCATCCCTTTTTTTTCAAAATAAAAAAATAAAATAAAAATTATAAGATAAACAGGACATGAGGTTTTGCTAAGCATGAATTTTTTTTAGCCAGATTGACACATTTTTCATTTTTTTTGGATAAATATTATGGCTCAATTTTATAAATTCCCTAAAATAACTTCTCCAACCACTCTTTTTCGTATGCTTTTAGAATAGTAGAGAACTAGGCTACCGCTTTCGTCTCCATTTAAGTGCAATAAAAAAAGTCAACACTTTAAACATGATAGAGATTCATCATGACTCTGTGGCTATTTTGGATTTTTTTTCACATTTTAAAACACTTTTAAAATAAACATAAGGCCAAGTAAAACAAAAAGTTTGATCGTCCCCACCGCATTTTTTTTTAAAGCTGCATCCTTTTTTTTTCACCTCAAAAAGCTAACTTTTTCTTGTATTTCACTTTAATAAAATAATAAAATACATAGAACATGTTTAACCATGTTAACGTGAATATTTTGACTCTACTTACTACTATTATTGAGTATTAGGATAGCTAATTAAAAGCTGGCGGTCATTTTGAACCGAAGTTGGCGGCCATTCTGAATTGAAATACTTGGCGGCCATCTTGGAAATTTTTTTTAAAAAGGCCCTCAGCCTCATCATGCTCATGCTCCTCTTTTTTAAAAAACCTGGATGATCAACTGGATTTTTTTTTTACTTGACCTAAACTAACTAAAGCATTATGGAACATGCAAAGATCAGTGATGATCAAAAGCCGGTCCACATAAGGTTAAAAATATCTTCTCAAATGTTCTCTTCCCCCCCCCCGTCCGCCCCGCCCCCCAAAAAAATGACGTCATCACAAATCCATTTGCCATTTGCCATCAATCATCATCATGATCATCAAGCAGAATGCAAATGCTTGCCGTACCATGAATTAAAGACTCCTACACTTCGTCCACTCCTGACGGCGTAGTGAAATTTGGGCATGGTCTGTAGGCATAAACCTAAGGACCGGCAGAAACGAGAGATGCTCATTCACCTCCGACACTTGCACAGCTCAAGTAAGTTTTGCCGAAGATTTATGTTTTGAACACGAACCATGTGCGACAATATTTTAGTCTGGTTCTAGGTGCTCTTTAATTGATTTTGTACATGACAATGTCGTAACTAGACCATGATTAAACAGGTCAAAGGTTATATCTATGCCACGTTCAACATATTTTTTTTTGATGGACAAATAAACTTCGAAAGGTTTCTCCCATATTTAATTCTTATATACACATAATATAAAAAGTAAATCAAGTATTTTTTTGTAGTCAAATTAAGAAATATAGTGATAAATATTGATAATTCAAAAACAAAAAGAATATTATCACATAGTAAAAAATCTCGCGGATTTTCGCTTGGCTACGAGAAAAATTCGAGAACTTCGACCTTTTCGGCCGTAGTTCTAATGTGAGTTGAGAAACGGATTTGCAGACCACCGTTTGTAAATTCGTATATACGATAATTAAAATCAAATAATAAAGAAATAGTAGATTCATGTTAAAGAGTATGAGTATGTCTTCCCCACACCTTAATATTTTTAAGTAAATGGCCCAGGATGAACATGATGGCAATGGATGGAAAATGACGAACTATTAATATACACAATTAGCGTTCGTATAATGGCGGTGGCGGAAAGACAGTCACACATTGACTCACTAGGCATGCTAGGCCTACCCATTTGAATTTGTTTTGTTAATATTACAAGGAATTAATACATGTACTTTTTTATACACAAATCATACGTCTTTTAAATTAACAATACCCATCAACTTCAGCTCAGTTTTATGTTTTAAAATGAGAGAGGGGGCACATTATTTATGGCAATTTTTTGCGTGCAAATTTTTTTCGAAGTGGCTATCGTTACGGCACTCGTTGTTTAGCGCCCTCTACGATATTTTTTTGATACGCACGCAGGTATATAATTATTTGTTTCCCCACGTTTTATCGAGCAGTGCGCCAGCTCAGCCGATAGAGGGTAGGATTTTGCACCGCGAGGTTGCGGGTTCGAACCTCAGTTTTGCACTCGAATTTTTTTCCTTTTCTAACCTGAGGCTTTGGAGGATTTTTTTTAAAAGGGAAAAAAAGTCCGAATTTCATAAAGTTCAAATTCACTTTTTTCCTTCTAATTTTATATTTTCTTGTCATGTTTTTTTATAAAAGTTGCCAGGTTGCAGTCTACCGTAACGATAGAAAATGGGAAATGCGTTACGGCTGCCGTAACAATAGCCACTGCGAATTTTTGTTTATGTCTGTTGACTGATTGACTAAAGATAATGGATATTTTGCCGGAGGTAATGACGGCAAACTAACGTTTACTGAAGGTTTGCCGGCGGCAATCCATATCAACAGAGGGCGCTGTACTCTTTAAGATAGGGCTGAATTATAAGATGTATTAAATTCCCGCCGAAAGTTGTGTAGCACGTTTGGTGTAGTGGTTAAGCAAAGACTCTAGTGGGTAGTGACAGGATGACTCGGGTTCGATCCCGATCCCTGCCACATTTTTAAGTTTTTTTTTCCATCCCCAAATAAATAAGAATATGCTTCTTTTATTATTTTAACATGTCTCAAACATTTTATTGCAGAGTATTACATTTCTTTTTCAGATTTGTGGCTCTGGAGGATTTTTTTTAAAGGGAAATAAAGTCCGAAATTATAAAATGGTCTGAATCCCATCTTGTGAATAAGAGGTTACAACGATAATATTGGCATGGAGCCTGACTAAAATTTGTACAAAAAACCAGTAACTGCGCATGTTCAGTGCATATCTGGCAAACTAACGTTTACTAAAGGTTTGCCGTCTACGGCAAAATATCCACTGCCTTGACTAAACTGGTTCTCAGTCCTTTCTTTATTGATGCTGATTGGCGGGGGGGGGGGGGGGGGGGGGGGGGGATTCTGACCTGCAAGAACTGAAGTAGTGTTGGGCTTCAATTAATTTGTAAAATAGTTGTATCAAAACGTGGGCTGATTTTTTTGGGGGGCATTTCGACTTGTCTCATTCAATAGGCCTAACTTTTGTTTTGCTAGAAAAAAAAGCCATTTAAAAAATCTCTGGTGACACTGACAGAAGTGGCATCGGGTCAACTGCATTCTACCCAATATTCAGATATTAGGCCTGTGAAAAGTGATTTCTCGTCACGAGTCGGGATGATAGATCCTGGTATACAATTTCTCAAGTGTGACTCCAGAATCGTTTCCTTTTCAGCACTGGTCCAAGATGGCGGTGTTTAGCGCAGGAGCCAAGATCATCAAGCCATCAGGCGAGAAAGCCGATGAATTTGAACTCTCCATCTCACAGGTAAAAAAAACCGACTGACTACTGCAACTAATTTAGCAATAACTTTTCATCTATTTTACCCAAAGTAACCCCCAATCCTCCAAACTAAGTCCTCCAGGAGGATTTTGGAGGATTGTGGATGAATGCAACACACAATGTGAAGGATTGTCGAGGATTGAGGGCACATGGATGTTCAAAATCAGTTGATTTTGGAGGATTGAGGATGGTTCCTATCAAAAAGGGCCTGTTAAGGTTAATGTTATTTAAATATTTGAAACATATTTTACTTGTCTTTGTAATCGCTCTTATTTTTACAGGCCCTTCTGGAACTAGAGATCAACTCCGAGCTCAAGAGTCAACTGAGGGAGCTCTTCATCACAGGAGCAAAGGTCAGTAGTTCAAAGGTCATGACCTAGTAGTTCAAAGGTCGAACACACGTACTGTCCATTTACTAATTCTCGGAAGCTGTGAAACCCAACAGATCTTGAGATTCGCTGATGGACTACATAAAAGATGCATTCGTCTGCATTGTTCACTTGATGTTCTTCAGAGAGATCTTGTGACAAGCTGACAGATGCAAACAGTTTTGTTTAAGTCGCTTCGTAAACACCAAAATTGAGAATGTACAGAATTTTAAGAAGTTTATTTTCTACTGTGGTTAGGGGGAGGGGGGTTTAAAAACACTGTTTTACATCTTTCCTGTAAATCTATCACGTTTCTCGTAAAGACACACTTTGTTTCTGTTCATGAATTCCTTGTGTTATAGATACAAAATAGTAAAAGAAAGGTTATTATTTATGTTATTTTTATTTTAAATTTGCTTTCAGGATATTGACGTCGGTGGGAACAAGAAGGCCATTGTCATCTTTGTGCCCGTTCCCCAGCTCAGGGCCTTCCAGAAAGTCCAGAGCAGACTGGTCCGAGAACTGGAGAAGAAGTTCAGCGGCAAGCATGTCGTCTTTGTTGCTCAGGTAACGATAAACTCATCAGGTCAAATCAGGAAAGGGGAGTTCTTTATAAAGAAAAAGATGCGTAGCATTTTGACCTTGGATCATGTGGAGGAGTGTTCTTTCGGAAACGGGACAGAATGTTAAGGATGTGCCTTTGGGGTACTTCAGTGTCTTGGATTTGGCAGATGCAGGAATAATTCCAGTGCAATCACTGACCATAACAGTCTTGAATCCTCCAATTTTCATACGATTTGTTTTCATACTCTGTAGGGAGTTTACGGTCACAGGGCCCTTGCTGAGAACAGTGTCTCATCAACCTTGCCAATCTCTTGAATCCACGAAAATTTGTGTCCGGCGGTAATTGAACTAGGATGAATAGTGCCACCTACTGACCCTTTGTGTCCTTGATCGTCTACTTTGAACAGTGCCCCCTATCAGAAGATGGTGTCCAGCACCCCCCCCCCCCCCCCCCCCTTTCCACTTTTCAATTTTGTAGAGGCCGCCCTTGTACCTTAAGAGCATGGATGGTCTGTCGGCAAATTTGTTACCACAACCCCAATTCAACGTGGTCTAGTGATGTTTCTGACAGTAGAGTAGCCCTAACTTTCCCAGATTCTTGAAATACATGTACTAGGAGGTTAAGGGGTTCCCAGCTGCTTTTCTACAAATTCGGGGAGTGTGTGGCCTAGTGGTTAGGGTTCGTGACTCATGATCAGAGGGTCCGGGGTTCGAATCCAGCCGCTGGCCATATATTGTGTCCTTGGGCAAGGCACTTCACCCCCACTTGCCCCTCTCCACCCAGGAGTATAAGTGGGTACCGGCATTAGCTGGGGAGTAACCTGCAATGGACTAGCATCCCATCCAGGGGGAGTAGAAATATTCTCAGTCGTTTCATGCTACTGAAACCGGAGATAAACGCCGGCCTGATGAGCCACATTGGCTCGGGACAGACTTTACTTACTTTTTTTCTACAAATTCAAAGAATATGTCATTGCCTGCATAGTAGTTCAAGTTTTTAGTGCAAAACCCTTGGTAATTTCGGTTGACGTTATGTTGCTTTAAATTTTTCCCATGTGCAGAGACGCATCCTCCCCAAACCCACGCGCAAGTCCAGAACGAAGAACAAGCAGAAGCGTCCCCGCAGCAGGACACTGACCGCCGTCCACGACGCCATCCTGGAGGACCTGGTCTTCCCCTCGGAGATCGTCGGCAAGAGGATCCGGGTCAAGCTGGACGGAACCAGAATCATCAAGGTGCACCTCGACAAGAGCCAACAGATCCAGGTGGACTACAAGGTAAGGGACCCGATTGGTTGCTTTCAAAAATGTTACCATGGCAACATTGCAGGGAGAAAAGATACTGCCAATCCTTGGTTGCCTTGTAATCATTGGAATAAGGCTGTGGTTTTGTTTTTAGCTGCGGATAGCAGCTCTACTTGTGCTTGCTCTACTTGTGTCTCTCCGTTAGTCCGTAGGTTAGTTAGTTAGTTAGTAACAAACGTTGGAATGCGCACCTGTGCACTGTAACTCACCTTAGCCATCTCCCGCTTGAGGCCCTGTGTCAGTTGTATGGCCCTCGAGGGAGGGCAGACAGATTTGCATCATCGAGGTCAAGTTTGCATTGTGACGTTCAGCAAATGGGAAATTCTTTATTTCAATGCCACAGACATGTACAGTCGACTCTCGTTATAACAGACTCGTTCGGACCTAGCCAAATTGTTTGTTATATCAGAATCTTGTATTAAGAGGAACATCAGTCCCATTCATTGTGCACATACATGCACAGTCGGGACCAAGGCTTTGTGTTTGTTATAACCAGAATTTTGTATTAACAGAGTTTGTACTAACGAGAGTCGACTGTACATGCAAGAGCCCCATCTGTATCTCACACAGCGGTACACATGTACGAACACATTATTGGCCCCCATCTTCTGAGATCATTTAGAGCTTGTTGGCGCAGGGATACCGTGAACATTTTGGTATGCTAAAAAATAAAAGCGTTACAATTCTATTTTTCTTCCTTTTTCCCAGACGGACACCTTCAGCGCAGTCTACAAGAAGCTGACTGGCAAAGATGTCCTCTTTGAGTTCCCTGACTGGAATCTGTAAAGACCTAGTGGTGCAATGTTTAACGGAACATGGATACACTGTGGGAGAGGAGACAATCTACAAAAGCGCACCGGCCAGATACAGGACCCGATAAAGAGTCAAGAAAGCGGCCTAAATATTTCTTCACATTAGCTTAAATGCTGACTGGAAAGGTCTAATTAAAGTTGTATAGACAAAGTTGTCTCTGGAGACGATATTTAATTTGTGTCTTGCTTCATTTATTCACTGGTGTCCTTTGGTGTATGTCCGAAATCCATTTTGTTTGGAATTTCTTTGAAATTTGCCATTTTATGTCTATGTTTTCTCATCAAAAACAATAAATGCAATTAAACAGAAACAGTTATTATGATTCAAAAATTTAGCTGGATCCCAACTTAATCAGCTGCCCTTGTTTCCACTGAAGTGGCACTTTGGTGCATATTTCATTCAATTGCCAATTCCACACTATGAGCCACTGTAAGCATCTGGAAATGTTTATTGTCCTATGGTACTGTGTGGTCTGTTGCTATATTAGAAGATCCCAAAAACCGTAGGTTTCCACAGCTTCTGTAAAATTATTTGTTCATGATCATCTGCCATAACTCTTATGGCCCACTGTTGCATGCTTAAAAACCATCATGACTTTCTCCGATCCAAAACCAAATAAGTCAATGCCGGCTCCCTTTAGTATAGTTTGTCTTCTTTGGGTGTGGTCCTCTCATTCCAGAAGTTCTTTAATTTCATCTCCCTCCGGCCACATGCCGAATAAGAAACTGAACTCCCATCAAATTTTATAAGTGATTTCGGGCGTGGTCGTATCTTGTCCAGAAGGTCTTGTAATCGCATCCCCAGCCATGCACGTCCTGTCAGATATTGCCAACTTCTATCAAATATTCCCTTTGGGCGTGGTCTTCCATCTTGTCTTTACTCCTCAAGCCATGCCTGCCGGTCACTTTCGGACGCCGTCAAATGTAATGACCACCTTCCCTTGGGTGTGCCCCTCTTCCACGTGTTTGAAGGCCTTACCGGCTTCATCTGATCTGTAGATCTGGTCTATGATCGGTTTTATCTGAAAAAGAGGAGGAGTTTGCAAAAAATAATTCGAAGTTGAGTGTCCAAAAAAAACCACCCAAAAAACTAAAGTCGGTTCCCCTTTTAATTGCTTTAATATCAGTGAGTGCAGAATCCTATGTAGGATCGATGATGATGGTTGCCGTGAGTGATTATCCTGGAACGGGAATTTGAATAACGTATCCTACCTTTTTAGCCTCCACATATTTTGTTACTCGGTCCAGAATCTTTCCCTCTGGTAGATTGAAAGACCAGCTGAAGTTTGTGCCGCTCTGCCATGCCTACAAGAAAATGAACGGATCGGTTATTATGGGTTGAAACAAGGATGATAATAATATCCTCTAAATCGTTGGTTTGTTTATATTAAGAGTCGGGGACATTCGGGCATCATCATGTTCCGTCATTTATATAGTTGGCCTTTCTGAAAGTTTTAGATTTTCCCCTTGAAATGTTCGATATTGCTTTTCTATCTCCTGATATATAAAGTCCTGTTTTGGCCTGCTTTCTCACTCCAAAGCTGCACTCACTACAACTCAAAGTTAATCCACCGTGCCCTTCTAATTGTGTCATTATTCCATGTACATGTACATGTAGCCCTATTTTGTACCTACCGACACCCACATCCTGTTTCAAACACCCATATTGCATGCACTCCCGCACCCCATTCCATCTTGGATATATTCGTCAAGACATAATAAGCAGCCGATCACCAGCATTTCCGCCCAGTAACCCACAAACCATGTTTTCCAACCCACACTACACCCCACCAACCCAAACTGAACCCCTTTTCAACCCATACCAGCTTCATCTTGGATACATTCGACACGAAGGAGCCGATCATCATCCCATATTTCTCGGCATCGTCCATCACCGGCGTCACGAAGCTAACGTAATAACCGCCTTTGGCACAGAGTTTGAAACAGACTTTCCTCACGGACGGACCTACGGTGTCAATGATGACATCAAACCTGCCGAGATTGAAAAGTTGGTCGGAATATGCTGATCTTGATATTAGTGTCATGGTTATCAGTGTCGTGATTTCTGTCAGTGGTACAGCAACTGTTGTCATGTCAGATCACTGCCGCTGTAAAATCAATGACAACGGCACAGTTGAATCATTACGAAACTTTAATCACGGCGTCTTTAAGATCTCACCACAATCACTTATATCACCCGTTATCATCGGCCCATGGTCATTGTCACAGTCAGTTTGATCATTTTCATCATGATCATTTTTCATCATTTCATCATGATCACTTTTCATTTCATCATCATCTTCGTCACCAATAAGTATATAACTACCACAATCGTCAGCATCGCCATTGCCTGGCCCTTTGTCATACTTAAACTTTTCAATTTTAACAGCAAACCGTGACACTATTGGTGTGTCTCTTGACACATCTCAAAAGATTCTCTATCCAGGATTAACCTCCTTCGATCTTTGGCAAATTAATTCAGTCAGTCACCATCACTCACTTCGGCTTGTCAACCAGCGCGCTCTCCAAGTCGATCTCGGAGACATTCACGACTTCGTCCACTCGGAGACTCTTCAGCATCCGCGCCCCGTAACCGTCTCGGCAAGACGCCGTCACGTGGCCACCCCACGCCTTAATCAGCTGGATGGCGAAGGTTCCTATACCACCCGTGCCCCGGTGATTAGAACCCTTTTGGGAAGCAAAACAAAACTTATGTCACCTTGCTCAAAATATTGAATGACGAGTCCTGCTAACTCTCAACGATCTGAAGTAGGCTGCTAGAGATAACGGTTACTGTTTTTAAATAAAGCCTTTTTTAAGCCGAAGTGACAGGACGGTGTCATGAGTTGTATATTTCCCAGGGAGTTGAGATGGTCTGAGGTAATTATGTTTATTAGCCCAGTGAACAGGGGTATAGTAGAGAAATATATGACCGTCCAAGTCCAGAATTATACCTCTGTTCTTTCGTTCTCTTGGAGCCGATGACCGCAGTTCTCACCAGCGAGCACCACACGGTGCAAGCCACGGAGGGGAAGGCGGCTGCTTCCTGATGGCTGACGCCTTGGGGTTTCTTGGCGATGTCTGCCTCAGTGACAACGACGTACTCTGCCATACCGCCTCCTCGATGAAAGAAAGGAATGGCCGCCCACACCTTCGGAATTATAGACCACATGTGTGTCATTGACGTTCGGTAGAACAAGAAAATATTGACCGCAGTGGATTCGAACCTGCGACCTCCGTGATAAAATACCATAAGGAAGAACGAATCATGCTAAAAAGTTTTGGAAGAGAAATTCAGCCACGCACTGCGGAATGCTTATTGAATACCGGTACTTCATAGTGAAAACGTTTATACCGTGTAGGTCTATACCTACCTCATCGCCAACTTTCACCTTCGTGACTTTTGACCCAACTCTCTCGACGACGCCGGAAAAGTCTCGGCCCAAAATGATGGGGAATTCATTCCCTCCCCCGGCAGGCATCTGAAGAAAATGGGGTCCGTAAAGGTTATCTTTTGAGGGAGGTTCAGAAAATTTCTCAAAATTTAAACCTCGAGGTGTGTTAATATTGGGGTTGAGGAACTACACTCATGTTTAGCTAAAATGATGACAGAGAAGATGGATTGCTTTTTGTTGAGGTATACACGCTAATAGATCAGAGTCCATCAAAGATTTATCTGGACTTGAGAAGAAATTGATATATTCAGAGGTAACTTACCCCTCGCATGGACCTCATGCTATTGCACAGCTCTTGACCTCTCCCGTGACTTATTTGAATATCCACCGGGTTGACGGAGGCCGCACGAACTCGCACCAACACCTCATCGACGTACGTGAGTTCTGGCCGAGGCGCTAAGTCACTCACCGTTACGGTATCCTCACCGTAGCGTTCTATGATGACACCTCTCATTGTCTTCGTGTGAGGTCTGAGGTTCGTGCGAGTCGGACTAGGTGTCGCAGGCGTATCCGTTTCACGCGTTCGGTTACCTTTGCGGCTCTCGATGAAATCTCGGATGAAGGTGACGATGGATAGGATGGTGAAAAGTATCGACAGGCTCGTTTTGTTTACTTGGAGGAAGAATGAAAAAAAAAATTAAAATTCATTTGAGAATTATCACTGAGTAGCCTAATGAACACGAAAATTGTTCAAGACTTCTATGGAAAAATTGCGTTTCCATTTGAGCCAGCATCTCGAACCAAAATACTTGTTTTGGCTGAAAAATAAAACCCCAGTTTGTATGTAAAATGGAAACATATCAACTCGGCCGAATATGTTTTGGATTGCTGCGGATATTTTTGGCAATTAATTTTTGGGTCTGTGCAATTCGTGTTTTATTTCGGTGCAAACCTTTCGCCTTAAAATAATTTTAAAAACGCGAGCGATTTCGGTACTTTTTAATCGATCTCCCGTCTGACTCAATTTCAGTCGCTGATTCATGTCAAAGAACCTCTACCTACCTGGAAGTTCGCTGAGTTGAAACACCGTTTCATTCGGCAGGAAAATGTAAGAGGTCACGGCGCACCCGAGAAAGATCAGCGGTACTGTCCACATGTTGAAAACTAATGAAAGCTCGACTCCTCCGTAGTAAGTTTAGAGATCCTTTTTCGAATGCACTCTTCACCTGGAACAGAAATGTTGGTTCATGCGGTTGCAAAGCGGGCAATTAATTACTCTCTAAATTCCAAAGAGTGAAAATTCACTCCTACGGTCGGAAACTACTGTAGGGACTAGACGTTTTAGAGTGAAATTTGTTCAATCGTAATCGAGTTTTCGTTCGAGCTTCGACTGAAGTTCATTCTAGTAACGTCTAGTCCCTAATTTCACTCTTTGGAATTTGGAGAGTATCCATTTTTAAAAAAGCTACTTTTTAAAATTTACATTGAAGGTGCACGTGCCAATATCAATCATCATCATCACCAATGATGCTGGGTCTATAACCATAGAGCAAGGAACAAAGTGGCGCAGTGGACATAAGGCAAGTACATGCTCTATGATGTAGTATACAGCATATTATTGTCCTCGTGAATGTACAGTCAGTAATGGCTATAGTATAGGGCATTTAATATGGCAGGTGATGGCATGATCCGACCACGTGGAATCTTGCTATAGCTTCCGAGAAACACAGCATGGGCACACATGACTCGTGACACTGTACATGTACATTGCTTTATGTTGAGGTTGATGCTTACCTGGTTCAACCATGGGTTCTATTATGACATGGTTCTATCCCACGGTGCAAGAAACCTCGTATACAGCAAGATATATATACTGCTGTTAACCTTGAATATTTCAACCAGTTTCAGTCCGGCACTGCATGCAATGTCACGGTGACTGCATCAAGGCTGTGCACAATGCTGCGATGGCATTGTTTGTAATGGTTCACTACTACAGGGTAACCTTTGTACCCTAGATAGAGCACTCGGTTGTGCTAGTATCTTTTTTATGAGGCCAAACGCGTAGGAGAACCATGGGCCACGTACGTGCGCCTATAACATAATCGTTTAATTCGAGACGGAATGATAATCTGCTCGTAATATGCTCGTATAAACAGCCCATCTCCTTGATAGCCCGTTTTTATTATTTCGAATGAAACAATGATACACACAAATGTCGCGGGAGAAGTCTTTGAACATCAGTTGGGCCCGTTTGAAAGACCGTATCTCTTCATGCAACTTTCGGAGTTTGTTTCTCTTTATGATCCAACTGTGTGCCTAGTAAAAATAGTTTGGATATGTTCAGTATTTTTCGTTAAACTTGGAAAAATAGGCTTGGGTAGATGTCCATTTTTCAAAACTGTAACACGTACCGTACGTGGTGTTTGCAATATTCTGTCAATCTTTTCAAGCCTCACGAATATTAATAAGGTTCCTATCCATGATATAGGTGTGCCGAGTAAACATCTGTCAACGATCGCCTTCACGAGTTATTAATTAATAAATATCCATTTGGCCGGCTTCCATTGGTCGATAGGTGACCCGTGCGAAGTCACGCTAACCCGCTTGTCATGTTAATTTTTGCCGCAAGTGCCGGTGTGGAAGGTAATTCTGTTCCCCGGTAAAACTGTCCAGGGGGACAGAATTACCCAGGTAAAAGTGTCCTCCCCGGCCCGTTAATTCTAGCCCCCTCCAGGTAATTCTGCCCCCCAGTTTTTTTCCGGCAGTCGGGCTGCCAAGGGTTATTTTGTGAGAACTGTGAGATGGCGCTCCGCAAAGTTTTTTTTTCGCAAATTAAGTAAAACAATTTGGAGGGGATTTTAAAAACTTAGTGTATTATGGGAGGAATAAGGTTCCTTGATTCAAGATTTCTTGAAAATTTGTACACCTACAATTTTGTCCCTCCCCCCCCCCCCCCGGTTTTCCGGACCGCTCATCTTTCGGGCGGGGGACCCGTACCGTACCCCAATCAACATCAGTCGCATGAGGGCGCTCTTTATTCAGCTCGGCGCGAGCGCGAGCGGAAGCTCTTTACAATTACATAACCAAACCGGATTTCCTGACAAAACCAGACACTTCCCTGACCTGAGGTGATTGTGGACATAGACCTGAGATTGTAAACTGTGATTTGCGTTTCAAATAAATACCTCAGGTTTGCATTTAAAAAAAAAATATACTAGGGCCTAGGCCTACATTATTAGGCCCGCCCGCGCCCTAGCTGGGCCGGGCACTCCAGTCGAAAACTGATCCAGCATGCAGCGCAGCACGGGGGCGTGGTCAGGGGAGGGGAGGGGGGGGGGCATATGCATGAATATGGAAATTGGAAATACACAATGTAGAATGTCCTGATTTTACATTAATATGCCCCCTTTGTTGTTTCGTTGTTATCCTAATCCCACCATTAGACTTGCCCCAAGTTATTCAACTAAGTTCAAGATGGTAGTGGTTGACGGAAACGAAGACACCAAGAAGATCGAAGGGCTGTGTCTTTTCCACTTTGGCCCATCAAATGCCTCGCAAAAGGTCAGTGAAGTCTACTTTTGGGTCTGACAAGGAGTTAAACATGACAAGACCTGCTTTCTAGTTAATAATAAACCCGTAAACAGGTGTCGTTGATATGTCTGGACATTCCCAATCCGGATGAAGGCTGTAGGAGCCCTCCGAGGTACTCGTTCCCTCCATCCAGCCCATGCCCTACGATTCGGCGGGTGCACAGTCTCCATCTGAGCTTTCCGATGTCCAGACATGGCAACGACACGTGGTCTACTTTCTAGTCAAAGCACCAAGTTGAACATTTAACTTTCCACCTTGTCATCCTCGTAGGTTCGTGCCTGCCTAGAGGCCAAAAAGCTGAAATGGCAAAGCCGAGTTACATGTATGACGTCAGAAGAAATGGAGTCGGACTGGTACTTCACCATCCATCCCCAAGGACTGGTACCCGCACTGGTCCACGATGGCGTCACTCACATTGAATCGTCAGATATCATGGTGTATCTGGACGAGGCCTTTCCAGAAATACCCCTCCGACCAAATACAGTGTAAGGGTGTGGGTTCGAGTCCCCATATAATAGATTTTCTTTTCCTATTGTGAAAGGAAAGGCCTGCTAAGTGCTAGCTATGTCTTTCATGTAGGGTACAAATTAGAAGCCACTTAGGCCACACAAAAAAAGTCTCCGGTTTCTGGTATGGAGCTTGCCAAAAAAGTGGTGCGGCGACGCTGCTTTTTTTTTTTTTTTACCTGATTTTTTTGCTTCAAATGTCGGCTGATGACTGCAAATGGTGCCCGACTAAACTTAGTGCAAATATATGGGAGTCCAGAGAGGACACATAAAGCTTATTCTCGACCATAACCCAATCTAAAAACACGTTAAAATTGTGCAGCAGCAGGATTCCAGTCAAACCAGTGAGTTTGGCGGTTTTGAGACATCATCTTTCATTGAAAAAAACTTTTTCATTTTGCCGACGCGCATGGCTACGGCGACGCGCGCGCATACCAGAAACCGGAGACTTTTTTTTTTGGCCTTAAGTAACCCTTACTCCCTAGGCATTTTTGCCAGGATGCCAGCATAAACATCACATGGTCCAGCCTAAGACCTTGACACAGTGCATCTCCCAAAGTCAGTGGCACATTTTTGCCATATAGCCTCAATCCAGCAAAATCTTCCATTTTGCAAAGAGGATTTTGGAAGATTTACAAAGGTTAGGGTTAATACTTTACAAAAATCAAGGTATTGCAACAATTAAGCCAAAATGCTAGTTGGTAGGACATCAGTCCAGTAACATCTTGTGATAACGGGTTCGAATCCTGCTGTAGTCAATTGTCTCGTCTCTAGAGGTACGTGGGCAGCAACATTTGTTCAATAACTTGATTCAATCATTTGAAGTCAGATAATTAATACATGCGGAAAAAAATGTTGCAATCTGACGCCACTTTTTTCTTCATATATCATCTCATTGAAGGTCATTTATTATAAAAATTATGATAAGACATGAATTTGGGACTGAGAAACATTTTGTTAGGAAACACTTTTCTTGACTTATCGTAGACTTTGCACACAATCGCCGAAGTGGCATCAGGTTGCAACATTTCTTTCAAATACATGCCAACAAAAAATCCACCGATCACTTGTAAGCCACTGAGGATGCAACGTGCTAGGACATCAGTGTTGCAAAAGTGTGGTCTTTGGTTCAACGCCCACTCTAGTCAATTTTGGTTTCTTTTGTTCATTCGTTTTAGGGACGGCAGGCAAGCTGTGCAGTCCTGGCTGGACCTGGAACGCACCATCCAGAAACCCATGAAATACATGACCTTCCGCTTTTACATTGGTAACTTCGCCAAGCTCATTGAAACAGACAAGCGTCTCGCTCGCCTGAAAGAGAAAAACCCGGAGGGCTACGCGTTCCACAAGATGGTTCGAGAGGGTTCGTGGAATGATGAAGATCTGAGAGGGGCCATCGAGGAAATACATGAGTAAGTCCAGACAAGTGGGGATAAAATTTGAACTCTCATAAATAGGCCACAAATGGCTTTCTAAAGTTTACACATATATTAAAAACACATTAAATTTTTGGTTTCAATTTCCTCCAATTTCCCTGAAGTGCCCTGCAAATTCTTGAAGGGCATCTTGCGAATCACGAATGGCTCGTCGGCGACCAGATCTCATTGGCCGATTACTGCTGGGGTACCAACGTCTACCGTTACGTCGAGAGCTACATGTACCGGTTCCCGATGGGCCGGTACCCGGCAGTACGGGCGTGGTACAAGCGACTGTTGACAGATGAGGCTTTCCAGAAGGCAGTTGTTGCCTATGGCGGTGGTCCACCCAAACCACTTTTGGCTATCAAGAACTGTAAGGCTACAAAATATGAATAATTTCCTGAAAAAAAAATTGGCCTTGGTTGAAAAGGTTTGTCACAATGATCATGGAAAGTTTTTTCTTTTATATTTTATCAGCCATTCAGGAGTTCCTTGGCAACAGCATCAGCTGTTTTGAGAGAGACGTCAAACCCAATTGGGCGCGTTTTGTCCTGATGACTGTCGCTGTTCCACTGTGTTTTGCCTTTCTGCCGTACGCATCAACAACAGCCGCTACAGGACGTAAGTTCAATTTAAAAATCTGAGTATTATTTATAACCCATGCATGCAATTGAAATTGCAACTATTTTCTTAAGACTGTCCACATTGCTCCGTATTCCTTTGCAGTGTCGTCCACCGTGATAAACACCGGCCTAGCTGCGCTGTGGGCCAGCGTGCTCTACTCGTGCTACAAGAAGGCCCACGCAGCCACGAAAACCGTCTACTTCTCCAGCGTCCACCGCATGAGGGCGCTCTTGACGAAGGCGTACGGGAGCGAGACGCCAGTGGTGTGCGAGGAACACCCTCGGCCCAAGGTGGTCTTACCAGACGACATTCTCGTGAGAGTCCACGCGGCGTCCATCAACCCAATCGACGTAAAGATCAGGGAGGGGTACGGAAAGAGGGGGCTGAATTTTATGCGTGGAAAATCCCAGGTATTTTAATAATTGACAGTTTCCATTGTTTCTTATATAAAATGTTCTAATTGACTATCAAAATTGATTTCTTCAATTGTCTAAAATTATTTCGTATTCATTTATTGGACATGAGGCTCTCCTGCTTTGCTGGATAGGTGGCTTCGCATCTCGCTCACTTTGCAGGGGAACGCCTGTTTAATAAAACTATTACTGCTGAACATATTTAGAGGGTACCATTTTGAGCTGATATTATTATTATTAATTATTATTATCCTTATTATTAATCATTTCTGGTAATGAAACCAAGGATTCCTCAAAAGCGCCCTAGGCACTGTAGCTCGCAAGCCTGAAGAAACCTGTGGAGAGAAGACAATGAGAAGAAATTACAGTTTTAGCGGTGGGAGGAAAAGCCCAGAAGAATATTCTGGGGGAAACCCACGGAATCAGGTTGGGACTGAAAACCAAATCCACATATTGGCCCAGGCGGGATTCGAACCCGGGTCACAGCGGTGGAAGGCGAGGAAAGCACCGCTACGCCAACCTGACTCCCTAATATGTCGGCTGGTCATATGTAACGAGTTGAGTGAGTACACGATTGTTTTATAAATACAGATGCCTGCTGGCGACGGAAAGGAGTTGCCACTGATCCAAGGCAGGGATTGCTCGGGGGTCGTGGAGGCTGTCGGAGAAGCCGTGTCAAAAGTCAAAGTTGGAGATGAGGTATGGACAAGTTTTTGTTTTGAATACAACATTTAGATTTATAAACGATCATTTGAGGGGAGTTGCAGGTGATCTAGGAATTACTATACTCCTGCTGGTCAGGGGTAACAGAATACAAGAATATATTGCATGAGCTTTGACTCGTGCAATAATGTCTAAGAGAGTGCAATATTGTCTTGTATTCCCCGAAAAAAATCTATCCAATATTATTATTATTTATATTGAGCTGACTAGCTTGATCCGGCGCAACAAATAAACTTCAGGACAAAATTTCGTCAAATTATTCTTCGTTTACTGAAGCAAATTTCTCGCTGTTTGAAAGTGCCGTTGTGGCTTTTGACAACAGTGCGTGTGTACCCTGCTAGTGCTGCACGCTGCGTCTGCCTGCCGCACGCTACGCTTTGTTGACTTTGACTTTCTACGCACTAGATTGTGTGGGAACCTGCGAAAATGCCCGGACGACCGCAATATCAAAATTAATATTGTAGTCATCCAGGTACTTTTTACAAAAGCATACAATACGCTGATGTATTTTTACCTCTAGAAGCCTGATATGAATAATAATATCAGTTGGAATTCTTTCATCTTCAATTGTTTCTTTCATCTGCCATTGTGACTTTTTATATAAATCAAAGAAAATGTGTTGATCAAGTAATTATTGGTTTGTGATAGGTGTGGGCATCCCTGTCAGTTGCTCCCATACCTGGGACCTATGCGGAGTATGTTCTCTTGAAGGAAGGGCTGGTATCCCAGAAGCCCTCCTCGCTCACTCACGTCCAATCAGCAGCCTTGGGTTACGTTGCCATGACAACTTGGGGAGCGCTTGTGAAAACGGCCGTGCTGGGCCCCGACAAAACTGCCGGCAAACGGTAAGCTTCACCTGATGTTTTGCTACTACCGCCCTGAATCCTCCAAAATCCTTTTTGCAAATTGGAGGAATTTGCAGGATCAAGGTCTTGGGCCGGACCTTGTGTTGTTTATGCTCAGCCGTGCATAAATTTAGTCCTTGATTATACTTGACGTCCTCCGCACTGCTCCAGGATGTCACTGCCTCTGCCTCAGCCTATTGACAGTCATAGCCGGAGGATTTTGCAGGATTCAGGCAGTGGTCACCCCTCCATGGGCCATATTCAAGAAACAACGGAGGAATTTGCAGGATTGAGGCTATATGCTATTTTTCCATGAGGCTAATTGGAGGATTTTGCAGGATTGAGGCTACATCCTAGCAAAAAGGCCTAGGGAGTTAGGGTTAAGGGGGGAGCTCAGTCTCAAAAGTAAAAAAAAAATGAATCCCTCACAAAATATTGAGGTATATTTTGTGCGACATGTTGACATTTCCACTGAAAATGTGATGATTTTTACTGATTCGATCCGACTTCAGCGTTCTTATTTTGGCTGGTACTGGTGGCATCGGTTCCTTTGCCATCCAGCTTGTCAAGGCATGGGGAGGTCATGTGACCACCAGCTGTAGCACCAGCGGCATAGAGATGGTTGAGAAGCTGGGAGCGGATGAGGTGGTGGACTACAGAAAGACGGACTTGGAGAGCGCCCTCAAGGACAAGCCACGGTAATAGACGTGTCCATTTACAGCCTTATGGTTGCGAAGGCTTTGTGTCGTGCATTGATAAACAAAGTTAATCCGATTATGTACTTGGGTGCCACAGACATATCAGTGAACTGATTGCACCAACTTAAAGGGAATATACAACATTTGCAAACGTCGAAAAATAAAACTACCACGTTTTTATGAAATACTATACTAGGATGTTGGTAAGGGACAGTCTAAAGCATCCTGTAAAATTATGGCACCTGGTGTGAAGTCATTTTCAAGAAAATGGTATTTTTGTATACATTTCCAACGGTGGTCGGCCGACCACCGTTGGAAAAACCTAACTATTTTTCAACTACTGCTCCAAATTTACCATTTTTTTTCAGTCCCAATTTTGTTTGCTATTGGTTACATGTTCATGAACGGGTGCAGGCCAGCTAGACTGGTTCCCTTACCTTACAATTTTCCGGCATCTATAAATTGATCCATTTTATCTTCAGTGGAGTCAGGGAACCAGACTACTTGAACATTTTTGTTTCTCTTGGTTTTTCCGGCATTTTTGAACACAAAACTTCAAACATGTCAGTGTAACAATATTTGATCTATCATACTAACCCCTCAAATAGTTCATTTCTGAAAATTACAGCAAAAGCCAATGATGTACATTCCCTTTAAACTATGGGACTGGAAACTAACTTTCATGCTCCATTCTTTGATCTAGGTTTGATGTTGTGCTTGACACCCTCGGACCGGCTTACTACCAGACCTGTCTCAATCTGACCAAGCGAGGGGGCTGTGTCGTCACCCTAGACTCCCCGGCCCTAAAAACTTTGGACCAGTATGGCTTTTTGCTTGGCTTGCCTAAGGCTCTCTATGATCTGTTCCGGATCAGCATTCCGCAGGTGAGTTCGGGACAAAAACTTTTTTTTTTTTTTTTACAAAATTTTTGTTTTCATGAAAAATGCAGTATGAAGATTAAATTTGGGCGATGTGCAGTGTATTTTGAATTTAGGACTATGAAAGTCTGACCTACAGGTAGTATTGCACATGCCTAACGTTAAACCAATAAAATAGTAAAAGGAACTGGATTTCATGTCCTAATTTCATGTGACACTGGAAAAGTGTTTAAGACCAGCCAGCCGGTCTTTACCAACCGTTTAAGACCGGCCAAGTGACGGGCTCTGGACCAATAGGAATGGGTAAACTATCTGAGGTATTTATGAATTTCAAATCATCATTCATGTGGTCACGTACATTTGATCATTGAAACAAAATTGGTGATTATATTTTATTTTCTCTGAAACAGAAGTTGTTCTACGGAAGAAGTTTCAAATACGGGTTTGTTGCTGCCAGTGCAGATGCTTTGGATGTTGTTGCAAGTCTTGTGGAACAGAAGAAGGTAAAATTTAAAGTAAATTTGAAATAAAAATGTCCATTAGTAAATTTGAAATAAAAATTTCCATTAGTAAATTTGAAATAAAAATTTCCATTAGTAAATTTGAAATAAAAATTTCCATTAGTAGATTTGAAATAAAAATTTCCATTTAAATTTTTTTTTTTTTACGAGTAGTTTTCTTTCTTTTTCCAAGATGACCGTGACAATAATTCATATTTTCCAGATTCAACCAATCGTGGAGAAGGTTTACAGCTTGGAGGATGGCAACGAGGCCCTGGGACATGTACAAAAAGGACACGCCAGGGGTAAGACTGTACTGCTTATGAAGCCTGAATAATATAGTACTCAAATGAGAAATTGAGGGGTCATGGGCCATGGGCCATGGGCCCTGGAACATGTACAGAATACCTCATCCAGTATACTGGATATGAAATCTGATAGATAATTTATTCGTATGAAAAATTCAGGGGCCATGACACTGCAACATTTACGATAATACCAAGGTATGATAGTCTGTACTAGTTATGAAAATCTGATAAATAATGAGGTGCTTATATGCAAAGTGGCCCTGGAACATGTACAAGGGTGCCAGTGACACGAGCACAGGCTAGGTGTGCTGCTTAAAAAAGTGCCAATATGATATACATTCCTAATTATTTTTTTAATATGCAAAATTCAAGGGCCATAGGCCCTGGAGCATGTACTAAACATAGTTTAAGATTTTTCACACAGTGACTTAGCCTATAATGTAGTATCACGTTTTGTAAAACTTCTGAAATATTATTTCGCATTTTAATAATCACTGCCAAAAAAAACGTGTTTTAAAATGCACATAAATCTGGTAATGATGCTTGCATGATTTTTGGCTTTTCCGCATTGTTGCGGAAAAGCCTTTCTTTTTGTTCTGATTTTTGGCTTTTCCGCAAACTTGCGGAAAAGCCTTTGTTTTTGTTCTCATTTTTTTTTTTTTTTTTTTTTGGCTTCTTCTTTTTGTCGCCTTAATCCCATAGACTTTGTGCACGTTTTTTCTCAACGCCACTTTTGGCATTAATCTTTGTCATACATCATTCAAAGTTAGCATAAGCATAGTCCCTATAGCAAAGATGTGTCCCGAAGATTGACGTCATGGTGACGTCATCGACTAATTTATTATAGATTTTTGAATATTTAATTTTTCCCATAGACTTTGTACACAGAAATTTTAAAAAAATTGTCGATTTGCAAAGGGCATTTTTGACTCTTTGCCAGTAATTCATTTACACCAATCTTTGTCTAAGCAAAGACCCTAATTTAAACAACATTGTGTAATGATGACGTCATGATGACGTCATCAGGTGTGTATTTATAGGCAATTAAATTGTGACACTTTTAATATTCAAAAATGCATAAGAAATCAACCGTAGGCGTCCGCAGCATTTTGTTGCCGGCAAGTGGTAGAATAGGTTGAGGTCTTTATTTCATTCAGTGTGCGTGAAATCACGTGACCCTTGCTTCCGGTCGAAAAAGGCCCAAACCGGAAGTGGCTTATCATTTGAAAGTGGTAATAGATATAAACTTGCTTTTAACGGTGTTAGTCTCTTGGCCAATAGTATTCTTCAAATCATCTACCGATGACGTCATGCAATCTTCGAGCGCCCTCTAGCGAGAGGTTGAAAATTAGCAAAAATGTATTTTGAATAGATGTCTGTGGCGAAGTTTGTCGTAATCGCCTAAATATTGGTGTATATGATGACCTTGACCCACTTAAGACGTGTGCGAAGTTTTAGGCAAATGACGTCATCAGACTGGAAGTTACAATAAAAAGACCCTTTTTCATTCGAAAATTCCTGAAAAATCAACCATGGCAGTTTTTATATTTGTTTTTACTTTAATTGTCAATTGAAGGGTAGGTCTAAAACATTTCTAAAGTTTCGAGGCGATAAGCAAACTCGAACATACCCTGCGCACGCTTAAAACTTCACGTTGACAATACCTCTGCTTCAAAACATGCACAGGACAGGACGTCCACAATGTACATGTACATGTACATGCACGTACGTTGTACATAGGCACGTACATCGTATGTCAGTCAGCCTGCAGCGTACGTGTTGCTGAGGTTAAATCCTGTCCACAGTGACCGTTTTAGCCGATTTTCGGCTAACTTTGACAGATTTTATGTTCATGCATGCGCATAGACAGGGACGTATTATAGCACTCTTGGCATTAATCTTTTTCAGATATCATTGAAAGTTGCCATAAGCATAGTCCCCATAGCCAAGACGTGTCCCGAAGAGTGACATCATGGTGACGTCATCAAGTGATTTATTATGGATTTATGAATAATTATGTTTTCTCATAGACTTTGTACACAGCTTTCTCCACAAGTCTTTCCCTATACAACACTGATATATCTTACTGAGTAGTTCTGAACTTCGGCCGAGAATTATTATGAGAAGGAAAAAGAAATCGTATTTTTTTACGCCTTTCATTTGATTGAAAATATTCCCAAGAGTTAGAATAGCAAGTAATATTTTATAAAAATGTTTCAGTTTTAAGGAAAATCACGCATTTAAAGGTGCAGTTTTTCTGCTGTGGGATTTTTAACCTATTGACTTTGTACACGTTTTCAAGCCACCATTTTCGTATTTTGGCGATCTGGAATCGTCATCAAAGTTACAGCCAAGGAAGACCCTCACACAAAAATTATGCCAAGACTATGACATCATGATGACGTCATCATCAAGTGATTTATTATGGATTCATGAATAATTAATTTTTCTCATAGACTTTGTACACAGCTTTTTCCACAAGTCTTTTCCTATACAACACTGATATATCTTACTGAGTAGTTCTGAACTTCGGCCGAAAATTACTATGAGAAGGAAAAAGAAATCGTATTTTTTTACGTTTGCCATTGGATTGAAAATATTCCCAAGAGTCAGAATATCAAGTAATATTTATAAAAATGTTTCAGTTTAAAGGCAAATCACGTATTTAAAGGTACAGTTTTTCTGCTGTGGGATTTTTAACCCATTGACTTTGTATACGTTTTCAAGCCACCATTTTTATAACTTGGTGATCTGGAATCGTCATCAAAGTTACAGCCAAGGAAGACCCTCATACAAAAATTATGCCAAGACTATGACGTCACGATGACGTCATTACCTAATTTGTTTATTGATTTTTGAAAATTTACGTACATATTGTGAAGTCTTATATCTACAGAAATGTAAGTCCGATTGGGTTGAAACTTGGTATGTGGCTATACCAGGATGTGTTATAGATTAAAAATGAGGTAACGTCATGATGACGTCATCCTGAGATTTTATATGAACATTTATTTTTTTGTATCTTTTAGCCACATCTCCCGAATGCAACATGCAACATGCAAAATTCTTTTTTGCATTTGGTCTGTTATGTAATAGCTATTCGCACAAAACTTGAAAAATATGTGACGTCATCATGACGTCATCAAAATGCGATTTTTCAAAACTCATATAAGGAAAGGTCCAATTGTCATAAAACTGGGTGGGTAGGTAGTTAATCATACTAGTATGCAAAGTTCGAAGTGACGTCATGATGACGTCATCAAAAATTTAAAAATAATTGTCGATTTTCAAAGTGCGTTTTGACTCTTTGCCAGTAATTTATTTAGATCACTCTTTGTCCAAGCAAAGACCTTGTACACACGCACATACATCGTATTGCCGAGGTCAAATCCTGTCCACATTGACTGTTTTAGCCGATTTTTCGGCTAACGTTGACAGATTTTATGTTCATGCATATTCAGGGCATATTATTGATTAAACAAAATCATAATGCGGAAAAGCCCTATGTTCTGTTGCAAACAGACATAGACCTCTAGTTTTTCTCTTCTTCTTCTTCTTCTTCTTCTTTTTTTCCCAAAACCCCATAGACTTTGTACACGTTTATTCTACACGCCACTATTGGCATTAATCTTTGTCATACATCATTCTAAGTTAGCATAAGCATAGCCCCTATAGCAAAGATGTGTCCCGAAGATTGACGTCATGGTGACGTCATCGACTAATTTATTATAGATTTTTGAATATTTAATTTTACCCATAGACTTTGTACACAGAAATTAAAAAATAATTGTCGATTTTCAAAGGGCATTTTTGACTCTTTGCCAGTAATTCATTTACACCAATCTTTGTCCAAGCAAAGACCCTAATTCAAACAACATTGTGGAATGATGACGTCATGATGACGTCATCCTGTGTTTATTTATAGGCAATTAAATTGTGACACTTTTAATATTTAAAAATGCATAAGAAATCAACCGTACGCGTCCGCAGCATTCTGTTGCCGGCAAGTGGTAGAGCAGGTTAAGGTCTTCATTTTACTCAGTGTGCGTGCAATCACGTGACCCTTTCTTCCGGTCGAAAAAGGCCCAAACCGGAAGTGGCTTATTATTTGAAAATGGTAAAAGAAATGAACTTGCTTTTAACGGTGTTAGTCTCTTGGCCGATAGAATTCTTCAAATCATCTACCGATGACGTCATGCAATCTTCGAGCGCCCTCTAGCGACAGGTTGAAAATTAGCAAAAATGTATTTTGAATAGATGTCTGTGGCGAAGTTTGTCGGAATCGCCTAAATATTGGTGTATATAATGACCTTGACCCACTTAAGACGTTTGCGAAGTTTTAGGCAAATGACGTCATCAGACCGGAAGTTATAATAAAAAGAGTCTTTTTCATTTGAAAATTCCTGAAAAATCAACCATGGCAGTTTTTATATTTGTTTTTACTTTAATTGTCGATTGAAGGGTAGGTCTAAAACATTTGAAAGTTTCGAGGCGATAAGCGAACTCGAACATACCCTGCGCACGCTTAAAACTTCACGTTGACAATACCTCTGCTTCAAAACATGCACAGGACAGGACGTCCACAATGTACATGTACATGTACATGCACGTACGTTGTACATAGGCACATACATCGTATGTCAGTCAGCCTGCAGCGCACGTGTTGCTGAGGTCAAATCCTGTCCACAGTGACCGTTTTAGCCGATTTTCGGCTAACTTTGACAGATTTTATGTTCATGCATGCGCATAGACAGGGACGTATTATATCACTTTTGGCATTAATCTTTGTCAGACATCATTGAAAGTTGGCATAAGCATAGTTCCTATAGCCAAGATGTGTCCCGAAGAGTGACGTCATGATGACGTCATCAAGTGATTTATTATGGATTTATGAATAATTAATTTTTCTCATAGACTTTGTACCCAGCTTTCTCCACAAGTCTTTCCCTATACAACACTGATATATCTTACTGAGTAGTTCTGAACTTCGGCTGAGAATTACTATGAGAAGGAAAAAGAAATCGTATTTTTTTACGCCTGTCATTTGATTGAAAATATTCCCAAGAGTTAGAATAGCAAGTAATATTTTATAAAAATGTTTCAGTTTAAAGGAAAATCACTAATTTAAATGTGCAGTTTTTCTGCTGTGGGATTTTTAACCTATTGACTTTGTACACGTTTTCAAGCCACCATTTTCATAACTTGGCGATCTGGAATCGTCATCAAAAATACAGCCAAGAAAGACCCTCATACAAAAATTATGCCAAGACTATGACATCATGATGACGTCATCATCAAATGATTTATTATGGATTCATGAATAATTAATTTTGCTCATAGACTTTGTACACAGCTTTCTCCACAAGTCTTTTCCTATACAACACTGATATATCTTACTGAGTAGTTCTGAACTTCGGCTGAGAATTACTATGAGAAGGAAAAAGAAATCGTATTTTTTTAAGCCTGTCATTTGATTGAAAATATTCCCAAGAGTCAGAATATCAAGTAATATTTGATAAAATCTTTCAGTTTAAAGGCAAATCACGTATTTAAAGGTGCAGTTTTTCTGCTGTTGGATTTTTAAATTTGTACACGTTTTCAAGCCACCATTTTTATAACTTGGCGATCTGGAATCGTCATCAAAGTTACAGCCAAGGAAAACCCTCATACAAAAATTCTGCCTAGACTATGACGTCACGATGACGTCATCACCTAAGTTTTTATTGATTTTTGAAAATTTACGTACATATTGTGAAGTCTTATATCTACAGAAATGTAAGTCCGATTGGGTTGAATCTTGGTATGTGGCTATACCATGATGTGTTATAGATTAAAAATGAGGTGTCGTCATCATGACGTCATCCTGAGATTTTATATGAATATTTATTTGTTTTGACCTTTTAGCCATATCTCCCGAACGCAACATGCAAAATGCAAAATTCTTTTGACAGATTTTATGTTCATGAATATTCAGGGCATATTATTGATTAAAAAAAATCATAATGCGGAAAAGCCCTATGTTCTATTGCAAACAGACATAGACCTCTAGTTTTTATTACATTGGTAGTCAGACTGCATATGTAATTAATATTAGCAGAAAAAAAAGTGCTCTTGTGGGAAGATGTATAGCTTTATTTTGTTTGTTTTAAAATAATGGGTCAAAATGTTTTAGTCCATTCACTTGTGTGTCTAATGTTGCTTTAAAAGTGTACTTGTCTTTTTTGTTAATGTATGGTTTTATTGTTTGAATTTTTTTTTCCACTCAATGTAATTGTGCAATGTCAGCCTTCCGGCTGCCTGTTTCAAATTTTTAATAAACGAGAATAAAAATAATTATAATAATAATAATTATAGTAATAATATGCTATTTAATGGCATAACAAATTGTGATTATCAATTTTTTATGAAAAATACTTTCATTGATGTTGCTGCCCAATTAAGACTGAATATTCAAATTTTATGCAAAAAAGACATCGAGACTTATAAAGTTTTCGAATGTTTTCAGTTTATTTGTCCGTTTATGCCTTGTACATATTTAGGCACATTTTTACATTAGATGTGTAGTTTCAGTATAAATGCAGCAAAGAAAAAAACCAAAATCTAAGCCTTTTTTTTAGCATACTGAATGAACCAACTCAAATTTTTTTGCACGAAACTACCCATTCAAATTGTAACGAACAATCTATACAAATCCAATAAAGTACCATAAATCAACATAAACATACATGTGTTCTGGTCATTTTCTCTACAAAATGTTTGCGATATTTAAAATTGAACAAACATGCTTGAACGGCTTTAGAGACAGTTGTCAATTTCTTGCGGGTGAAAGTTAGGCATTCCTAGCTTTGGTTAAGGTTATTGTCGGTGTGTTCCACATACTACAGGTAGTTGGAGATGTTCAACTAGACATAGTTCGGGAAAAGAGATTTAGACTTGAAGAAACAAGAGTCTCGTGACAAAGGTCAAGTTCATGGTATGCATCAAGCTATAGATCAAGGTTCTTAATTAGGATTTTCTCAGAAGTGAAATCCGTCTTGACATGCTTGTGCTTTGAGTTTTGGAAGAATGATCAAGCTGAACTCATCTTTTTGTACAGTCGAACATGACTTTGTCATGATTTCATTGATCCTTTTTTTTGGGGGGGGGGGGGGGTTAAGGAAAAATGATGATTGGTTTTATTCGGCGTCGTTTCCCATCCCTGTGATTTCTTCTTCGTTATCGTCGTCCCCGGCAACCTCCGCGTTGGCCTGTTCCAATTTCTCCAGTTGTTTGGCCAATTCCATCTCTTCCGTATCCGTGACAACCTTGGGCTGTTAAGGGGGAAAACACCAACGTGCAAAAATGAACAAACAGGGCTTGCATTTCAGGTTGATTTTTGTGATGGCTTTTTTTTTTAGTTTGCTGAGGGTAAATGTAACCGGCTCCACAAAGAAGGTGTTAAGTCGAGCTGTGCATTATTGTGTAATGGTCCGCTCAACATTGAGAGGGTGAACATTTTGTCAAAATTTGATTTTATTTTTTTATCATGAATGACATCTTTTATGCCTACAGTTTCAGGTTTCATTCACAGAAATGTTGATTTTGATGAACAAAGTGGAAAAAACCAACCATTTTATGTGCGTCATTCTGTTGTCTGCAACAAAGCCAGCTATTTCAAAGCCTGTTTACTCAATTGTGTAATTTGAACTCCAAAAACTTAATGAATAGGCAAATTATGTGATATCTCCAGAACGGGAGGGGCTATGGAGCTCTATTATGGAAGCTTACATTGTGGGCTTTCCAACCATGTATATAAGTTCACTTGTTTGCGACATAATACCCTTTTTTGTGGAGCCGGTCATAAATAGTCCCTCAGACTCACCGCCATGAGTACGCTGAACACTCCCCCGCTGGCTCGGATGGAGTTCCGGATGAGTTCAATGGCCGTGTTGAGCTTGGCGAGTCCTTCAGTGCGCTCTAGGGTCTGCGTTGTCACGACGTACTGGGGTGGGGCGATCAGGTTGATCTGAAACAAAACGGGATTTTCAGAATCAATTCATAAACCAAACAATCAATTATTCGATGAGCCAATCAGCGAATGATCTACTGATCAATCAATGGATAAATCAGTAAATTTAATCTGCAAATAATCCATAGGACGAACGGTGAATGAACTGTCAAATCAATCTATTGATCAATAAAATCAATTCTAAAAATCAATAAGTTTGAAAATCTATTTAGTGATCAATTATACATCAAAATGCTGCACAGTGCGATACCTTGACGGGCATTTCTTCAGTGGAGAGGTCCAAGCCTTTGAACAAGGCTTCCTTGACAGCGTCGATACCATCGTAACCGTAACAAGCAACCTCAACATCTGAAAGAATGGATAAAAAGTGTTTTAGTTTAGTTAATTAAACGCATGGAGTGCTGAGAATTGCTAATAGTATGACATTGTAAACGGGTGTCCCAAAAAAACCTGAGCTTTCAAAAGCGCCCTCTTTTTCACAGCTTATAACAAAAACCCGCAAATATCGGTACATATATGGAGACTACAATTCATTAGCTTTTCAACAACGAAAACCTCTTTCCAAATTGGTAAATATTTTCTGAATTATGGCCAATTTAAAAAAGTGCCTATATTTTTTTCATTTTGTACACAGTCTTAATTGTCATTTGTTAGGGAAGTAATGGATTTTGGGTGAGGGTAGTTTTGCTTTCTTTAATTTTTTAATATTTCTTTTGATTATTTTTAATTTTGGTCAATGGTCATTTCTCCTTTTGGAAGAAATGGAAGTCCTGAAAAGGACTGTTTGGTTTAAAAACTTCTTAGATGTTTACTGTTCTGCTCTGCCCTCTACATGGTAGCCTCTTTCACGGATGCAAGTTTCGGCCCTTGTTCTTATTGCGGCAGTCAAAATATCAGCCGTCGTAGACAAAATGAAAAAGCGGTACTTGTTTTCAACTGGCTATAACTCAATAAATATTTACTAAATTGGAAAGATTTATTCGTTGTTGAAAAGCTAATGAACTATAGTCTCCAAATATGTATCGATATTAGCGATGTATTTCTTTAAAAGCTGTGAAAAAGAGGGTGATTTAAGGGTTCGTTTTTTGGGGGGACACCCTGTATTTGTAATGTAACGGATGATTCCATTTTTTACCTGCCCGGATTTTGACGGCCTGGGGCGTTAACCGTCTGTGAATGTTTTCCATCAGAACCTTCATTGTTTCGTCGTCCAACTGGCACTCGTCCAGTATCGAGGGGTCACTGCACAGAAAAGCACATTTAAGAGTAGAAAGTTGCACAAAATATGTTCCTAAGAAAAAATCATCGCACGGCCCCTTTAAGCTGTTTTTATGAGGTAACAACATTGTTGCAGTCGCGATCTTGTAATCTGCAGGGTTCATTTGCAGGAAACATTTGAGGTTGCCCTTGGCCAACTCACAAGAGCAAAGTACAGCCCTTCCACGTTTTTTCAATTTTTTTTTTTTGAGAGAAATTTATACTAATTTTAAAAGTTCACCTGACGGAGGTTTTGAAGGCTTCATAGGCACCGTAGCCGGGCCTGTTGAATTTACGATCAAAGTGCCACGCCGTCTTCTGGTACAGCTCTTCAAGCTTAATGTCGTCGTCATAGTGCAGGATTTCGCCGACGTGCCGCAAGATACTGTTGACCTGGGGTAACAATTTAAAGATGCACACATCATGAATAAATGGCAGAAGTATCTTCTGAGCTGCTGACGTTACAAATGCATCCCTAGAACTTCACACACCCAACCGACCATTGGCCCTGTTTTGGTCATGGGTGCACCTTTAAAATATTCTCACTTGCAATTTGACTTTCTGATAAAAGTTCCATTGACATAGAACAACTGCCATGTTGCACAGACTCCCATTAATGACAGAAAGACTTAAAGGTGCATACCAAACAAATACAGAGTAGACGGTACACATATCACAAGTCATCAATGGAATACTTACTGTTTTGGCTTTTGCAAACTTCTCCTCGCATTTTGCGATCTCTTCTGTGGAGACTCGTCTCTTGGACAAATCGATATAACCTTTTTAAGAAAAAAAAAGAAGCAACTTAGATTTAAATTCCCGACGACTAAATATCTTTTTCAAATACTGGTTATCTAGGTAGTTTTACATTCAGTACACTGTGTAAACATGATCCTTTCTTTGGGGTGCTTATTAGCGCAACATCCATGGAGGACTTTGCTGTGTTTGCAATTGAAGAGTGTAGACCTCAAACGACGTTACTTTACACAGGTTTCCCTGCAAAAATGACTGGAGAGTTTGAGTCCAAATACCATATCACAGATGCCACCATCTTTGTGGCCACGTCCTCCCCAAAAAACGGTCCCATCTTTCTATTAGCCAAATTGAAGGTTTTGTGATCAATGAATTGTGGGAGAGAATCTTGGATAAAAGAACGCAAGTGATGCTGAAAGCAGGCTGTTTATTGGATTAGAATCGCATGATGTGTCCTGGTTATCCAAAAAATTGCGTTGTTAATTAACCCTAACCCTTCTCAATCCAACAGGATCCAACTATTTGACATACCCGCTGGGTCCTGTTGGATTGAGCAGTAAACCCCTTGTGTATTTTCCTGTTGAAATCGGTTGGATTCAGCAGGCAACTGAAAACATTCAGAGTCGGATTCTGTTGGGTACTGGTAAATAACGCCAAGCTGGACTCTGATGGATCCAGCAGGAAACAGAAAAACAAGGCCCAGTTGGATTCTGTTTGATTGAGCATGCCGGTCATTTTATATTTTCAGGTACCCAACAACTTGGCAAGTCGGGTTGTGTTGGACTGTGTTGGATCGAGCAGGAAACTCATATGAGTAACCGTCAGACTCTGTTGGATTTAGCAGGGTAGTCCTGGGGAACTATTAGTAGGGTTAGCTAACATTAAGCAAGCTGGCACATGAACAAGTGAATCTTTGATTTGGCTCACTGCATCCTGAACATGATGGGACATATTTCTACTGAAATGCCCTCTAACCACGTGACCACAATGATCGCGGTATCCATGAAACGGTCTACGGAAACACATTTAGAGACCTTTATCCTTGTCTACTCTGATGACCACCACGCATTCGCTCCGTCCAACCCTGATCAGTTTATTGATGGATCGGATACGTCGTCTGGACAGCTCGCTCAGCATGATCATGCCCTCGATGGTGTTATACTCCAAGAGGTTCACGTAGGCGCCCATCTCGGCGATGGATCGGATGTTGACCATGACCACATCCTCAACCTCTGGGTAGTGCTGCTCGTAGAAGCGACAAAACAGCGGCATGGTGGGTTTCTTGTGTTGGCGAGTCAAAACTACGATGAGAATAGGAAAATATATTACAATAAAAAAATAGAAATGGTAATCGTATAGTTTTGGACACCTCTTATGTTTTACGACTCCGTTCATAAATCAAAACCCTGCCCTCTTTCCACAAAATTAAGCTAGCTGATAGTACAGTGATATTTCAATAAGGTTTTTAGCGAACTATTTTAGATGATTCCCAACAAAAGTGACTATTCCTGCTTGACATACCATGCATACAGTAGCCAAATGTTACTACTAAGTCCCAAAAAAGAAAAGTGCCTTTTTGCCTTGAGTCAAGTTATATAAAAATGGAACGGGGTCCTAACTTAGTAGTAAACGATCCGATTACCATGAAAATGTTACAATTTGTGAACAAAAATTAAACAATGAAATTGGATTGGACAACACTGATGATAGCCTATCATTAATTTTTAAAAGTTTTATCCAATGTCCCTATCCAGCCCAGAATGCTAGATAAGTGAATGTATCAAAATGACAACCAACTAAACATAAAAAAAAATTCTATAGGCCTAGTAAAATAAGTATAAAGACTAAAAGAGGGCGCTGTTTTCATTTTTGGTATGCCGGCCGGCTGTGTCGCCGACTGCACTTGACTTGCCATTCTATCAGAATTTTATGACACAAAAAAGCATTAAAAAACACTTTTCAAAAGACTAACTCATACTACAGATCAATGTCCTCATGGTTACTTACTTCAAATGACAATACAACAAATATTCCCTCGAAAAACCAGACTCTGATGTACAGATGATGCAACCGGCATATGTTTGTACACGAATTTTCGTTTTCACATGGTAAGGTCGTAGTCCTTTTACTTTTCAAGTTTCTTATCCCATATCTTTTTGACAGGGTACCAGACTGAATAAATCCAAATGAACATAGAGGGCGCCCTACTAAAACGAAATGCGTGAAACTGAATTGAACTGAATGCATCTGAAAAGGTTGGATGTTTTTTTGGTTTTAATCGCAAGAACTTAGGTTATACTGAGGAAGAATAATGTTCGTTTCCGTATTCACTATCTTCTGTAATTAATAAGCAACATAAGACTGTGTGGTTAGGATTTAATGTTTGCAAAATGGCAATAACAAATTGCGTGGGAATTATTGCGCGGGGTTGGGCATGTTGGGCGGAGAAATTAAGAATGGAGAGCTCGAGAGGGGGGGGGGGGCGGCCGGGGGGGGGGTTGATGTGGGAAAAGTAACGTTCATGAACGGGACACTTTGCAAACAAGATCGAAATTGATGCTGACTGACATTTCCTTTCAATTCAATGTGAGACGCTAGACAATGTGATTGTGAACAAAGTGTTTAAAAATGAGAATGTGAACGAAACGCATACTTTCTAAAAAATACCTGTTTGAATAAATATTACTTCATTAACCAGTTCACGTTGGATGACGTGTATGACACGCAAAGGTTTTTGCGGTATTTGGAACAGATGATGGATCATAGAGCAAGGAACAGTTTGGATAAACACGCAACGAGCGTGGCCGGAAAAATCTGTCTGCGACCCGCTTGCAGCGAGCGAGGCTGGAAATATCAGGGTCTGAACCCGTCTGGCATCGAGGTTCGTGAAAAACAATCCCAGGCCTGGGTCCGGTCAAATATCAAAATAATCCCAGCGTGAACTGGTTAAATAACAGTTATGCCTTTAAAAAAAATAAACTTTTTTTGCTCCTGATGAAATTGCCCTTTTCTTTCCCTACAGAAATCTGACACTCGATTAAAATCACCAGTGCAAATTTTAAAAGTATAACCCTCGGGGTTCCGCGGAGCCATGTTTGGACCATCCGCAGGGTTCGGTGGAGCCACCAGCAACACAGGGTTATTCGGCCAGACAACGGCGGCGGGAGGCGGTACCCACAATCCCATGAAAGACTTTGAGGTGACCAGCCCGCCGGACGACAGCATTAGCTCCCTCGCATTCAGCCCCGGCACCTTGCCGATGACATTCCTGATCGGTGGGTCTTGGGACAACAATGTGAGTCGGGCCCCTGGAGGGAAAAAAAAAAGATTATAAGTTCAGGGAAAAATGTTGCAACCTGACGCCACTTCAGCGGTTGTGTACAAAGTCTGTGGAGAGTCAAGAAAATTTTCCTAACAAAATTGGAAATGTTTCTCAGTCCCAGATTCATGTCTTATCATCATTTTTGCAATGACTGACCTTCATTGAGATGATGTATGAAGAAAAAAAGTGGCATCAGGTTGCAACATTTTTCCCTAAGTTTATCATGTGTAGTGTCCTTTAGCAAGCTACTTTACCAATATTAGATTCACTGCAGTCAGACTGAGATTGTTTCCAAATCTTTTAGGAGACCCTTTTACAGATAGCCGGCAACTCACAAAGATGAAGTGAAGGTACATTTTGCGTTGAATTTTGAGACAGTTTGCGCTGTACACAATTTGTAGCATAAACTGTCCCATGTTGCCATGCTGCATATCCCTTCTCTGCATTATTCCGATCTTTCTGTAAAAGGGCCCATCTGTTTATTCATCTGTTATTTCACATAACTATAGAGATAAAACGGTGGCCAGTTGTAAGCATTTGTTTGTCCAACGGGCAGAGATAGTAATAATGACAAAAGGTGACTAAAATAATCAGAAATTTTGTTTTGTTTGGTTTGCTGTCTGCAGGTTCGCTGTTGGGAGGTCAACCAGAACACGGGAGCCACGGTGCCTAAAGCACAACAGACCCACCAGGGGCCAGTTCTGGACGTCTGCTGGAACGATGTATGTATTGGTTTTGTGCCTGAGCCGTAGAGGGCGATCTTTAACTTACCCATTACAGCCAAGCCAGAGCACAGAGCATGCATGCACTAGAACAAAAAGTCAAGCTGCCTTTTCCATTTTTTCTCATGATACATCAGACACATGTTATGAATACATTAATCACAGTTGAATAGGGCCAAGTAAAACAATAAACCAGTTTCTCGTCCCAACTCACTTCCCTTTTCCTGCCCACTTTTTTTTGTTTTTAGAATCCATACATTTGCAATATATTTCGCAACTTTTGTCCATATATTGCCTTTTAATTTGTTTCCTACAAAATTATAGCTATGCAGAAAGGGTGACGGTTCCTTGGACACAATTTTTTATATCAGCCAAAGAGTCAAGAAAATGGAACAAACCATCTGCCATCTTGTAAGAAAATAAGTGCGAGTGCACAATAAGCCCTGGCTGTGTTGCAAGAAGTCTTGCAAGAATGCCTTGCATGAAATCAATTAAAAATGATCCCTGCCAGAGCTGAAAAATGCGACGCTGAAAAATGCGACGCCGATGGCACTGGAACAGCATACTTTTGGTCAAATTTCGGGACAGAAAGTCCAACCATCAAGTGATATGTAGAAACTTCTGCAAGAACTTAAAAAACGGGGGGTGGCCTTCTTAATTTTTCTTTCTAAAAGCCTATACAAGAAACTTTTTTGGTAGTCAAATCCTCACAAGTCTCACAAAAGTCATCCATTCTCATGTCAAGTGAACTATGACATTTTATGCCTTGTCCATCCCCTGTTGTAATGCAACTTGCAGTTTGACTTGTAATTTGGGCTCTGGTTTGTCTATGTTCTGCTTCACATTTTTATGAATTTTTTATACTGATGAGTTGATGGTTAAATGAGATTGAGAACATTTCTCTTTTTTGGTGTCGGTTGTATTAGGATGGGACCAAGGTTTTCTCGGCATCCTGTGACAAGACGGCAAAGATGTGGGACCTGAACAGTAACCAAGCCATACAGGTTGCACAGGTTGGTACTTTTCAAAATATTTATTTTCCCAGTTTGGGCAATTTAACACCAGTTTGAGACTTGTGTTCCATTTTCCTGCCAAACCAAATAGTATAATTGGGAGTGGCCCCCAAGAGATTTGTTTTCACGCAGGAAAAGTATCGGTATTAATTTTCGGTTAAATAGACTCTTGTGTAATGACTGCTGTTTTCATGACATTTTATTTTTGTAATTTGGCAGCTGTAATAGTTGAGTATTCTTTCCTTGTTTCCTGTGTACTCGTCCCCTTTTCCTTTGTGAGCAATCAACCTGAATAGTCAATCAACATGATCAGTTTTAGGGATGTGCCGTAGTCGAGTCTTTCACAAGTCCTCCAGTTCCAATTCAACTCACAAGCTATTCAAATGAGCTTTGACAAAGGCATTCCGTTGTTAGTGTACATCCACTGTTACTTGTGACTGGACTTGTGATGGAATCAACTACATTCATGGTCCTTTTTGAAAAGAAATAGCCCCATCGTCTTGCCCTACAAATCAACATTTTGCTTCCCGATCTGCCGATAGTTGGTGATGGGATTAAACCAATATTGAAATATTATTTCTCATTTAATGCCATTTGTCTTGTAGTGATTAGCAGCAGTGTTATTTGAGTGTTTCTTCCCTTGTTTTGCCTTGTTCAGCATGACGCACCAATCAAGACCGTTCACTACATCAAGTCGCCCAACTATTCCTGCATAATGACGGGAAGCTGGGACCGTACGCTCAAGGTAATTAAAAAAGGTGGTTCTTTAAACTTGTAACATCTGTAAACGTTTAAGTAGTACCAAAGTCATGAACTTGGCATTCAGGAATGAAACATTGGCTCACGACAGAGGTGTAACGAGTCACTGAATTTTGTGACTCAAGTCGAGTCACTGATATTTGAATGCCATCTGATGAAATACAGAATGGAAGAAAGAACACAAGGCACCAGTTTATTATGATGATCAAAAGACTTAAAATATGCTGCATGGTACCCAATACACAGTTTCTGCTGGCTGTTTCTACCGAAAATCTGCTCAACAGTTACACATAACAAGTATGAGTGCGCACTTTAATGACTTTGTACAGCAAGTCACCGCAAATGTATTTTCGCACAGTTTTGGGACTTTCATTAGCCTTCGATTCGAGTCGAGTTGAGTCTTCTGACAGAGATGCCAACCATTACTCTTTTGGAGTAATTATTAGGATTTTGAGGCATGTTACTACTCTTGGAAATTCCAGCTGTCCTATACGCCAACATTGTGGTTACTCTGAAAAGTACTGTGGTTACTCTTAAACTTGACTGTTGTCCTATGTATTTACATTAACATTACTCTTTGCAGGAAGAATCATTACTATTTTGTTGTCTTTGAAGTTGGCATCTCTGTTCTGATGAGGGACTCGAGTTGAGTCGAGTCACCAAAAATTGTGTTTCAAGTCAGATTGGAGTCGAGTCTTTGACTAGAGTCATCACAACTCTGGCTCACAATAGATGAAAGTTTAATCTGGTTCCAAACCATTATGTTGCTTATTTATAATTACTTATAATTATTTACATATTTTTTCCCCACAGTTTTGGGACACCAGATCCCCGAACCCCATGGCCAATATCCAGCTGAGTGAGCGCTGCTTCTGTGCTGATGTGGTGAGTGTTAAAAACACAAAGTCTTGATTTGCTCCAATTTTGTTTTCCCGATTCACCTTTTATTCTTTGTGTTACCACTGCAGCTGTCTGGGGAATATTGTCTTACGAATGCTACAAACCATTTTATGATTGTAAGTTGTTCTAAAAGTTGACAACAGGAGCGCCCTCAGAAATAAGGAATTTGCATGAACGCTACAAACATTTGGAATCTTGCACAAAAAGATTGGTTTTCATGACCCTTAAAATCAAATGCTTCTTGCTTTATTTAGGTGTACCCATCAGCTGTGGTTGGCCTTGCCGGGAAGAAGATCAACTTGTATCGACTGGAAAGTGGTCCGCAGGAGGTCAAAGTGAACCAGGACTCGCCGCTGAAGTTCCAGGTAAGCCATCGAAGACAAATCATAAGTGACATCACAGGTAACAGGATGAACAATGACAAAGGAATGTGTTTGTCATAGTTCATTTTAACAGACTGTGACTTAGCTAGAGACAAGATAGCTTGCGATGGCTCGTGCAGACTTGTGATGACTTGCGATGACTTGTGATAACTTGGGACGACTTATCGATGACTTGTGAGGACTTTTGATGACTTGTGATGGCTTGCGATGAATTGTGATGACTTGCAATGACTTGCGATGACTTGCAATGACTTGCGATGACTTGCAATGACTTGTGATGACTTGCAATGACTTGTGATGACTCGCGATGACTTGCGATGGCTTGTGGTGACTTGTGATGACTTGTGGTGACTTGCAGTGACTTGTGGTGACTTGCGATGACTTGTGATGACTTGCGATGACTTGTGATGACTTGCAATGACTTGTGATGACTTGCGATGACTTGTGGTGACTCACGATGACTTGCAATGACTTGTGATGGCTTGCGATGATTGTGATGACTTGTGATGACTTGCGATGACTTGTGATGAGTCATGATGACTTGTGATGACTTGTGATGACTTGCAACGACTTGCGATGACTTATGATGAGTTATGATGACTTGCGATGCCATCTGATGACTTGGGATGACATATGTTAATTACAATCACATGTGATAGCTTGTAATGACTTCAGTGACTTATGATGACTTGTGATGACTTATGATTACCGGCAATGACTTATGATTACTTGTGATAAATTCTGATAACTAGCGATGTTTTACGAGGACTTTACTCCACTTGTACTTGATCATCACCCAAATTAACTGTAACCTGATTTATGTCTTACCTCAGCATCGATGCGTGGCCATATTCCAAGACACTAAGAAGACAGGCCCTGCAGGCTATGCACTAGGCAGCATAGAAGGGAGATGTGCCATACAGTTTGAGCCCGCTGCTACTCCGTAAGTTGGTGGCCGGTTAGAATCCCACCTCAGTCTTTTTTATTTTTACAATTAAAGGAAATTGGAAATCATACAAAGTTTTGCAAAAAGCCACTCATCGATGCACTAAAACACAGTGACATCGTCTAACCTCTCTTCTCACAAAATATGCCCCTATTTTCACAGAATTGACTTTCAAAGTAATATTTTTGGTTGTGTGTTTTTGTTCGTTTTTGTTTTCAGAAAAGACAACTTCACGTTCAAGTGTCACCGATCTAATGGCGCTTCCTCCTACTCCTACCAAGACATATTTGCCGTAAGTTTGTCTTGCAAGTATGAATCCGCTGAGTCAACTCTCTTCAACAAATAGAGTGGGCTGTTTATGGACTTCTCAACCAACAGAGGGCAGTCTTAATGCACGGTTCAACAAATAGAGGGTGCTGTTTATGAAATGTTTTCAATCATGTTTTTCAAAATCCCAGGTCAACGCCATAGCCTTTCACCCAGAGCACGGCACCCTGGCAACGGCAGGCTCCAACGGCAAGTTCAGCTTCTGGGACAAAGACGCTCGGACCAAACTCAAGACATCGGAAGAGATGGAGAACCCCATCACCGCCTGCGCGTTCGACGCCAAGGGCAATATTTTTGCCTATGCAGTCAGCTATGATTGGTCAAAGGTCAGTATCCAACTATGGACTACCAGTATCCAACTATTGACTATCAGTATTCAACTATTGACTATCAGTATTCAACTATTGACTGTCAGTATTCAACTATTGACTGTCAGTATTCAACTATTAACTGCCAGTATGAACCATTGATGACTAGTATTCAACTATTGACTGCCAGTATCCAACTATTGACTGTCAGTATCCAACTAGTTACTGTCAGTATTCAACTATTGACGGCCAGTACACAACTGTTGACTATCAGTATTCAACTATTGACTGTCAGTATTCGACTATTGACTGCCAGTATTTACCTATGAATTGCCAGTATTCAACCATTGACTGCAAGTATTCAACTATTGACTGCCGGTACACAATTATTGACTGCCAGTAGTCAACTATTGACTGCCAGTATACAACTATTGAAGCCATCATTGATAAGCGCCCTCATTTGTTTATGAACAATCTTTTTGGTTGGGGATCATGGTCTTCTTGAAATTTTCTAAGAAGAAATCTTTATTTACAAAATCATCGTCAAAAGCTGGGTTAATTCTGAAAAGCTGAATCACATTTCTGTGAAAATTGAGCTGCACGTCTTGTAGTTTGCACTCAGAAATACACAAAGGAACCACGTTAAAAAAATGATATGAAATGTTTTTTTTTTCTATTTCCAGGGCCATGAATTTTACAACCCCCAGAAGAAGAATTACATCTTCCTCAGAGGAAACGCCATGGAAGAACTACGGCCCCGAAACAGGAAGAGATAAACTTACAAAACTGTAAAAATACAGAGCCTGACATCAACACAGCCCTTGGTTACCGTGACTGCAAAGATGATGCGTTGCCATGGATGCAGCCATCATGGAAAACTACTGCCAGCCAGGGACATTCCTAACACCATCATCACGGCCATAAATCATTCTCAAGGTTTCTGCAAGTTCTTTCTGAGAAACGTACAGCGCTGGTGGAGTGCCTTGGCCTCGTGGTCTGGAGCATTGAATTTGTAATCTGCAGGTTGTGGGTTCGAGTCCAGCCTGGGGTTGTGGAGCGTGTGACCTGTCAGCAAGGCCCTTGTCACTCATTGCTTCTCTCCACCCAGGAGTAAATGAGTACCTGTGAGGGCAGAGAAGGTTATTGTGATTGATTTTAGCTGCCTTGCACTGAAATGGCTGCATCGAGCTGTATACTCCCCAGGGAGCTGAGATGGTATATGGAATGTTTAATTGGCCCAATGATTAGGGGTAATACTAATGTAAAGCGCTTTGATCTTAGTTAAAAGCGCTATATAAGAACCTGTTATTATTATTATTATTATAATTAACATGAACATTTGAGTAGGATTATCCTCCCTTTTTTGGAGGGACCTAAGAAGGACAAAAGTTTTGCTGAAGGTGTTTGTGGAACTTCACCCCAGCATAAATCTTTCACAGACACGTTCATCTCGGTGCAAAGAAGGGCCTTGAATTGAAGTTTCCATGTGCCCTCTTTTTGTATCTGCTCAAATTTGTCTCCGAAGTGCAACAGCTGGAGTTTTTCCAGCTGATTCTTCCTCGGCAGGTTGTACATGATTGTTAGAAATCAAATAGTGTTGATACAGAATGTAAGACATTGTGTTTTCCACTTTAATTTGAATGTTTGAATCATGAATGGAAGGTATGTAAATATAGGATTTGCATGAGGCCACCTGAAAGTTTTGTGGCCGTTCTAGAGAAAAATGACCTCTTTCAGTGTCGAAAATTTCCCCCAATCTCTTGAGGGCCCATCTCAATTTATATGCGGGACGAGTTCTGGACAAGTTGCAGATAGAATCATTCACTTTAACCGGAAGAAGCTCTACATTTGTCACGGAACATGTTCAGGGAAAATGTTCTATTGGCAACTGCTTGACTCGCCAATACTGATAACTTCATTGCGGGGAGATCGCGGGGAAGTTGTTTAGAATCCTGCAACTTATACCCAATACAATGTCCGCAACTTGTCTGAAACTCATCCCAGATATATTGCAGAGATCTTGGGAAATTTGTGAATACTGGGTTACTCAAGAATGAAAACAAATCACAGTGACTTTTTTTGTGTATTTTTGTTTTGTTTTGGTTATGTTTTATTCCCTCCTTGATTTGTAAGAAGTTTCTTTCAAATCATTTTTCAAATTTAATTATCGTTATTCCAGCACTGATTCAGTGACTTACCAGATTTTTTGTGCATGTATTTGTGTTATTTTCAACATTAATTAAAGTAAACAGGTCGTTGATGTCAATTGATTTCGCCCATAATTTTTGTTTTAAAATAATGTAATTCTTGCATTGTTAGGTTCAATTTTCTTGATAATTCTGTGCCATTCAAAAGAAAAAATATCCTTTTTTTTCTCAATAAATCTATGATTTTGCCCAAATCTTCAAACTGTTGGTCGTCTGAATAGTGATTGATGTTCCTCTTGCTTAGAAAAGGAATTTCTGTGTTGTTTAAAGAAAAGTCATTTTTTGGCCAAATTTGATCAAAAATGTAAGGCTAACCCCTTGCATTTTTTTCAATTTTGGCCGAAAAATGAAATTGCTCCAAACTTTCTGGAAAGATACCTAAGGGAGCCTAGAACGCATTCCAACTCGATTTCTGGAGAAAATTGCCTTTGAAAAGATAAAATGCGTCAATAATTTGGGGCAAAATCAGTCAAAATTAATAATATTTTCTTCAAAAATTGATTGATTTTTGGCCAAATCTACGAAATTATAGCTGTCTCAATATTGAATGATACTCCCCTTCTATCAAGAGTCATTTTTGCGAAGTTTGAAGAAAAGTCATTTTTTGGCCAAATTTGATCAAAAATGTAAGGCTAACCCCTTGCATTTTTTTCAATTTTGGCCGAAAAATGAAATTGCTCCAAACTTTCTGGAAAGACGCCTAAGGGAGCCTAGAACGCATTCCAACTCGATTTCTGGAGAAAATTGCCTTTGAAAAGATAAAATGCGTCAATATTTTGGGGCAAAATCAGTCAAAATTAATAATATTTTCTTCAAAAATTGATTGATTTTTGGCCAAATCTACGAAATTATAGCTGTCTCAATATTGAATGATACTCCCCTTCTATCAAGAGTCATTTTTGCGAAGTTTGAAGAAAAGTCATTTTTTGGCCAAATTTGATCAAAAATGTAAGGCTAACCCCTTGCATTTTTTTCAATTTTGGCCGAAAAATGAAATTGCTCCAAACTTTCTGGAAAGATACCTAAGGGAGCCTAGAACGCATTCCAACTCGATTTCTGGAGAAAATTGCCTTTGAAAAGATAAAATGCGTCAATATTTTGGGGCAAAATCAGTCAAAATTAATAATATTTTCTTCAAAAATTGATTGATTTTTGGCCAAATCTACGAAATTATAGCTGTCTCAATATTGAATGATACTCCCCTTCTATCAAGAGTCATTTTTGCGAAGTTTGAAGAAAAGTCATTTTTTGGCCAAATTTGATCAAAAATGTAAGGCTAACCCCTTGCATTTTTTTCAATTTTGGCCGAAAAATGAAATTGCTCCAAACTTTCTGGAAAGACGCCTAAGGGAGCCTAGAACGCATTCCAACTCGATTTCTGGAGAAAATTGCCTTTGAAAAGAAAAAATGCGTCAATATTTTGGGGCAAAATCAGTCAAAATTAATAATATTTGTTTCACAATTGATTGTTTTTGGCCAAATCTACGAAATTATAGCTGTCTCAATATTGAATGATACTCCCCTTCTATCAAGAGACATTTTTCCGAAGTTTGAAAAAAAGTCATTTTTTGGCCAAATCTGATCAAAAATGTAAGGCTAACCCCTTGCAATTTTTTCAATTTTGGCCGAAAAATGAAATTGCTCCAAACTTTCTGGAAAGATACCTCAGGGAGCCTAGAACGCATTCCAACTCGATTTCTGGAGAAAATTGCCTTTGAAAAGATAAAATGCGTCAATATTTTGGGGCAAAATCAGTCAAAATTAATAATAGTTTCTTCAAAAATTGATTGATTTTTGGCCAAATCTACGAAATTATAGCTGTCTCAATATTGAATGATACTCCCCTTCTATCAAGAGTCATTTTGGCGAAGTTTGAAGAAAAGTCATTTTTTGGCCAAATTTGATCAAAAATGTAAGGCTAACCCCTTGCATTTTTTTCAATTTTGGCCGAAAAATGAAATTGCTCCAAACTTTCTGGAAAGACGCCTAAGGGAGCCTAGAACGCATTCCAACTCGATTTCTGGAGAAAATTGCCTTTGAAAAGATATAATGCGTCAATATTTTGGGGCAAAATCAGTCTAAATTAATAATGTTTTCTTCAAAAAATGATTGTTTTTGGCCAAATCTACGAAATTATAGCTGTCTCAATATTGAATGATACTCCCCTTCTATCAAGAGTCATTTTGGCGAAGTTTGAAGAAAAGTCATTTTTTGGCCAAATTTGATCAAAAATGTAAGGCTAACCCCTTGCATTTTTTTCAATTTTGGCCGAAAAATGAAATTGCTCCAAACTTTCTGGAAAGACGCCTAAGGGAGCCTAGAACGCATTCCAACTCGATTTCTGGAGAAAATTGCCTTTGAAAAGAAAAAATGCGTCAATATTTTGGGGCAAAATCAGTCAAAATTAATAATATTTGTTTCACAATTGATTGTTTTTGGCCAAATCTACGAAATTATAGCTGTCTCAATATTGAATGATACTCCCCTTCTATCAAGAGTCATTTTTGCGAAGTTTGAAGAAAAGTCATTTTTTGGCCAAATTTGATCAAAAATGTAAGGCTAACCCCTTGCATTTTTTTCAATTTTGGCCGAAAAATGAAATTGCTCCAAACTTTCTGGAAAGATACCTAAGGGAGCCTAGAACGCATTCCAACTCGATTTCTGGAGAAAATTGCCTTTGAAAAGATGAAATGCGTCAATATTTTGGGGCAAAATCAGTCAAAATTAATAATATTTTCTTCAAAAATTGATTGATTTTTGGCCAAATCTACGAAATTATAGCTGTCTCAATATTGAATGATACTCCCCTTCTATCAAGAGTCATTTTGGCGAAGTTTGAAGAAAAGTCATTTTTTGGCCAAATTTGATCAAAAATGTAAGGCTAACCCCTTGCATTTTTTTCAATTTTGGCCGAAAAATGAAATTGCTCCAAACTTTCTGGAAAGATACCTAAGGGAGCCTATAACGCATTCCAACTCGATTTCTGGAGAAAATTGCCTTTGAAAAGATAAAATGCGTCAATATTTTGGGGCAAAATCAGTCAAAATTAATAATATTTTCTTCAACAATTGATTGATTTTTGGCCAAATCTACGAAATTATAGCTGTCTCAATATTGAATGATACTCCCCTGCTATCAAGAGTCATTTTTGCGAAGTTTGAAGAAAAGTCATTTTTTGGCCCAATTTGATCAAAAATGTAAGGCTTACCCCTTGAAATTTTTTCAATTTTGGCCGAAAAATGAAATTGCTCCAAACTTTCTGGAAAGATACCTAAGGGAGCCTAGAACGCATTCCAACTCGATTTCTGGAGAAAATTGCCTTTGAAAAGATAAAATGCGTCAATATTTTGGGGCAAAATCATTCAAAATTAATAATATTTTCTTCAAAAATTGATTGTTTTTTGGCCAAATCTACGAAATTATAGCTGTCTCAATATTGAATGATACTCCCCTTCTAACTAGAGTCATTTTTGCGAAGTTTGAAGAAAACTCATTTTTTGGCCAAATTTGATCAAAAATGTAAGGCTAACCCCTTGCAATTTTTTCAATTTTGGCCGAAAAATGAAATTGCTCCAAAC